CCACAAAAAAAGATGTTTCTTTAACGGATTCCTGCCTACCCCACCTTCAAAAAAAAAGAACAAGATGGTAAGCTTGAAAACATGCAGTGGCCAGACTTATACCTTATGGAGCTGGTTTGGGATGAACTGGATAGAAGTGTGAACGCAACCTACAAGTGCTACACATTTATGGAAACTTCTGCAGCAAAGTTGAGAAGAACTTTCTGAGGAATATTTGATTTCCATTGTAGAAAGAATGCCACGAGTGTGTCCAGTTGTTATATCTGCCAAAGGTGGCAACTTTGATGAGTCAAAAGTTAAGAATACATTTTTGTTTCTATTGTCAGTTTTGTTTTAATTGATTCTATGATTTCTTTTTTTTACTTCAATTTTTTATTTGTTCTATGCATTAATTTTAGAGAACACTGATACATTAAACTGGATCACTTTCAGTAAAATTTGGGAGAGTCGGGGTGTTTCAAAAAATTTGACTGGTAGTCTATCTGACTCAGAATATTTAGAAAAAGACTGGTGCAGCATGTCAAAGATGAGGCCCTCAGTTATTTGTACTCCATGAATCCAGAACTGTTTAATCATGCTGGTCATGCACCCTCCTTTGCACAATATAACTGTGTTGCAAATGTTGCACTGAGATGACGGTTCATATTTCCTGATAAAGTTTAACCAATCTTTTGACCACTACCACTGGTTGCAATGCACACGCACACACCACCCCAGTGGCTTCTTCGTTGGTGTTTGGCAGCTATTTCTCCAGGTCTGGGGGCTTGGGATCAAAACCTGGAGTTCAAATTTAAAAATTTCAAACAGTTCCTGTAGAATTGGAATATTAGTCCTGGTTCCCATCCATGCTGGAGACTGGATACCCACACTTAATCAACAATGAAGCGATCATTCAATTTAAGACCACCATCATTTAATTTGTCTTCACCACAAAATTACCAAGGTACCCAGTGCTGGGTCACTCAAGCGATGATTGATTGATTGATTGATTGATTGATTGATTGATTGATTGATTGATTGATTGATTGATTGATTGATAAGAAGGCCGCAGTATATAAAAAAATAAGATATTGTACTCATTGTCTGTCTGAGTGCCAGTGAAGACCTCCCTTGCATTCTTTCACATTTTAGGCTAGTCAAGAACCTTTTAACAGAGGAGACAAGGCTGGTCCTACCCAGTATACTGCAAACAGCATCTGAAGGAGGTCACTTGTTCAGTTACAACTCTCCTATTTCACTCTAACCACTGGCAGCACTGCTCTGACACTTACTAAAGCACTAAGTCTTCCCTCCTCCTCCTTTGACTTCAACTTCATCAGCTGCTCCCTCACTCTCTCACATGACAGTGAAGCCAGGAGGGATCGGATGGGATTGGTTGGGCTTGAGTTATCTGCTGCCCAGGGAGAGGGAAGGGCTGTTGAACGGGATTTAGATTAGATGGGGGAATAGGGTAGATGGGCAGCCTTTTGCTTGTTGGGTTGAACAGTCAGAGCATGATCTCACTGATTGCAGCACACATTCAATATCACTCACTCCTTGGTTTATTTCTCTATCCCTGACTCTCACTACCATAGAGGACATTAATAAAAGCATTTAGACACTTTTAAGAGTTACACTAAATAATAAGTATTCTTATGCTTGAAATACAAGTACAATATGTAAGAAACGGTACTCTGTAATTACAAAAATTTGGAAAACAGAAATCCAGTATTCCAAATTCAGGGCAAGTTAAGTGACAACTAAACTAAAGAATCTATGAGTCTTGCAGTTATGTATTGTTTATCCCATTAATTTTAGCAAATCAGTGAGTTATAATGCATTATAAGTGGGTGATAAATCAAACAAAAATCCCAGCTTGAAGCAGAAGGGTCTTGTTTCACCCTGATGGAAGAACTTAATGTTTTTGCCATGGTGTTAATAGGCAGAAATGAAATCTGCAGGACTAATTTTTGGGCATTGATTTCATATCACATTCGATCAATTCATTGAAATATCACCATGGGGCTTTAACCAATCAAATCAAGTACAGAACACAGGTGGGTAATAAGGTGTAACAATGTCCTCTATAGTTTTACAGCAGAAAAGGTTACTAAAGGAGCTTGTTTGTTTACATGTAGGGCAACAGTGAAAGGCAAGTGTATATCAGGAAGTTAACAGGGTAATGCTCCATCCATTTGTTCTTTTCTATTCAAAAATTTTCAGAACTCTAAGCTTTGTTAACCTTTATATCAGTCTCAAGTAGACATAAAACTACGGCACAGATTGTACAGCACAGTGTTGCTGAGTTCATAGTTAGGTGCCACCAAATAGTTTCCCTCACAGTCACTCCTGAGTTCTTTGCCCTTCTTTTCTCTCTGTTCTTTCACTTCAATGTCCCCTTTGTCCTCCATCCATCTCTCCTCATCTTCTCCCTTTCATGTCGGCTTGAAGGCTGGTCCCTGAAGTGTTTGCTTGTTTTGCTAAAGAGCTCTGTCCACCCTTCTTCAAAACAGCTATCCCTCTCTTCTTTTTTCTTGCCCTTCCTTTTTCCTTTCTTTTATCTCTTCTCTGCTTTGTTCCGAGTTTCTTCATTTTTAAACTTGAGGAGGACAGAACTCCATGCTCAAGTAGTTCACCTTCAGTTTTTTTGTTAAGTAGAGCCCATTTACAAAAAGCCCTCTTCACCTGTTTGTGTTGATTGCCCATGTCTGCTGTCCCTATAATTCTTTGTGCACTCTACTGGCTGATATTGTTGCAGAAATTGAATGCCTCACAATTATATCCCCTTGTTTTATAGTCCTCTTAAATCTCTGTAGTTTTGTTTTTTTATGTTTCATTGGCATTGCAGTCCAGGCTGTGTACTTCTCTGCTGAAACACTGTGTTTGAATGCCACAGTTTTTGCATATTACCCCATGCATGTTTTGCATAACAGAATAAGTTTCATCATAATGTTTAAAGTTTAATCTGACTCGCTGACTCTGAATCTCTTATATTGCAGATATCTTCAGTGATATGTGCACTGCAGCTCTCTCCGACTCTGATGAAAATGAAGCCAGCACCTGGGGAGATGTGTCTCAGGACAGCAGATAATGCAGGATTATTAATGTAGTTCTGTATGATGGGCTACAAACCTTTCTGCTGGATCACAAACTTGGTAGTAATAACTAACAGTAACTTTTCCACCGTAAAATCATGACTCCTGGTTTTATACCCTTGGTTCTTCATGTTTTACAACAAATATGGCCTGCTATTGTAGTAGGATTGTAACTTCCCTATATGGTTGTCGAAGCTTCTTAATACAGCTTCAGGAAAACCTTGAACCAGCTGTTGTCTGTGGATAACTGAACACTGCATGGACGCAGACACTAACTTTATATACAAGGTTGGGTGGGTTTATATTATGTACTGCAGGCAATGCAATTCCCAAATGGATGGGCTGGACATCTAAAAATTCACAACTCATTTTTGGAGAACTTAAGGAAAAAGTGAGAGATTCCGTGTGATGGTTATTATTAAGTCTTGGCCAGTTGCCCTGTTTTGTGAGCAAAACTATCTCAGACCAGACTCTGCCTCTACTGACCTGCTTTAGCTGCTTCAACTTTTCAGGTTCAGGCTCTTCACAGTCACCTTTAAGTTTTCTGCCAGAGTAGATAATGACGTTACATTAGCTGTGTTATCCCTACAAACCAATTCTGACTCCCTGTAGAGTTTCAAAATAAGAATATAAATTGCTCTAAATGGTCAAAAGATATCTCCTTCTTTATAATTGAATCTTTAACCCAGACACTTGTTCCCTGTGAAATGATGGAGAAAAATCCCTGTTTTACATATGGTTAACTTGTTGGAGTTACTTAGAGATATTAGAGTTTACTTAATTTTAAGATGCCTTGAGGGCTCTCCTCACTCTGGAAAATTATGTCTTTACAAGCATGGATGGCTGAGAGGCTCAGCAAGAACAGACTTTTGATAGGCCATGGTTGACATCTTATAATCTTATCCTTGCACCTAGCATTAGCATGGCAAAAACAACTGTATGGTTGATCCATTTTAGAGCTCAGTCAACTCTTTTTGTCCTTGTAGGGCTTATAATGGCTAAGAAAGCCAACATAGGTAATATGAAACTGAACATTTACTTAACATCAAGCAGGAACTTTCCATACAATGCTCAGTCTATTTTCTGTATTTCATATTTTTCTCTGTCTGCTCTCTTGTGCCAAGCAAGGTTGCTAATTTTCCCAAAAAAGGCTTTTTGCTGCATCGACAGAGGTTGGCCAAACAGACAGCTCACCACAAGCTTATAGAGGTTTTTAACACAGTTGGTTTTGACCAAGAAATTTGATTGCAGAAGGGGACCCAGAATTACAAATTGGGTAGCTCAGCGAGTAGAGCATCTGGCCCCCAACTGGGGGGTTGGAGTCCAAATCCTGCTTGACATTGTATTCTCAGTGGCAGGGTAATAACACATGAGCAAACCCACCAAGGCTGGAGACTGAACAATACTGAAAAGGCATATGAGAGAAAGAAGCATCACATAACAATGATGCACTGTGGCTAACTGATCTAACAGCAGACTACATCAATCTCCCTGAACAAAAGGCTGTGACTATCATAGTAGCAGACATTCAAGAAAAAGCCTCAGGTACAAAGAACTGGACAGCACCAGGTCACTCCATGACCACCAAGCAGCACAAATGGACCCAAGGCTGACCCAAGGCAGGACAATTCTGATCCAACTATCGGCCAATCACCTGCCTCTCCACAACATGGAAACTCCTGTCAAGCATCATCTAAGATAAGTGGGCACATGGATCAATACATGACAGAGGCAGTAAGAACACCAGCTACTGCTACAGCTACTGGTAGACAGAACAGCCACTCAAGACTGCAGAGCCAGAGAGACCAACCTGTGCACTGCCTGGATTGATTAAAAGAAAGCCTATGACTCGATGCCACACACCTGGATCCTTGAATGCTGTATGCTTGAAGCTGTACAAGGTCAAAAAAACTCATTGCAAACTCAATGAGGCAATGGAACACTATCCTTGAGACCAACTTCGAGCCAATAGCACAAGTATCCATCAAATGTTGCATATATCAAGGAGATGCTCTGTCCTCACTGCTGTTCTGCATGGGATTGAATCCCCTCAACAAGCTTTACCTGGCTCACTGGCTACAAAATGGGATCTACCTCTACATGGACGACATCAAGCATCAAGACATCAAGCTAAGAGTGAGCAAAGTATTGACTCACGGATCCACACCACCTACAGCAGTAACATCGGAATGTTGTTCGGACCGGAGAAGAGTGCCTGAATGGTGACGAAAAGAGGGAAGATAGTCCATTCAGAGGGCACAGCACTCCCAGAAGGGCAGAATAGCAGATGTGGATGAGCGCTAAAAATACCTTGGGATACCACAGGCAAATGGCAACCATGAAGAGTCCACAAGGAAAGCAGCAATGGCCAAGTACCTGAAGCAAGTAAGGCAGGTCCTAAAGAGTCAGCTCAATGGCAAAAAAAAGGATAAGGCAATTAACAGATATGCCCTGCCATTGCTCAGATACCCTGCTGGAATAATAAGCCGGCCAAAGGAGGAAATTCAGGCCACAAATGTTAAAACTCGGAGGTTTCTCACCATGCACGGGGAGTTTCACCCCAAGTCCAGTATCCAGAGGCTATACACTCAGCGCAAAGAAGGAGGCAGAGAACATCCAAGCTCCATGACTATGACAGGTAGATGGCCCCAAGAGATGGAGCGCTTCGTGAGTGTCTCAGACAATGGAAACTGTCAGGTAAGGAGGAACCAGAAGAACCATCATGGGAGGAAAAAACCCTGCTTGGGATGTACCACCGACAGATAGCTGAAGTGGCTGATATGAGCAAATCCTACCAATGGCTAGAGAGGGCTGGACTGAAGGACAGCACAGAGGCACTAATTATGGGGGCACAAGAACAGGCCTTGAGCGCCAGAGCAATAAAGGCCCAGCTCTACCATACCAGGCAAGATCCCAGGTGCAAGCTGTGCAAAGAGGGCCCTGAAACAGTCCAACACCTAACAGCAGGATGTAAGACGCTGGCAGGAAAAGCATACATGGAATGCTATAATTAAGTAGCCAGCATAGTTTACAGGAACATCTGTGTAGAATATGGACTGGAAACCCCGAGGTCAAAAGGGGAAGCACCTCCCAAGGTGATGGAGAATGACCGAGCCAAGATCCTGTGAGATTTCCAGAAACAGACCGACAAAATGGTAATGGCCAACCAACTGAACACTGTAATGATAAACAAACGGCAGAGGAAAGCCATTGTGCTTGATGTAACCATCCCAAGCAATACCAACATCAGGAAGAAGGAACATGAGAAACTAGACAAGTACCAAGGGCTCAAAGAGGAGCTAGAGAAAGCCTGGAAGGTGAAGGCAACAGTAGTGCCTGTGGTCATCGGCAATGAATATCATGAAAAGCGTACTAGAACAGCTGAACTTTATCTGGGGTTGATCAGACGTGCTTTAATTGGTGGCTGACTCCAATTTAACATTAGTTTTTGTTTTTGTACCATGGACACAAAGTAGGATGAGTTCAGCAGAATACTCACAGTCAAATCGTAGCCATGCGTATTTAGTACAAAATCAGCCTCTCTAATGGGTTTTTACTCATATAGACAGATGCAGACAGTTGATTTTAACTGCAATTTTCACCTCTTTTTGTCAGTATTAGCAACTCCTTTTTTTATTCCATGTAGTCATTCAACCCCAATGTTCCTTAAGAAATGTAATGTAATTATCAATATAGATTAAAAAAAGTTAGGTATGCCAACAATGCCATATTTGACGATTCTCATACAAAGAATGTCCTGTTTCAGATAATGACTGTTAAATAACTTGTAACTCCAGAATATATGTTCTTACGATGGGTTTAGAAAACCTAAAACACTAGAGTTCAGGAAACAGATTGTTCTCTGTGATTGTTCGTACTACCTGGGCTCATCTCAACAGAATGGAAAAGCCACAACCAAGCTTTTATGGGAACCTTGCACACTTTGTTTCTACTAAAAGGCAGCTGCTTTAAACAAGGCATATTTTAGCACTGTCTCTCATTTGATTAAAAACACAAGCTGGGATATAAATAAAGCTATCAGAAACCCAGGTGTGGGTTTTCAGACCTGGAGTTTTCATGAAAAAAACTCATGTTTTCGATAGATAGTGTTCAGAAAATTCACACACACAGAAATACCCATGTCCTATTGATTCACCTTTATATCCATACTCCATCGGTTCATGGCTTACACTCTGTACACATGCTCAGGCAGGGGTCATATTGATTGTATTCAAGCCTTGAAAAATTTTCAAGCTGAGTAGTACTGCTTTGCAGCTGCCTGATCGAAAACATTAGAGCCTTTTGAAATCCATTCTCATCAAACCTGGAGCATTGTCTTTGTAACTGAAGTATTCAGATTTCTTAGCAACTTGTAAACACCACTATTGTCAGTCATTTGTACTAATGTCATTTCTTTGTCAGATTATACATGTTTCACACATGTCCCTTTTCTCTAAATAGATGCTGCAAGTGATTTTTCAGGGAAATACATCAGCTGTATAGGTCTCACTGTCTTGGGGGAACACTCAACATTCAGGGAGGGCCATAAGGATATTTTGATCCATGTAAATAAACATTAGTGTTATTTTTTGTTCTACATATCCTTTTCTGTTGGTTAACATTCATTTTCTGTATGACTGCTGTATTATTGTACAACTTGCCCCCTCAGTGTTTTAGCATTGTGCTGCATTTCTACTGACAGACAGAATTCTGTGGATTGTTAACGAAGACATCAGAAACAGACATTGATATTTTATAAATAGCTGCCATGTCAGGTCATGTCACATAAGATATTTCTTATGTGACAGAGAACAGCTCCTTTGATTCACATTTATCTGAAGTATTATTTGAGATCGTGAGAAAAATGGCTTTTTGAATTCTCTGGGAAAGCTGACAACTGGAACAAGACTTGGGGACGAATTCAGAGTTTAAGCTCCCAGGCTTTTGTTGAGAATAGAGGATACAATTATTTGTGTGTGTGTGTGTGTGTGTGTGTGTGTGTGTGTGTGTGTGTGTGTGTGTGTGTGTGTGTGTGTGTGTGTGTGTGTGTGTGTGTGTGTGTGTGTGTGTGAAAGAGAGAGAGAGGAGTGAGAAAGAGAGAGAGAGAGAGAGTCATGGATGGAATCATGAATGCAGTGATAGATGAAAAGAATGGTGGTTGAATGAGGTCATAGATGGAGTCATTGAGTCACAGATGGATGGAGTCATGGATGAGTTGAATGATGGTTGGATGGAGTCATGGGTGGAGTCATTGAGTCCTGGAGTCACAGATGGATGGAGTCATGGATGAGTAGAATGATGGTTGGATGGGGTCACAAATGTAGTCATAGATGAAGTCATGGATGGGTGAAGGGATGGAACATGGATTGCAGTACAGATAAACAGATAATACATTCATGAATCTGTGCAGGTGAACAAATAGATTGACAGAGAGTTTTTTGACACTGTAATATGGTCACCCTCTGTATCAGAAGTCTGGGCAATATTTTGGTCATTACATTTCTCATATGTTAAGAAAAAAAAAAGATTAACACACTCTTTTTGAACATGCTGTAAAGTTTGTTTATCTTATGTTAAATGAAAATTATTTTATCTTTGTAAAGGAAATATTTATATTGCATTTCATCCTGCTGCAATTTAATTGCCATGTAACTACATTATAGAATGTACTTAGTCTGTATATCATACAACCTGTCATTGTTATGTACATATTGGTTTACTGTGTTGTTATGCATTTACAACATGGGTTTTAAAGTATTCCAAAATAAGTCATGTTGTACTTGTTTTTTTTTGCAGATAGATAGATAGATAGATAGATAGATAGATAGATAGATAGATAGATAGATAGATAGATAGATGTGAAACATGCATTTAAATAATCAGATAATTGTACGCTGCAAGAAGAACTAGAATACTCAGTGCATTTTATGATTAACTGTGCTAAGCAAAGCCCAGTGTAGCATCAAGACAACCCTGTGTGTTTGAAACTCACACATTCCTCCCAAGAAATGTGCCTTATCTGGTCCCAGGACACAGGATCATATAAATCTTTCCAGACTTATTTGTAGTTTCAAGCTACACAGTTTACCCAACCAACCAGAGATTTACCCAAACCTTTGGCTCTTCTCAAGTGGTTTGGAGAAAAGAGTTATCACCTTTCAAACTGACTTCATCACTGATTATCTCAATAATCACTCATGCCCCAGCCCAGGTCTCTCATTCGAGAATTACTGTCTTTAAGTGTGTGAACACATGGAATCCAAGGCAAGTTCTGAGGAGCTGGACACTGACCCCCAGACCTCTGTCATAAAAACCTGCTCAACCATGTAGCTACTGCTAAAAACTGCATTCCTTTGGAGGAAAAATACAAATGAATGATAGTAACATCTGATGCTTTCAGCAATGTACTAATCTGTCATATAATGTAATTGGTTTTAAAATGAGATGTGTCCTGTTTATCTACATGCTTCAGAAGCCAATATACTGTATCACACTGACAGAACGTCTGGACTACTGTAATTCTCTTTTTATTGGGCTTGAGCTCTGCATTCTCTTCAGGTTGTTCAGAAGGCAGCTGCCCTCCTGCTGAAGGGCAAGAAACGGTGTGACCATATTAGTCCTGTCCTTGCCTCTGTGTATGGCTGCCTGTTAATTATAGAGTACAATTCAAAGTTTCATTAATTGTTTTTACATGTTTTAATGGCCTGGCGCCATATCATTTATCCAAGCTGTTGAAGCCTCACACAACTACCTGGGGTCAGGCAAATCCACAGCAGCCAACTGTCTGTAGCATCAGTCCAGAGGAACCTAAGAGACTGGGGAGCTTCGGGACACTCAGGGAGATCTGGTTAGTAACTTGCTGGAAGAATAAGAGTTATGTTTACAGGATCCAGAAATCAGTAATAATGGACTGATGTTATACATATACAGCTATATGGCCTATACGGATATTATAATATTCAGTCGCATGAGCCAAATTTATTTGTTTATGTTATCTTCATGAAATTTGATATATGCCTCGCTGGTGGTGGATTTACAGGTGGTCCACAATTTACTGACTTCAACGGAGTCAGCAAATCATGGACCCTGGTCATAAACAAAAACAGTAATTTGCTTTACTTATCAGCTCAGTTGCATGAATGACAAATATTTGCAGCTTTGTATCTTATATTCAAATTGTATGAAGATTTGGGTTCAAATTACCTTATCCCATACTCCGATGGATTGTTTACTTGCACTCTGTGAACAACTGTGCTATCTCTGGACCAACAGACTTCCTACAGTTCTCTCTTCTGTCTCAGATGAAACGTGGAGTTGATGGGCGACTTTTATCAAAGACTTCCATGCCAACTTCAAAATCCATAGAAGCATTTCCCTGGAGTGAAGCCTCCATTAATCTATCAAAACAAAACTGCAAATAGTCATTTGGTAAATTGTTCTCAACCTTGTTTGCTAAAGAAAGTAACTCGTCAGCAAAAGCTTGCACAAAACCCTCCATCTAAAATGTTACAGTCTAAGAAACGACCTCCTGAACCACTTGACAGTGATGGTTTAGTCAAGGCAGCAAAGTTAGCATTAGTGGGCCTAGAGCTGATCACATCGATGCAACCAACCTTCAGAGTGAAGTAAGAGCCACCCACTTCATTTACAAATATACTTTTCCACCGACAAAATGGACACAGAAATACGTATATATAATACATGTGAAAATGCAGACGTAAATAAATAAATAAATTCACACATTAACACACACACACACATATAGCATTTTGAGGAAATAGATACATAAATAAATACATGAATGTGTAAATAAAAACATAAAATATAAGCATTTATTTATTTATTTATTTCTGCATTTATTTTTACATTTCTTATTATGTCACTTTTCGTCCCCTATATGCTTGCTTTGTTCTATGTGCAAATATAGAAAGCTGTGGGACTAAATTACTGGTTGGTAGCTGATTCCAGTTTTAGGGAAGCAGTAATACCTACCGATATCTCATAGATAATATCTTTTTGATTTTATTGATGTAATAGTAACAGACTACCTCTTAAAACGACTAACCGTCTTTTGAAACGTTTGGTGAATCCTGCCAAAAGATTGCCATTTCCAGGTTTTGTTGCCCAGTCACATAACATGTACAATCTGACAACAGTGTTCCTTAAGTTACTTCAGCTAAGATATATTAATCTTAAACTTAGTTTGGGTTTGAAAATGCACAAGTTGGTGATAGTCCTCAGCTCGTACGATATTGGCAGTGTTGGCAGACTGCAGTTCATCAAAGCAAACAGAGCAGACGGGGCAGACACAGAGTGCATTGTGATTTGAATGAACCAATCAGTGGGCTCGCTAAACGGAAGCCACAGGGTAACCGTCATAGATGGTAACCGTCACTTATGTCCAATCGGCACGGGGCGCAGTTGTTTGCCTTGCTTTTTGAATCGAGCTCGAACAGTGAGCTGACGTCTACCCAGGATTAGCTGTCAACAAACTAAGGCTACCACATTCCGAAAGTTTGGACTGTTGTTACGCTGAGAGAGAAAGATGCATTACTACCAGGTGTAACCGAGAAATGTCACAGTTATTTTGGAGAGTGATTCAGACCGAGGAGACACTACCAGGAACTCTTCATCGTTTTGTGGTGACTTTCTAGCTCGGTAGCTAATTTAGCCGAGTTAGCTACAAAGCTCAATAAATTCAACTAGTCAGCGGCCACTTTAGCTCCGCGGGGCTTTCTTCTAGCTGCTATTCTTCACTTGAAGAGACAACCATCGAAGAAGTCGGTAAGTTTAGCGCACCTTGATGTAATTTTTTATGATGCTGTTTGAAAAGTACCATCCAGAGCGCCAAACGTTAGCTTGGCTCTGATGCCGTTAAAATGGGGGAGTTTAGGGCAGAGTGCTGGCCTGAAAATTGTAGACGTTATGGTCTTTTACTCAGGGAAAAAACAAATAACTCAAATTGAAGATCTTTTTACATAAGTCTTCCAAACCAGTTCGTGTATCAAAAAAGGTCATTGTGTGTGTGACGTTATGGGCACGTTTCTTTATTACCTCTGTTTTTGTGATCACACTTCTGAGTACTTCTGCAGCCTACCAAATTGAACTCAATAATCAAAGCTATCACTGTTATTTTAATGCTTTCTCTGCAGTTGGACAGCCAAGCTTAGGCAGTATTTGTGTTTGACAGTTGTCACACTGCTCCTTGTTGCTTTTCTAGCCTTCTTCTCTGTCCTGTTACGTTCTCACTCTGTGTCTCACTCTTGTGATTGTCTGTAGCTTTTGATAGTGTGGACAGTTTGCTGCTGCCTGTGGGTTCCTGCCATGGCTGACAGCAGCATACTGACTTTGGGGGCAGCTCGGAGCCTGTTGGTGGATTCTTCAGTCTATGATTCAAGGATTGCAGAGACCACAAAGGACCATGTGTTTCTGGGCATGGCATGTGAAGATGGGGAAGGTCAGTCTGCAGCGTTTCTTTTTTTTTCTCAATTTTTTTAAACTCTGCTACTTTTATTTAGGTATCTCCAGACAAGAGACCATGGTGGATATTATACAAATGAGAGCCCGTATGACACACCCATTCTGGGTAGATACTCTTGGTTAGAATATTGAAATATTTCTCTATACATTTAAAGAAACCTATTTCAGAAAAAAATGAAGAGAACAATGTTGCAGATCCCCCCCCGCTCCCTCAGATCTTCCTCCTCCATCCACCTCACCGTGCCCACTTGCCTGCTTCAGCACCATGGGGAGAGCTGCTTTCAGCTGCTCTGCTCCCCAACTCTGGAACTCACTGCATCCTGACATCCGGAAAATTGACTCTCTCCCTTCAAATCCAGTCTCAAAACCCACCTGTTCAGATTAGCATACTCCTTAGAATTTATCTTGTCATGTTTTTGTTTTATTTATTTATACATACATATATACACACACCCCCTCCTTTTTGTTTTGTTTTCTCTATTGCTTTTATCGTGCTGTTTTTACTCCGTATAAGTGTCCAGAAAGGAGCTTATAAAAATATTGTCATTATTATTATTATTATTATTATTATTTTTATAAACAGTAATATTATGAAAGGCCACAAAAAGGATCAGCTAAACACATTCAAAGTGATTGATTAAAGAAGTTAAGCTACATATACACTAGTGGTGAGCGATATAGCCTGAAATTGATATCACAATATTTCAAGGCAATTTGCAATAACAATATTTATGACGATATTTATGACAAAACGTACACAGACCTGATTGTCCTCTTGTAGATTCCAGGACTCAACTAACTCCCTTAATCCACTTGCAATATTTTCTCCTGTGTGATCCTTGGGAAAGTAGCTGGTTTCAAGACAGTAGTTGTGCAGCTTCCAGTCGTAGCCTATATAATAGACCAGGGGTTTTCATATAAATTTTCAGTGGGTCCACCTGAATGAAATGCCTGCAGGCCTGGGTCCAGGGATTTTTATTTATTTATTTTTTTACAGTGCATTACTCTTGAAATATTCACTTCATTTGTATTGCCAATAACTGCCTACTACTTTCAATTGACTGTGTGCTTCCTGCGGGTAAAATGAATGCAAATGACTCGGTCCACTCGCCATAAAACACCCTGTTCTCATTCTCTACCTTTTGTGGTTTTGAAGCCGACATGTTTAGCTGCTGCTACAACTTTCTCCTCAGTCTGCCGCCTGACAGTTTTCAACATCAGGATTGCTCGGTAATCTTCATGTGTCGAGTAGGCTAAGAGGTCTGATTTGATTGACAAGTCAAGTGAGTAAGCAAGTGATGTAATGCCTTGCTGTAATTGCACGTGCAGTTTACTGAACCAGGCACAAAGCAAGAGAGTAAGGCTGCACGATATTGGAAAAAACTAACATTGCGATTTTTTTCAACCCTGCGATATATATTGCGATATTAAAAATATAGGAATTTTCACCAGATGACCTGAATAGCAATCATGAAGACAGTTAACCTGCACTGATCTTACCTCTTTTTGTGAATGTTAGAATGGCTTCTGTCTATCTCAGAGATATTTTTAGCTTTTATTGTGCTGGGACGTTATTGTGGCGACAGATGAACACAGAACACATGTTTTGGTCAACATCATCCTTCTTTAACCGAAATAATTCCAGATAACTGACTTTCCTTTTCTTTTTGGCAACAATTTTTAATTTTCGGTGGTTTTCTCTTGTTCGTTGCTCATTTTGCAATCGTTGTTGTTGTTGTTGTTAGCGGTGTTGTGCCGAGAAACACATGTCCTCCGAGAATTGCATGCACCTCACAAAACGCGCACCGCTTATAGTAGAGTGGTCCACGGATATGTACCACTTAAAACCCATACAGTTCTTATTTGTTGGGCTTAACAGTCAGTAAAATTCCGAAAGTAATTCTCAGCGGACACGCGTTTCTCGGCTCAACACCTGCAGCCAGCGAGTACCTCCATGTGCACAACATGTGCAGGGGTGGGTTTCCCCCTCTCTGATTTTGATTGACAGCTGGCAGGGTAGTCTGATTGGCAACCGAGTAAAGGACAAGGTGATTGGTGGATCGCTGCACAGCACATGCAGAGTCACATGCAGCGTATCTCAGTCAGCTACCCTTGAAATTAACTGAGTTCATTCACCTCCGACATCGCAGGCTCTGCGATGTGACTATCGCACACATGTATATCGTGCAGGCCTACAAGAGAGAAAAAAAACATACATTTTTCTGCGGTAGGCTCGGGTCCGTATTGGACTCTTTCCTGGTCCGGAAGTGGAACGCGGTCCGCCATATGGAGACCACTGTAATAGACCATCAGGCTGATTTAGGGTTCAGAGGTTTGGCTTGACCACGTCAGTCATACAGGCAAAAAACTCCACCGATAAGAAGGTAAAAGCCAATTAGTTGCAGCATGCTTCGCACATCGCAAGCAAAGATGTTTTTGAAAAATATTTTCCACCCAGGATTGTGTGTATTGGGTAAAGTTTTTTTTTATTATAAATAAATAATTTAAAGTGTTTAAAGCCTTAATTTATACACTAATTGGCCTCATGTCTATGGCCAGACAATATGTGACTGCTTCGGTAATGTCCTGCCACATCTGTTATTTATTTATTTTTTTTATCATATGGAGTGTAGTGAGTGCTCCTGCAATGCTCTGTTGAGCCATATGTTTACTTTTACTCTGAACACCAGTAGCTGCTTTCACGTCCTCATCATGTGTCTTCAAAGCCTGCTGATACTCGGCTGTGTGATTTAGCTTTAGGTGGTGAAACCTGTTAGCTGTGTTAGCCAAACCACCTCCATACCACAGAGGTAGTTCCCTTTTTGGCAGTAGATCCTCATTGATGACCAAGTTGACGCTGCGCTGCTTTCACTCTCCGAAATTGTTACTGAGTATGCAGTAAGGAACACCATAGGTCTTCGCGTCCCTATAGTGTAAATACCGCAACATGACAATTTTATAACCAAAAAATGTACAGCGGTATCATAGATGGTATGAAATGGCAAATGTAGGCCTGTCGCGATAATCAATAAATCGCCTTATCGCTCGGTAAATAAAAATTTGGACGATAATTTTGCCAGCCTCGATAACTGACGTGTGTTTGTTTTCCTCCTCTCTCGCTACCAAACACGCTGGATGAGAGAAGAGGTCTCACTCTGCGCATTTTTCTCGACACCTGGGTGCGTTGGCTCTATAGCGGAATGAACGGAGTGAGTGAACCCTCCTGTCAGTCATTCAGTCTATTTGTCACGGTGGGGGGGGGGAGCTGGCGCACACATGCACACAGACACACAGACACAGACTTATCATCCGTCGGGATGATTTTGCTTGAGGTGTGCATGCATGTTCTTTGTTTACCTGTTGAGGATTTGCACCTAATGCTAATTATTTAGTGCAATTTTGTTTACAGACTCGAGACTCCACTTTATTTATTGTTTTAAAGGGGACTTGCCATCAAAATGTAATTTTGTGTGTTTTTTGTGTCAGATAAGTCCATATTATCTTCGCCTTATATTGTAAATGTGAAAACAAACCGTTATGTCATTTGCATTCTGTAAAGGTTTAAAATAAAGGAACGGGTAAACCAGGCCAATTGAAAAAGCAGGTCCCTCTGACGTTGCGCTGACCTTGCTCATTATTATTCACGAGCACGTCCTCGGTGAGCCGCGCCCACTCTCTCGTTCTCGTACTCATTCACAGTCAACATCACTTTCCATACCAGCCAGAGCGAGACCCAGCTACCACTGTATCCGCTATGGGTCTCTTCCAAACGACCGGTGTTTCCTTGGGTTCACTGCCGGGAAAATGAACTTAAAGCTGGGCAGAATGAATGAGAAAACACAGCTGGAGATCTCTGGCTTCTTCTTCAACTTCCACCTCCTCTTCAGACTCGGGGTCTAAAATATATGGTTTAATACCTGCCATTTTTAGCCTTTAGCATAAGGTGACCAGACGTCCCCGATTTCCAGGGACAGTCCCCGTATTGGATGACCTGTCCCTGGCAAAAGCTGTCCCCGAAAATGTCCCTGATTTAAGTGTTTCATGAATGAGAGCAAAAATGTTGCGTGTGGGCTCGAACAACGGTTATTACAGTAGCCGAATAGGTAGGAAGCACAAGTAAGCAGTCCTGAACAACAGTTCTTACGGGGTTATTACAAGGGGCTTGCGCTGCTACTAAATAGTACCGAGATTTTGTCTGTGATCACACAGCCCCTGCACCCGCCGCCGCCACACCAAATATCCCCGGATATCATTACAGACATCTGGGCACCTTACTTTAGCACACATTAGCAAAATGGATAAAACGAAATCTGAACCTCCATTGCTGAGCCAATCAGAGCACAGCAGGCTTCACAGCAGCGATCCAATCAGAGCAAAGCATATTACCATAAATGTTAATGAGACAAAATCAGTTGGTTTTCCTGTAAGGTTTTTTAGGCATACTAAGACAAACCATCAAATAACTTTTAAGCTAAAATTATGTTGCAAACATAATCAGAGGACATCAAGGATTATGAAAAAATGATAAAAATGGGTATGAAATTTTGATGGCAGGTCCCCTTTTAATTGTTATGTGTGGAGTGTAGTTTTTGTTCCTTACCAGAGAAAAGGTGTATTTTTTATTGTTTGTAGTTGTGATTGTAGTTTTTATTTGAATGCAGTTTTTGATAAAACAGAATGTGGGTCCATTTTATTTTCATTGTTTTTTGGTTGTCTTGTTTGTTTATTATATTAAGTCTTCTTATTTTAAAGTTCTTAATCTTGAGAAATTAAAGTTTGTCGCTTTTGACATGGTGTACTCGCATTATTATGCCATATATTATCATTATCTATAATTTAAAAAACCGTGTCAATAATATCGTTTATCGGCAGTAATTGTAGCACAATTATCGTCCAGCAAAATTTGTTATCATGACAGGCCTAGGCAAACCTCTAATATACACACCAAAGCGCTGTGTATATATTACGCAATGTCAGTCAGTGATCCTGTCTGTGTACCAAGTTTTAGTCAAAGGGAAAAAAGAAACTTGTATCAGCCCCTGGAAACAGCCCAGTTTTAATTTGTTTCTTTCTAGTGAACATGTCAGTGTCCCATCTCTCCTGGTTCACACCATCTCTGTTTCTCTTCTTTGCTCAGATATCTTTCCCAAAGTGGAGACCAGGGTTGTTCTTGTGGGAGAAGCTGGCAGAAATGAAGCTCTGGTCAAAGCACTGCAGGTACATAATTTCTTTCCTAATCCTGAGGGTCCACTATGGCCGTTTCGGTTCTGACAAGGTGGCATTCTTTTACCCTATACACTGGGCATCTTCACTGCTGTTTTAAGTTTGAGAAGAAGAATGTGAGACTTTGTTTTGATGGATGATGCCCACCTGTCCACCTGTTTTTAAAATGGAAATGACTTTGTTTTTTGCTGGGAAAAAAAATGCTGACAGAATTTTCCTAAAGGCTCACTGTAGGAAATTGTGGAAGTAGAGCAACATACTCACTTGATCATTTTTTAGTAAGTTGAAAATTGCCTTCCACACACATTTTTTCACACAAACTTTGATTGCAATGATGCATTGCTATTCTACCTGATACCTTTATGTGAAAAGTGCTTGTTTGACTAAATCCAATATTTAATTGCCTCTGGCTTTCAGACTTTGTGAGGAGTACCTTTTCTTGCTAACTCTGTTACATTGACAAACTTTTCAACTTTAGTGTGCAGTATTTGGTAGCCTGTCACAACCTACACTATTTGAATGATGGTATTTAATTACAGCTGCTGACTGTAGCTTGATTGTTTATTTTCAGATTGAACTTCTCTTTCAAATAATCTCATTGGCTCAACATACCTTAAAGGGATTTTCCAGCGTAAAACTAAGTTGAGGTCAAACACACCATAACACTGAGTTAGACACCCCCTGGAGAGATGAATGTTGCTGACTGCTTGCTTCTCGAGTTGTTCCAACTTCAGCAAAGACAGCACGATAGCAATACAACGTGGTCTATGGCTCCACGTGCACACCTCAACCAAAAAGCCAATCTATAGCCACAAATAATGCTCAGAACAGCACCAAACTTCATCAGCAGTACGTATAGGGTCCCAGCAAATAGTATTAGCCATCAAATATCTTTTTAGCTTTGCCTAGTTTCTTTAGCAAAGAGACCAAACCATAGACTGTATATACTATGGACAACTTGGTTCCGCCTTCCGCCAGTATACGGATTTGAAGCCGAAAAGCTCTCAGTATTTCCACAATTTTTCTTCATTTCCTGAAACCAACATTGTGCAGTAGCATTGCATGCATTTGGCGGGAGAGTCACAGAGAGTCGCTGTGATGACGCTCAACTCAAACAGTGTATCCCCTAGGTGAGCTACACAATCTTCGTACACCCATAGGCTGTATCAAGTGTCAATCAAAGAAAATATGAGCCCCCTAATAACTTTTGAAAATGTAGCTGTACAGAAAAATGAGGACTTGGGCATAAACCAGTCTTACAGTAACTACATGTCAACATTGCAACCAAGGGGGGAGAAAAAAATTTTATGCTAGAATATCCCTTTAAAAGCTCAACTCAAAACTCCACTAATCTGAGATAGCTTTCCTTGTCGTCTCTGCTTTCAGCAGTGAGTGGCAAAAGAAATTAAGCTTATCCGGTTTTCTTTTAGTCTATGACTAGGGGAACTTAAGATGAGGAAAGTGAATAATCTTATTATTTGAGCGACACCACCACAGTTCTGTAAAAAAGTTAAACTTGACCTGTGTCTTGACATCAATCATTTGATTTTGGTAGATGTATTTTTTCATTTTTATGAACATGATCTTGCATTTTACAAATCATTGCAACGAGGTCTACTTGTGGATGTACAGCTCTGTGCAAGTTCAAACCTTACCTAGCGTATAAGTAGCTAAATTCATTGTATGGTTCAGGGAGAATTTGTACTCTAATCTGAGCCAGAGCTTATAAGGAGCTGGTCCAATGAGCCACAGGACTATGTAGTGCTGGGCGATAGGACGATAAATATCGTGGGCACGATAGAAAATGTCTATCGTGCCATTTTTTTTTTTTTTATCGTTTCGGCGATAGGCTGTATTTTATCCATAGGGCTTGTGCCATCAGATGATTCATAGTAACAACAACAATAATTGCACATTCAGTAAGTGTATTTGGTGTCGAACGGGAAAGAAAACAATATTTTCTTACAAAGAAAAGGATGCGTTGACATGTAGGCTCGCATTTCTCTTTCGATTTTGTGACATGACGCCGCTTTACGTGCCCTCTTTATGTCCAGCGTCTCCCGCCGTTGCGGGTTACCTGGATTACACACGTGAGGGGATCATTGTAAGCAGTGCTTAATTTGTGCCGGAGCAAGTCGGAGCGCGATCCGGGACCTCTTTTGATCGGATCCGGGACCTATTTCAGCCGTTCCGGCACCTGTTTCATCTGCTCCGGGACCTTCCCTGTAGAGGATGACATTTTTCGGGAATTCCCGTGGGTCACGTGATTCCCGCGGGAATCCCACGGGATGGGAATCATTTTTTAATGAATCCCTTGATCGGGACGGGACGGGAAAAAAGCAATGGGAGTGGGCAGGAGCGGGAACAACAATAAAAGATGATCATTTTCAGCCGTGTTTAACAACCAGATGAGCAGGTGCGTCCATTTTTGTAGTCATCTCTCAGTGAGAGCCAACACTCTTGACCACGCTAGCAACACAAAAGAACTACAACAGTGGTTTGACTTCCTGTCAGCTGGGAGCGCGGCTGCGCATTTGTACCCTTCAAGCCAGCAGCGAGGAAACGTAATTTTGTGACATTCTGTAGTTTTTCAATCATTTCTGGAGTCGTGGTGAATCAAATCATCTTAACTGTCTGCCCCTGATAGGCGAATAAAGCGCTCGGATTCATGCTCGGGTCTTGCTACGTGCTTCAAGAGTAAAGTAAACAATGATGGATGCGGAGAGCAGCTTTGGAGGAGAAACATCTTGCAGTGTGAACAACCTCTTCAACAGAGCCCTAAAGACCTACCTTTTTGATAAAGCCTTAGGTTAGCTTTCCTTTATGCTTTTACTACCTTGCCTCTTACATTGCAACTCTATATTCTTTATTTTTTTTTATTCTTTTATGCTTTTTTATGCCAATCTGTGACTGTCATTCTATTGCTTTTTTATTGTTGCTGCTCTTTTTTTACTGTGTACTGTAGCACTTTGAGATTTTTTGTAAATGTAAATTGCATTACAAATTAAATTTATTATTATTATTATTATGGAGTGCTTTGGCTCACACTATCGGCGTTTTCTGTGAGTGTTGCATAACTTTGGGTGAGCACAGACATGAACGCACTTCAGCCACGTATTTATTTATTCATTTTTCTAGTTTTAAGTGCTGGTCTTGTACTGGTACTGTACTAGTGCAGCTGTATACATTTAAATTTTTCATAGAACTGAAAGCATACCATAGCTATATCGTGATATATATTGTTATCGTGATATAAAATGATCCATATCGTGATATACATTTTTTTCCATATCGCCCAGCACTAGGACTATGTCAACCTTCTTTTGGGTGGTCAAAATTCACAGTCAATACTTTATTGTGGTAATATACAGCCGACCGTGTCATATGAAAATAAAAGAAAAGAAAAAAACGTTTTTAAGCAGAACAGCATTATGGTAGGAAATTTAGGACCGCAGCTCCTACTTGTTCAAGTAGTCCCCATAAACAGAAAATTTATATCATTTAATGGGGTTGTAGCATAATGAAACAAACAACTTGTACCAACTTATGTAATATTTAGTTTAATCTGCAAAGAATTGGTGTTCATCGGTCTAAGGAATCATATAGCATAATTTAATTTCCTGTCTGCACTGTTGTTGGAACAATCAAGTGTCCATCAGTGTTTGTTTGTATTCACTCCATTGAGCTGTACAGTTTTGTGTCTTTGAGCATCAGCATGTGAAGGTGGTTTGGAGGCGTGGCGGCAGACTAAGTGCCGCTAGAATGACTTTCTTTCCAGGTCTCCTGAGCCCTGTCACTTCTGAAGGCTTTCTGCTTAAATCATCTATTCCTCCCTGCCAATCTAAAGTGCAGCCACATCCAAAGACATCTGCCGACAGCTCCATCAGAGCACTCTCGGTTGCCTGCCTGCCTGTCCGCCTGCCTGCTGCTACCCCTCATGCAACTCACAGACCCCCCCCTGCCATTTCTTTATGTCCTTTTCCCTTTTTGTCCTCTTTCTTTCCTCCCCCCATCAGCCCTCCCATGGGCTTTGAACTTTTATATTAATTTTTAACAGAATTTTCCTCTCCTCCCCAGCCAACGCCCTCTGAAGCTTGATATTTGTTTGAAGTCTCTGTCTTTGCAAGGACAAGGATTCCGCCCCATCTCTTCTTCCAGCCTCCTCGTTTTTCCTGCATTCCTAAACTTAGACAACCTTCCTTTTGTCCTCATAAGGGGGTTAATGTGTATGAGTTTCTGTCTTGTTCTCTCTCTCTGCTTATTCTCTCTCAACCCCCTGTCCCTCCCTCCTCATTTTATTCTACCGCTTTCCTCTTCTCAAATGCCAGTGTTTGACATCCACTTCCTGCTGGTTGGTTTTTACAGGCCATCAAAGTAATGGAGGTACCTGTGGTAAAGATAAGAGAAGGCGAGACGGGTGCAGAGGAGAAAATGATGATAAAATCTTTAGTCAATATGGTACAGTACATTGCCTGCCTCTGTGTGAATGTCTGACACTGTGATTGGAGCTTGGGGAAGTGCTGTATGAGTGTTAATTCAAACTGGCAAGTCACTCAATCATTGTGCATGGTCAAGTCACTGATGGTGAAATGATTTGTGGGTGAGAGTTTGAATAATGATGGAGAACTACTCTGTGTCTAAATTGCTATCTAACAGATTTGCACTCAAATGTCAAAGCAAGTTTTCTAATTGAGAAGAAGCAATTTGAAGCTCATTGATGACCTCTGATTGAGTTCTAGTATGTGCTAACTCCAGGTGTTTGTTTTTAGCTGTTTTTACTGTAAAAGTTGCAAACAGTCCATTTCAAACGAATTTGCTCTAAGAGTACTTTATAGACTACTGTAAGAATGTGACCGATAGAAATGCACCATAGAGGCTTTGATTTTTGAGTGTTTGGCCAAACAATAACTGAAAATAATTGCAAAATATGTTTGCTTTCTTTCTTCTTTCTTTTTTTCATGTCAATAAATCCACTGATTGATCACTTTCACATTTCTTTACATGACTTAGGTCAGGAGGCTCTGAAATTAGGGTAAACGGGGGCTGTCTAAGCTTTAAACACTAACTGCATGAAGCTTGTTAATGTCTCAGTAACACATAAAGTACATAAATCTTGCTTTTTGACAGTTACCTCTTGAAAAATTATCTTGAACTTAGCAAAAGGTTTTGGAACTTAGAACCTGTCTGGCAAAATTTTAAATAAATAACATTTCTTATTGAGCTTCAAGAGAAAAGCAAAGAGAGGTATTTTTCAGAATGTTAACTTATGTTTTCACACTAGTGTCTCACAGTTGTTGTTCTTGAAGATGTGGAGTGCAGAAACGTGCAGTATATAGTAGAACATACTTGACTGAAATGTAATGTAGAATTTATATGTATGTAATCCCACATAAATTCAAAAATCATTTAGATTTAGTTGATTTTGAAGAAGAAAAATATATAAATGTATATTCTTAAGGCAATCTTTTGCTATACTGACAGGAAAGGCAGAGCATTTTTGTCTAGAACCTGATTGCTAGATATTGCAAATCACTTAACAGATTGATTTAAAATAATTAAACCCTGTACCTGTGTGTGCCTCTTAACCTTATTTGCCTTTGTCCTATGTCGACAACTGGAACCAATTTCCTTTTGTAATTTATTGTGGAGACATTTGCAGGTTCTACTCCACCTAGCTCAGTATGGGTAAACAAAAAGGCTTCCGAGCCCCAATAGTATCTCTTCAAAAAATAAGAGAAGAAACAAATGATTGTCCATGTGGTATCACAAAGTGTTCTTTGGTGTGTGGCACTGCGACATTATTATGAAACTAGTAACAGTACATGTGCACTGTTTCTTTATTAGTAAAGGTTTTTCCATTTGGTCCTTTTAGTTGGACTGAAGGGTCCTGTACTGGTAATTACAGCTACTTGAAGAGGTGAAACACAACCATAACATTTTACAAATTTTCAGCGAGTCAATCAAAAATGGTAAAAAGGAATTTGAACAAACAAGTTTTGCCTTTCTGCATTTGCCAATGATACATAGTTGGTTCCTGTCTTTTCTGTTTTTTTTGGTCTTTTAAATGGCAACAAAGAATTTCTTTCAATAATGAAATTAACTCAAATAACCTATGTCCAACAACCTCTCTAACAAGCCTAACTATTACTTGTGTGCCTTTATATATGCATTCTCTATATTTTATCAGCTGGTAATGAACAGCTTCACCATTCAGTATTTTCATCCTTTCTGTACAGGACATTGACACCCCATGCATGATAACAAACAATGTTCAGGAGTTTGGGGATGGAGAGAACACTGACTTTGAGACAGTCTTTGTCCTCACGGACTTTGGTTCTACTGACTACAGCTACCTCTACAAACGCGACAATCGCATCATCGGGCCTCCTGTTGTATTGCACTGTGCTGCAAAAAAAGAAGTAAGACATTTACTGAAATCAGAATGGTCAGAAACTGGCTTCACATACAATGGATACCATCAAAAAGTGTCTGAACTCATTTTCAAATATCTATTGCAATTCTCTGCCTTGTCCTGATACTATGGCGTTTTAAACCTTTAGAGCCAGGAATTCAATTGAAAAAATTACACCTTCACTTTGAAACTCCAGCTGTGGGAAATATATTATTTTTGTCATGTGGGGGCTTACTAGAGACTGGCCTGAGATGAACCTTGATTTCACAAAGCACAATACAAAAAAATTCATAATGGTTTTGAACAGGATGATGGAGGGGAGTCGTCTCCACCTGCTGTGACGTCTGCCTGACATAGATTTCTCCTAGGATGCTAATGTGAAACATAACAATTTTCCCTGCCTGTATCTGCCATCACTAAGACAATTCTCCACACACTTTTCAGCTGAAGGCAGCACTTTCACTGATGCATAGTCTTAGACTGCATTGCAGGGCATCATGAAGATGCATACCCCTTATGTCAGGGGTCCTACAGTGAAGACAATGTTCATTATTGTATCTGTATAAGTTCTTCATTTGGCTTTGGATTTCTGTGAGGTTGTTAACATCAGTACTCAGGATTTGAATGTGTTTTAGTCAATACAAAAGTATTTTATACTTTCCTTTGAGATTTTACAAATCCATGTCTAATATGATACTGTCAAATTGTGTTACACACTGGTCCTCTAGAGAATTTGAGGTTGTGTTATTAAAAGTCATAATTGATTAGAGTTGAAATTTCAATCCATACTGACCTAAAGTTGAGATTGCACTGATCTTTGTATTTTCTTCTCATAGCCTTTGCAGTTTTCTTGTCGACCCCTTTACTCTACTACAATGCTGAGCCTGTCATTATGCTTTACTGGCTTCAGGAACAAAGAGGAAATGGTAAGTTTACTTGGGTAGCTTACTGTAGCATGAACCCTTTTTGAGAGAAGATTATTTAGATGAGGTCATTTTAAATGTCAGTCATGTTATAATTTGTGGACAAGTTTTGGGAGCATCATTGTACAACCTCAGCTCCATCAAAAACTATTGGGCCTTGTAAATGTTAATCAACACAGAAGCTGATGGTTTGCAAACCATAGAAATCATATATTTAATTGAAGAGAGTGCAACAACATTATCAGATGTTAAAACTGAACTGGTATTTTGTTTCGTTAGTAATGTATACACTCATATGTAACTCTATGCCCACAACATATTTAAAGTTGAGACAATAACAAGCTAAAAGGTGTGTTATGTCACCTCCTTTAACAACACTGTAAATATTTGTGAACCAAGGTAACCAGTGCCTGTTTCAGTGAGGAGGTTCAACAGACTTCCTCAGACTTCCTCTTGATTCACCCTCAGATGGGAAAGTGAGTGTTCAGTTTCCAAAGAGCTGATTAGAGTTCGATTAACTCTGATACAATTCACTCAAAGCTAAGCGTGTGCACATGTAAGATGACTATAGGAAGCCAATACAAAAGGAGCCCAATCCTGCGATTCATCGTGGAAACAGCTGGCAAAAAGGCCCCTGTGGAATTTAGAATTCTTGTGCCCATAAACAGAGAGTTTCAACATTGCACTAGAAAAAAGAAGTGACAATTCTTCTAGCAGCAAAAGAGAGGGCAACCAAGAAAACTGCTGCTTGAGTCAAATGTGCAAGTTTGAATGTTGTCTATTAGTTTAATATTTTATCACACATTTTTATCACACATTTATTAACTGGTGGGCTACTATTGAACTAAAATTGATAGGTTTAGTTTAGATGCAGTTTTGGTGAAGAAAAGCAAACTCAAAAGTAGCTAAAAATGAAATATAAGACTGTTGCTTCAACAGGTAAGGCTAAGGTATAATATACTTTGTGGTGTTACCTTGCTTCGTTATATGACATATTTAAAGTAAATATCATTCAGTTGCTTTTGATATGCACCAATTTTATTGTCAACATAATACTGGTTCACACATTAATAGATCCTAGTTTTACAAAACATTGGGAATTGGGGTTTTGAAAAGACAATAACTTTGATTTGTCAGAAAACATTTTCATTTTGCACACTGGTGTCCTAAACTGCATTTGCATTTTTCTTTGATGAAAAAATTAACATGTACTCAGTTCCAACATCTGATATGTTGTTTTTTTTAATGATTTGCAAACCATCAAAATGTGATTTTTATTACCTTTTTAAACAGTGTCACAACTTTTAGGGGTATATTGATTATGGTTGCACTGAGAAATGTTTTTTTTTTTTTCTAAGTGAATTTATTGCTGTCATGATTTATTGCAAGCACTGTTTCATACACAATAACATGTATCCAGTTGATAACAATGATAATTGGTTTGCAGATTTTAGAAATTAAATAATATGTCAAGATAATAATGTATTGATAATGATTGAAGATCAAAAGATATCTCACTATTAATCTCCCCTTTTGTCCTAAGCTTGTTCTTGGTGTTTTTGTTTTTCATGTAGAAGAATCTTGTGAATCTGGTTCATCACATGGGTGGAACTATCCGAAAAGACTTCAGCACCAAAGTTACTCATCTCATTGCCTACTCCACCCATGGAGAGAAATACAGGGTTTGTATACATGCATACCTTTTAGGATGTACTCTGATCTTGCTGTTTTCCTTTCCAGTGCTTATGTAACAATTGTACACAACTGACTGCATCATATGGTCTAACATGTAAACAGTATACATCGAAACCAGGCAAAATACAATGTTCTGTATATTCCAGACGCAGAAAAAAGCAGTCGATGTAAAATCAAGAAAGGAGGAACCAAAGTACAAACAGCCCCCCGCACGCGCACGCGCACACACACACACACACACACACGATCATAATCACTCAAATAAATTTATCAGCTTCCATGTTATTGAATACTGTACCACTTTTTTCATTTTCAGCTACAAGAAAAAAACAAAAATGAAGCTACAGTGGATATAAAAAGTCTACACACCCCTGTTCAACTGCCAGGTTTTAGTGATGTAAGAAATTGACAGCAAGATAAATATTTTTACAACTTTTTCCACCTTTAAATGTGACCTATAACCTGTACAATGCAATTGAAAAACAAACTGAAATCTTTAAGGGGGAAAAATAAAAAAATAGAAAAGTTAAAATAACCTGGTTGCATAAATATGCACACCCTTAAACTAATACTTGGTTGCAGTTTTGTTACATCACTCAGTCTTTTTGGGTAAGAGTCTATCAGCATGGCACATCTTGATGTGGCAGTATTTGCCCAGTGTTCTTTGCAAAACCGCTCCAAATCTGACAGATTGCGAGGGCATCTCCCATGCACAGCCCTCTTCAGATCACCCCACAAATGTTCGATGGGATTCAGGTCTGGCCTCTGGCTGGGCCATTCCAAAGTCTCAATCTTATTTCGGGGTAGCCATTCTTTTGTTGATTTAGATGTGTGCTTTGGGTCATTGTCATGCTGAAAGATGACATTCCTCTTCATCTTTAGCTTTCTAACAGAAGGCCGAAGGTTTTGTGCCAACACTGACTGGTATTTGGAACTGTTCATAATTCCCTCCACCCTGACTAAGGCACCAGCTCCAGCTGAAGAAAAACAGCCTCAAAGCATGATGCTGCCACGACCATGCTTCACTAGCCTGGCTGGGCCATCCTGTTGCGTGAATCACTTGCCGTTCCTTCCCACAACAGTCTGGACTTCGGCCAATTGGGAGTGTGTATTCCCAGTCAGAAAATAACCGGGCCAATCAGAGACAGTGTTTCCACTGTTACCCGGACAACAGGGAAAGGCAGCCCTTGATTGGTCCATGTGTAGATGGTGACGTCTAACACATGCTGCAGGACTTTTCAAAGCGCCGTTCATTCAGAACGCCGTTAATTCTGCAGTTGACTTTGCAAAGTCAGCAGAAATCGTTTATATCCTATAACCTATATCCTATGTGTAGACTTTTTATATCCACTGTATATGAAGTTTTTACCAGCATAGCTTGAGTCCCAGTTGATGGGTCTGATGTCAGATAGTGAATTTGAATTTATTTATTTGGTAGGGACGTTAAGTTTTAACATAGTATCATAATAGAGCATGAATCTGATGTGCTGCACAGAGAGTTTGAGGCAAATTTCCAACTCTTGTCTTTCTCAAACTTGGGGAATCAGCCCAAGTTGATAGATGAATAGCTAAACAGATTGACAACCATCATATTATTATTCTTTCTTTTTTGCTCTTCACAGATCAACAGAAGCTTGATAATGTTTTCTTTCAATCATCTCTACCAATGGTTTTAGATGTAATCTTTGTCTTTTCCATAGCTCTACTACTGCTCTTTTTTCAGTTCTCCTTTCTTCCTTAAAATCTTGTAGAGGCTGCTCTTTTTGGTGAGTAGAACCCGAGAAAAAGTTGCTAGAGATTCCTGGCTTCCAGATCGACAGTTGCAGCTTTTTTCCCTTTTGAAAGTATGTTTCAGACTAAAAAGGAACGTTTCAACCACGGAATATCTTGTACTTCCTTTTGCAATACGCTTTAAGTGGAAACTGTTTGTACCTGATGCATTTTTGTTGTGATTCTGATTGACTGTATGATCAGGTGTGATGAAAACACATGAGATTGTATTACACTAAGAGCACAAACAGTTTAACTTTTGAAGGTGTAGCGGTTCTAAAACCTTCGTGTTTTAGTTTCTGTAAACCTCATCTTCTGTTGGCACGCTTACTTTTGTTTAGTTTTGTTGTCTTCCTCAACTTATATCTTCTTTGCCTTCATCACATAGCTGGCAGTGTGCATGGGGACACCCATCCTTACTCCATCATGGATTTACAAGGCTTGGGAGAGAAGAGATGAAGTGTAAGTTTAAAGTCCTCCCAGGAGCACTTTACATCATTGTTTTTTTAAGCTTGTATTTAATTTGAAATTATTCTTTCAAAAAGTTTGAAGAAAAGTTTTTACATGTTTCAAGCTCATTCCTTTTACACAAGACTACTTTCTTCTTTAAGTTTATAAATTTACATTATAAATCAAGGACCCTTCGATAGCCTTTTAAACTGTACTTAAGGTATGAAGTCATGGATCACAAAGAACTTTTTACTGCTCAACCAGGATTTATTCATTGGTACTGGAGCTCAGAGAGAGAAACTGGATGCTATACTCGAAGCACTATCTTTTAACCCATTAGATTAGATTAGATTAGATTAGATCAGATGCAACTTTATTAGTTCTTTTTGGAAGGTTTTCTCAAGTTAATTAAAATTCCAGCAACATCATGTACAGAAAAGAAAACTAATGTTCAAATATACACAACATATATAAAGAAAAAAGATGGAACTGAATTTCAAGATAAATTATGTATTTATATAAAGATTTTACATTATCAGCATTTGCACATTACTGTTACAACAACTACTGTAACTATAACTCCAATAACTTCATCCTCTGTCCTCCTGTTACCCCTCTTGCTCCTTAGAGAGGAGTTTCACATGTTGACTTTCATTCAAGAAACACAATGCTTGTAGCTTTTCGATAACTTAATCTCCAGAACTGTTACACCACACAGTTTCCCTCCAGAATGCCATTTTTACCACACTGCCCACTGCGCATGTTTGAACCTTAGTCTGTGTGGGACTGTAGGGGGTGTTATAAAGCAATCAAGGAGTAATGCCATATATGAAATGGTTACAATACAATGTTAACAGTACAGTCTGATGGTATAAGGAAGAAAGGAGTTTTTCAGTCTCATTGGTTCTGCACTTAGGAAGGAGCAGTCTGTCACTGAACAGGCTCCTCTGGTTGATGATGATGACAGTGTGCAGAGGTTGACTTAGGCCTGGGCGATTTTGGCAAAAAAAATGATCACGATATATTTTGTCATATCGTCCCATCTCGATTATTATCAAGATTTTTTTTAAAGCATCTGTACTAAAAACTAAAAAAACACTAGAGATTAGTTCAACATTTTATTAACATACAAAAGTAAATAAAGCAAATTGAATAAGATAAACGTAGAAAAATATTTAAAAAACATTTTAACTCGAATGTAAATAAATACTACGTAATACAGAGAACTAGTTTACAGTCCTGAGTGTTTTTGCAGGCATGCAAGACCCAAAATAAACAAATCGCCCCCTCAGAGATAATGAAGATGCTTTAAAATGTAAACGTAGATGATATGCATACCTTTCAACATTTAGGTTATAAAATCCAGGAGTTGTTTGTGGTGCACGCTGGGCAGTTTTGGAGTGACCTTGTACGGTGGATATGAGCTAATTACGAGAGTATTTGTAATTAAATTGCTCATCCAAATAAGTCTAATTGAAGCTGCACACTTTCGTTTAGTTTTAACAATAACAAATGGTAATAAAAAAATAGATGCCTTGAACTTATTTAGTCCACTAATATTAGAGTTAAAGGTCCCATGGCATGCCAATTTCACACAACTTAAAATAGTCCCCTGGTGTGTTAAAAGCATGTCTGTGACGTCCTTCGGTCAAAATTCGATTTGGATCAATTATTTTAATGCTCTTTATATCAACTAAAAACAGCTCCGCTCAAAATCCTCCGTTTTGGGCCATGTCTCTTTAATGAAATGAGCTGCACCTAAGCCACGCCCACTTTACACCCATCTCTCTGGAAGGGGCTGTGGCTGTGCTCCGATAGCCATGTGCTAATGTTTACACTGGCTCGGTCATAGCTGCCAGAGGATCGCTCGTACAACCCTACCAGTTTGAGCCAGAGTCTGACCCAGAGGGAGAGGCTCCAGAAGAAACTCTTAGCCGCGTTCAGACCAAACGTGACTTGAAGCGACCTAGTCGACACATCCTATGTATTATTCAAAGCTGCCAGGAGGGTCATGCTTAAGGAGGAAGATATGAATGTAGAAAAAATTACAACCAGACCTCCGCTACAATATAAGATTTTGGTGCTCCAAAGCTTCTCTGAAGCCTTTGCTAATTAATAGGATGGCCGACCGTCCAGCATTAGCCGGAACGTCCCATATTTGAGCCAAAAGAGGCGTGTCGCCGCACGGGTCAATGCTAAAGCTACATGCTGCGCCGGAGGGGGATTTTGTCCCCTGCCGGCGGAGTTGTCGGGGAAGAAGCGAGCGGCTAAAATACGGGAGGATCTGGTAAACTGGCGCGGATCCGGTGCGTTTATCAAAGTGTGGTGGCCGTGCTGAGGCACCGGGGGGAATTTAGGCTAAACAGTCAGTCAAAATAAAACGTCCATACTTACAGATGCCACATTTGTAGTAGGATCATGGGTAGTTGGTACGGATCCATTCTTTATCTTCAGACATCTAGCAAATCAAGCCTTAAACTGTCCCTCGTTGATAAAACAGTCCGAAGTGAAATGGTGCGCACATACATACAGATATTTTGGAAGTGCCGTGGGTACGTTCCCATTTTAAATAAAATCCACCCATTGAGTCCTCAAATCCTCCAACAAGGGAGTTTTCAAAAGAGTTTTGTGCCCGTTTGTGTAGCCAACAACAGAGCAAACGCTGCCTCTTTTTCAGATCGTACTTTCGCCATGGTATTAACCGGAGCAATGCGAGCGAGCAGCCTGGAATAATGGCGCTGTTTTGATAATTTTTTGGGCAGGGCAGTGGGCGGCTCCATGGGCAGTACCATCAACCCGCCAGCACTGACATGACGTCATGTCAGTGGAGTTTTCAGAACGACCGGCTCTGAGCACACAGTTCCTAAATACGGAGATAACTAAAAAATGACTGGATGGAATTTTTTTGAAACTTGGGGGGATTGTAGCGGTTTTCTATCCCTGATATGCACCGCCCTCCCGTTAACAAAGTCGGTTTTTCATGCCATGGCCCCTTTAAAGTCCTCATATGTTTTACATGCTCTCCCGTATGAGGTTCTCTGAACATCTGTGCATGAAATACAGCGCTTTTTTATCCGAGGCTGCCCTGAACGCATCATTCTTGCATATCTCATGTTTGTTTTCCTTTCATTGAAGTGTTCATTTTCCAACAAACACTGTTTAAATATAGTTTACAGCTGAAACCAACCTGAATCATCCAAAACTATAAAGTAAAAGTATCAATCCAGTGTCTGTGAGGCCTGTGTTCAGCAGAAACACAGGACTATCTCCGGTTGTCTGGAAACCTGGAAACTTTAGACAAATATAGTGATCCAATTCATGAATGAATGCGGACCATGCTACGAGAAATTCCCGGTAGAAATGACATTACCGGTGGTGGGTGGGAGATAGGTCTGAAATACGGGGAGAGTCCCGGGAAAAACGGGAGTGTTGGCAGGTATGGATATGATTGATCCCTGTTTTGGTCTGGTGGCTGCATCGCTAGTTGTGGCTAAACTGCTAATGCTACTCATTTATTCAAAACTTTTATTGCACAGAGTGAACAGCAGCAGCAGATCCACTATCTGATGCCAGGCATACCTGATTGCACTTGTCTAAGCCCCAGTCTTGAAGAAAATCCCTCCCACTTTGAAGAATTACCCTTTTTTTTTTGGCAAATCTTGTATATGGCAGAAATTTGTTCAACATCCCACTTAACATATCCAGACCAGTTTCATATTAATGATGTGGAGCCTTGTTTGGCAACAAACTGGCAGTCCGCAGTGTATATGGGAAAGAGAAAAGGGGGCAGCACCGTCCCCTGGAGTGCTCCGGTGCTGCTGATAAGAGTGTCACACGTGATGTCCTCCAGCCTGATGTACTCCGGCCTGTTGGTGAGCTGGAGTAGCTAGAGGTCCACATGACACAGGGCAAACGCACTAAGGAACTGGCCCCTATACAATAGTATTCGGTTTGCTACTTGTCCTACAGCATGAGGAGTTGTAGGACAAATCATATATCAAAACATGGGGTTTGATTGCGATTAGTGTGCTATTGTTTTTCATTTTTGGAGAAAGTTTGAGATTAAAATGGGTGTGTATTGCATGCAATCTTCGTGACAGAGTGGGTGACATAATCGGCTAGAGTGAGAGAAGTTTCATGAAATTGTCTGAAACTTTTCTCTTTCCAAGCTCCTCCCAGCTAGAAATTACACCCTACATGCATGTTTTTCCCCCAGTTGTAGACACACTTGTTCTGCCTCTAACGATGTGTTTATCTAAGCAGAGAGACTTTTAGATTTTAAACACTGAGCCCCTAAGTACTGCAATGCCTCTCTCTGCTTCTCATTGACGCAAATACAAAGATTTTCTGAGAGAAGCATAACAGACTCCTGTGTATAACTTGCAAGTATGTCCAAATGTTTTACTGCAGAAACACCAAAATCATATCAAAGTATTTATGAAGTCCTTATGATGACCAGGGTCTGCTTTTTTCTGATAGGAGCTACCATTTTGTCAGAGTAAGCCCAAAAGTGAGTCCAGCACCAAGGCATAAATACCTCTTTTTCACGCAGTTTTGACTGCCTCAGCCTGCAGTGCGTCTATCGTCATGGGCAACCAGCTTAAGTTGCCCTGGCAACCATTGAGCCTCAGGCCAGGCCCTTAGCTGAAACCGTTTTATTAATCAGGGATTGCTTTGATATTTCTGCATCATTGAATCACTTTAAGAGCAATTTGATAAACGATAAAACGCTGATGCTAAATCAAAATTGGGATTGGTGTGATCGGGATTTTATATCGTGTATGAATTTTTTGTGACGTAAGTTGCAAATCCTTGACTGAAGTCAATGGGCAGGCCAAAAAAAAAGAGCAATTATTGGAGTTTTTAAACGTCAACCACTCCAGCTCTAATTTTTTCTTCATAGTAAATACAGTGGAGGAAATAATTATTTGATCCCCCACTGAATTTGTAAGTTTGCCCACTGACAGAGAAACTAACAGTCTATAGTATTTGATCCCCTACCAACCACTAAGAGTTCTGGTTCCCACAGAGTGATTAGACACTCCTGCTCAATTAGTCACTCTCATTAAAGACACCTGTCTTAACTAGTCACCTGTGTAAAAGACTCCTGTCCACAGAATCAATCAATCAAACAGACTCCAAACTCTCCAACATGGGAAAGACCAAAGAGCTGTCCAAGGATGTCCGAGACAAAATTGTAGACCTGCACAAGGGTTGAATGGGCTACAAAACCATTAGCAAGAAGCTGGGAGAGAAGGTGACAACTGTTGGTGCAATTGTTCGAAAATGGAAGGAGCACAGAATGACCATCAATCGACCTTGGTGTGGGGCTCCACGCAAGATCTCACTTTGTGGGGTGTCAGTGATTCTGAGGAAGGTGAGAAATAATCCTAGAACTACACAGGAGGAGTTAGTTAATGACCTCAAAGCTGCTGGGACCACAGTCACAAATAAAACCATTGGAAACACATTACACTGCAATGGATTAAAATCCTGCAGTGCTCACAAGGTCCCCCTGCTCAAGAAGGCACATGTGCAGGCCTGTCTGAGGTTTGCCAATGAACACCTGAATGATTCAGAGAGTGACTGGGAGAAGGTGCTGTGGTCAGATGAGACCAAAATTGAGCTCTTTGGCATTAACTCTACTCGGCGTGTTTGGAGAAAGAAAAATGCTTCCTATGACCCCCAAAACACCATCCCCACCGTCAAGCATGGAGGTGGAAACATTTTGCTTTGGGGGTGTTTTTCTGCTAAGGGCACAGGACAACTTCACCGCATCAACGGGAAAATGGACGGAGCCATGTATCGTCAAATCCTGAGCGACAACCTCCTTCCCTCTGCCAGGAAACTGAAATTGGGTCGTGGATGGGTGTTCCAGCACGACAATGACCCAAAACATACAGCAAAAGCAAAAAAGGAGTGGCTCAAGAAGAAGCACATTAAGGTCATGGAGTAGCCTAGTCAGTCTCCAGACCTTAACCCAATAGAAAACCTATGGAGGGAGCTGAAGCTCAGAGTAGCAAAGAGTCAGCCTCGAAACGTTGGTGATTTAAAGATGATCTGCAAAGAGGAGTGGTCCAAAATTCCTCCTAAAATGTGTGCAAACTTGGTCATCAATATACCTTTCGGTAGGCTCCGCCCAACCACCTCTCCCCCATAGTTACAGTTGCTATGCAGGGACAAGCTTTGCACAACCAGCGTTCAAAACAATGGCGGCGCCCCTACTTTGCACGTTAAAATGAAGGCTGTACCTGATGTTTTGATTGATGAATTTTTGAGGGAAAGCTCAAATATCTCTCAGAAATCTTACCAACAAGGCCTGCAATATGCAGTGAAGGAATATGTGCACATTATTCAGGTTTCTACGGACAAAATAGAAGCTAAAGTGTATTGCTTTCAAAGGAAGAATGATAAACCACATCTTCTGGTTCTTTACTATGTCGGCGACAGTATCACCAGACAGGGGTGTTTGTGTATCGCAGGGTAAGTTCTACACAACTATTAAGTACTTACTAGATTACTAGATAAACATAATGAGGAAATAATTTAACTAGTGGTATACTGCTCGGTGATTACGTGGTGGTGTGTTGAACTTTACCAAGTGACCCAAACTTTCTGCAAAGCATGCTTGCTAACATGACTCCGTTTGTAAGTCATGTCATGGCAGTCTATCACAAATAAACAGCTTAAAATGTTAAAAAGAAACACTGGACATGTTACACAGCATGCTCATTAATCTAATGGTGATCTAATGGCCTATCACTGAGCTTAACTTGTCTTGTTGATATTATATTGTTAATCAACTTCTGAAATAGCCCTAAATAACATGGGATTCAACGGGTGATGCGGCCATGATGTCCGACTTTTGTTTGCTACGCTGTAATTGGACCATCGCAGTCTGGGGGCGGAGCATACCAAAGAGTCTATTACAAGAAACGTTTGACCTCTGTGCTTGCAAACAAGGGTTTTGCCACTAAGTATTGAGTCTTTTTTGTGAGAGGGTTCAAATACTTATTTCACTCTCTGAAATGCAAATCAGTTTCTGTCTTTTATTTAAAGTTATTTTCTCAATGTTCCTTTTGATGTGCAATCTGTTAAAATAAACCTAACATTATAATAATACTGTTCTGAGACTTTTCATTTCTTTGCCAATGGACAAACAGCAAGGGATCATAAATTATTTCCTCCACTGTAAATAATTCAAACAGGAATGTTTTTTGGTGGTGTACTCCTTGTATATAATATCACAGTGCTATTAGTATTGATTATTTGAAATCTCTCAAGACTCTCATCATAATGTGCACACCCTATCAGTGGCCACCCCGGCCCTTTCAAAATTGCGCGGAGGGATTAAGAGGAAACTCTTAATGGTCTCGCACCAACTTATTGATCATATTTTCTTTTACAATATGAGCCTGTGAGGGTCCTCAGGTCTTCAGGAAGTGGTCTTTTCACTGTGCCTAAAGTACAAACAAAGACTCAGGCAGCTTTTTAGTGTTGTAGCAGGTCTGAGGAACTGTCTGAAGACCTGAGAGCAGCACAGAGTATCCATGTTTTTAAAGCAAACTCAAGACCTGCCTTTTTAGCTGGGGTTAGAACTAAGTTTTAATTCTATTACTGACCATATAATATTAATTTTCTGAATTTTTTTTATCGAATTATCATTGTTATTACTGATGATGACGACTTTGTCCTCTCTTAATCTGTTAAGATACTTCCATGCTGGGGAAGAGGAGTTTCGAACAGAGTTCAAAGTGCCACCATTCCAGGACTGTGTCCTCACTTTTTGGGGTTTCTCAGATGAAGAAAAGGCCAACATGGAGGAGAGGACTCTTAAACATGGTCTGAGCTGGAATATTTAGGAATTTGTCTTAATCAGTTGATAGTCTGTCTGTGAGTGTATATGAAGCTATATAGACATGCTTGTGTTTTCTCTCACTACATTCTATTTGTTTATTTCAGGTGGCAGTTATCTTGAGATTGGAGATGAGAGGTGTACACACATGGTGGTGGAGGAAAACTCAGTGAAGGAGCTGCCGTTTTCTCCTTGCAAAAAGTTGTTTGTGGTCAAAGAAGAGGTAAAGCTTTTAATATTTAGAAAGTGTTGTAGGTTATAGGAAATATTTTGGTTAATGCAGTCTCTGTTCCCTCTCTCTGTCAGTGCTGTCAGAGAGAGGGGGATCAACGACAAATTTCACATCTCAGTGGATGAATAATTTGAGCCAGTAGAGCAGTGGCTCAGTTGTAGTTTTAACCCCTTCAATCAAAAGGGCCTTTTCTCTACCCCGCTAGATTTATTGCTTTTCAAAGACAAGTATAGGTCATTATGGTATCAAATCTTTTTGTTGTTGTTGTTTTATACACCAACCTCTGTGGTAACCCACAGGTCAGTGAAATCCCTTTTCTCTCTACTTTGGTAGTGGTTCTGGGGAAGCATTCAGATGGATGCCCGAGCTGGAGAGTCTATGTACCTCTATGAGAAGGTGAGTGCATTATGGGTATGGTTATCCCTGTGAATCAGGAATACCTGACTTGTGATATGTAAACAGTAAGAATTGTTTTTCCCTATGCTTGCTTAAGTATTATACAAAGGCACAAGATAAATCATGTCCTTACTTCTTTTTCATATCTATTTTAATTTAAGCTTTATTTACTGTGGGAAAAGTGAAACAGCACTGCAGCAACAGCTTCTCAGAGCAGTCAGTGTAAATCACATTTAAACTAACTGTAAAACTTTGAGTTTTTGATAATAATTGCTCAACAAGCTAGGACCTGCCTTTGTTTCAAGAATAAGTTGTGGAGAGCAACTTATTCAATTTTAGGCTTAATTGAATATATAGAACATCATTATTTAAACTACAAGCTAATTGTCAGATTCAGATCACATATGCAAAGTAAAAAAATATTATGACAGTGTGTTTATTATATTGTACAGACTACTGAGCAGTATGTAAGCAAGCACATTAAATTTATTTAGCTTTTCAATTAAAGTGAGTTCCCAACTTAATCAGTTTCTACTTGGGATTTAAAGTTCAATAATACCAACATTTTAAAATGACTTACTGGTGCAAGTTGCCATTACTCTGCTGCAAAAAATTCTGCATTTTTCTTTCATGAGGTCTTAAAAATTCATAAATAAGGTTTTAAAAAGAGTGTAGGAATCCTGTGTTGTACAGACTGAGTTAGCTGGAGACACTCTTAGCACTAAGGCTTCCTGCAAGGTCCTGACCACTGCTTTTAAACTTTTCCTCAGATCACTCACACTCCATCTGCAGTCTCACAGCAGTGATAACTGTGCTGCCATTAACACTTGTGACCCTGCTGGGTTTCAGGTGTAGCAGGAACTAAAGGCCAGGGTATGCTTCAAACCAGCTAACCACTTTACAGAGTGCTATTTTGAATGCCAAAGTGTTTTAACTTTTCCTTGAGGCCACACTAAGTGGCTTTTCTTTCCTTAACAGTTTTAAATCCTCCCACCAGATATTGAGGGCATACCTTGTTTGGCTTTCACCTGGCCAGTCACTTGTGGAACTGGTGCCTTTTAGTTGGATATTTGGGGATAGCTGTCATATGCTATGTACTGTGGCGAAGAATTACCATGCAGTATGACAAAATTATACAAGCAGGACATAAGATCTCTAAATAAAGGAAAATGACATTACTTTTTTTGTGCTTCCTCTATCTAAAATTTCAAAAGCTTTTCAAGAATTTTTAAATAATAATAATACTAATAATAACTTTATTTATATAGCACCTTTAAAAACAGAAGTTTACAAAGTGCTTTGACAACAGTTGCAAGCACAGAACATCAGCACATGAAAATAAAAACAAAAGCTCAGTTAAAAACAAGGCCTCTGAATTGTAGGCCAATTTCATTTTTCATAAGAAACCCAGGCTATACAAGAACCCTACAACATAAAATGGGACCATGAGGACCAAAATAAAAACATAAAATGAAGTAGAAAAGGAGGGCAGAAAGCAGGAAACAGGCTAGTAAGTATGAAAGAGGATATTATTGTTAATAATAATAAAATGATAATGATGGTAATATAAATGATAAAATGGAATAATAAAAACATTAAAATCAATGAAGGACCTAAGAGATAAAATAAGAAAAGATTATAAGTAAAACAAAGGCTAAAAGGATAGCAAGTCGAAATAAGAGGTAAAAGAGATATAGCTGAGCAGATAAGGAAATAATTGTTCACTTTTTTATACAAGCATGAAATTTGGTACATATACTCTTCAAACCCCACTCTTTTCAAAAATAACGGGGGGGGCATGCCTTTTACCTTCTCCTGGCCAACATGCTGAAATATGTCATGCACACTGATCCAGCGCAGAGTCTGACCTTGCCCAAATGCAAGCCACATATGCTGTAGGCCAGCCTCTTGGAGACCGCTGAATACACTTATTGCTAAGATCAGAACATCTGTGTCATTTGCCTTGATCATGATGGATTGGCTTCCAGTTGCATGTTTGGCATGCACGAAGATGCTGCTGTCCCCTTCCTCATGAGAGCATTTATCCAGTCCATCAAGACCAGTTGCACGAGTGCTGAGGACAGCAAGTCCCTTTGTGAAGATGATGGTATTTAGGGCAAACATTTGTTTAACCTTGTCGGCAAGGGTGGGACAACTCTGTTTTGTTGTCATTGTGCCTCAGGAAGTTATGCCAGTTAGATAGCATGGTGTTCTTATTTGTTACTTTGCGTCTTTCCTCCTGGCCACGTTTGGACCTGGTCTCAGCTTTAAGGCTTGATGGGTTTTACACATCAAAGACCAGATGTGTCATTGTGTACTTGCTGGAGTACATGTAGATCACAGGTAGGAAGTCGAGAGCTGCATAGTCCTCAAAAGTCTTGGATCTTTTTGGTGGCAGGGCGTGGTCCAAAGCTGACCCATCTACAATGAGAACATCTGCCTCAGGTTCCTTGTCAACTGGTGGGACATAATTCTCAAGGATAGGGGTCAGCTGAGACTTCTGGCAAGTGTACAATTTTCCACCCATGCTCAATGCAACAGGGAAGGACTGGTTCTCATGCTGAAAGAACTCCTGGAGGTCATGATGAGTTACACAGCAGTGATATCACCAGTGTGCCCTGGTTGTGTGCCGATATTCACTCTATTACATCTGCAAGCTTGTACTGTATAAACATCTAAATTCTGTACTGCAATGGCCCCATTGGATGCATAGACCAAAAATATGTGCATGCGAAAAGTTAATGTTTCATAGTCACTAAGATCAGATTACTTCAAGGCAATGGCGGCCATCTTGGACACCATCTTGGTTTTCATATTTAATGTTATAACCCTCATGAAAATAACAGATAATGGAAATGATATTTTCATACAACCATATGCACGTAACAACAATTGGTGTTACAAATTTCTCACTCTCCCAATTCTATATCTGTATCTATATGCTGTATCTCAAGAACCGTAATGGATACAGAAATGTACTAGGTACCAACATGTCCACAATACCCAACTTTATATTCAACTTCAATATATGTATGGGGCTTAAAATCAAGTCATTTTGAGTTATAAAGGAAAAACCACATTTTTGGGGCGGACATCTTGGATTTTGGGGCCGCCATCTTGGAATTTTGCGTGGCTAACGTTATTTTTGAAAAGAGTGGGGTTTGACGAGTATATGTACCAAATTTCATGCTTGTATAACAAAGTGAACGATTCGGGCTATATTATGCATTTGTCTGCTCCACTATAAAAGAAAAAAGAGAAAAAAGGTAAAAGATGGTAAAAGACGGCATCACATAAAAGCAAGTCTGTAAAAGTGAGTTTTTAAATTTGACTTAAAAGAAGCGACTGTCTCTGCACGCTTTGTCTCCTCTGGCAGGTCGTTCCAAAGTCGAGGAGCTCTGATGGAGAAAGCCCTATCACCTTTAGTTTTGAGCCTCGACTTTGGAACGACTAGGTGGCCTTCGCCAGAGGATTTGAGGCTGCAAGTTGGCTCATAAGGTATTAAAAGCTCTGAAATATAGCTCGGAGCGAGTCCTTTAAGCGCTTTAAAAGTAATCATTAAAATCTTAAAATCAATTCTTAAACTGACAGGAAGCCAGTGAAGGGAGGCTAAAATTGGAGTGATGTGATGCTGTCGACTAAAAATCAGTTAAAAGCCTGCATTCTGAACTAGTTGGAGGCGAGAGAGTGATTTCTTGTTTAAACCAGGGAGGAAAGAGTTACAATAGTCCAGTCTTGAGAAAATGAAGGCGTTGATTATCTTTTCGAGATCTGGTGGGGTGAGCATTTGTTTAATCTTTGAAATGGAGCGCAGGTGAAGGAAACAGGACTGGACAATCTTGTTGATATGGGTGGAGAAGGTGAGGTCTGAATCGAAGGTTACTCCCAGATTTCTGGCTGTTGGTTTGACTATTACTGACTGTGGACCGAGACAAGACTGTATGAGGGGGGAGTTTTGTATGTTACAAAGAATTATTTCAGATTTTGAATCATTTAGCTGAAGGATATTTTGTGCCATCCAACAGTTAATGTCACTTAGACAGTCCATGACAGCAGCTAGGCCTCTTGGGTCCTCAGGTCTCAAAGGAAGGTATATCAATGTGTCGTCTGCATGGCAGTGCAAGGAGACTTTGTGGCGCTGAATTAATTGGCCAAGGGGCAGCATGTAGATAGAAAATAAAATTGGTCCTAAAACGGAACCTTGCGGTACACCACAGGCGATAGCAGAAGTAGAGGAGGTGTGATTACCTATGGTGACCGCAAAGGCTTGTTCTAAAAGGTACGACTGAAACCAGCCAAGTGCAGTGCCCCTGACACCCACCCAGTTTTTAAGACGTTCAATTAAAATAGCATGATCAACTGTATCAAAAGCTGCACTGAGATCTAAAAAAAATTAAAATTGAGCCCTCCCCTCTATCTGCTGCTAAAAGACGGTCATTGGTCACACGGAGGAGGGCAGTCTCAGTGCTGTGCTTGGTCTAAAATTGTTAAAATCAGAGGGGTCAAGGTTTGGCTTCTTTAAAAGGGGTTGTACCACAGCATGTTTAAAAGCAGAGGGAAATACTCCCTCAACTAGAGAGCTATTAATGATGGATAAAATGCTGGGCCCAACCACGTTAAAAACCTCTTTGAGAAATCTGGTGGAGATAGAATCAAGACTGCACGTAGCTGGTTTCATTTTGGCTAAAATATCAGATAAAAATTGTAAGGACACCGGCTTAAAACTACTAAAATAGTGCTTAACTTCCCGACTTAAGAGTACAGGGAGACTGGGAGGGGTGATTTGATGCCTGATGTCCATAATAATAATAATAATTCATTTTATTTGTACGGCGTTTTTAAAAACACTCAAAGACGCTTTACTTAGAATGTAAAACCCAAGATAATAAAACAGAGCCATGAAAACAGTAAAATAAAACAGTTAAATATTAAAAGCAATTTTAAATAAGTGAGTTTTTAAAAGGGATTTGAAGGTAGTGGGGTCAGGGCAGTGTCCGATGGAGGGTGGTAGGGAGTTCCAGAGGGTAGGGGCATCCCCGATCCCCCCAGGTTTGGTGCTTGGGCTGTGATTTTGGGGTGAGGAGATGGGCAGAGGAGGATTACGGGGGGGGGGGTTTGGAGGGTAGACCATATAGGAGGCTGTTGCAGTAATCTAACCTTGAGGTGATGAAGGCATGGACCAAGGTTTCTGCTGCAGGGAGGGAGAGAGATGGGCGAAGACGGGCAATGTTTTTGAGGTGAAAAAAGGCTGATTTAGTGACCTGTTTGATGTGTTGTTCAAAAGTGAGGTGGGTATCAAAGATGAGTCCAAGGTTGCGGATGGAGCAGGAAGGAGACAGGGGTGAGTTATCAGCTGTGATGGAGAAGGGGGGGATGGATTTGGGGCCGATGATTATCATGTTGGATTTGTCACAGTTCAGTTGAAGGTAGTTGTTGGTCATCCAGGTCTTTATTTCAGAGAGGCAGTTGGAGAGGGTGGATAGGGTGATGTATTCAGTGGAAATGTAAAGTTGGACATTGTCAGCATAGCAGTGAAATCAGAGACCATGACGACGGATTATATTTCCAAGAGGGAGGATGTAAATAATGAACAGGAGGGGGCCGAGCACCGAACCTTGGGGGACACCTTGGTGGACACCTTGGGTCAGGGGAGCAGTGGTGGAGGAGTTGCCGTTTGTGTTGATGAATTGTTGGCGATTTGTGAGGTTTGATTTAAACCAGGAGAGGGCAGTGTGGAGAGAGGACTGGAAGGCAGGTCTTAATGAGTGCGGAGGGCATGGGGTCCAGGGTGCAGGTGGGAGTCTTCATGCTGGTTATTAACTGGGAGAGTTGGGCATGAGAGATGGGCGAAAACTGGGATAGGGGCTGAGCAGAGGTGTGGGGGGAGCACGAGGGGGACATGGGGTGGGGAGTGGGGGTGGAAGTTGCGGACTGGAGGCTGTTGTAAATGTTTTCTATTTTGGACTGGAAGAACTGGAGGAAGGTCTGGCATTTGTCCGGTGTGAAGGTTGCGGTGCTGTTGTCATGTGGCGCCAGAAGTGAGTTGATGGTGGAGAACAGGGTCCTGGGGTTGCTGGAGCCAGAGTGAATGATGTTGGAGTAGTATGCTGAGCGGGCGGAGTTGAGGGTGGCTTTGTACTGATGGAGGTGATCTGTATAGAGCTGGAGGTGAATTGTGAGTCCGGTTTTCCTGTAGAGTCTTTCAAGTTGGCGTTTTGTTTTGTTTCAACTGGTGGAGTGCTGGGGTGTACCAAGGAGCAGAGCGGGCAAATGTGACGGATTTGCTTTTCACAGGGGCAAGTAGGTTCAGACAGGAAACTGTTAAAATTGTCAATAAAATGAACCTTTTGGGAGTTGCAAAGCATGTTGGTCCAGCTGTTCAGGCTAAGGAGTCTGCTAAAACGCTCGCAGTTCTGCGTCACCGTCGGGAGCGGCCCACCTTGTTAATAAAATGAATTAAAAACTTCTCGCAGATGCCTTGAGAAGCATCAGTAAAATAAGAGGGTGAAGGGTTGGAAAGAGACTCTAAAACCTTAAATAAAACTCTGGGGTTAGAATAATTAGCTGAAATCAAATTTGAGTAAAATGCTGCCCTTGCATCCTTAACTGCCTTCTGGTAGTTTTTCATGGAGTCTCTCGAAATTTCGAGGAAAACCACAAACCCAGTTTTCTTCCATTTGCGTTCGTTTCTTCTACATATTCTCTTTAGTTCATGAGTGGACTCTGTGAGCCAGGGTTGTGGTTCTTTGTTAGATCTTTTCTTTTTCAGAGGAGCTACAGAGTCTGGGATGGTTCCACACATACTGTTAAAAAGAGAGACAAGCTCTTCAGTGTTAAAAACTGGATTAAAATCTGGGTTGAGGGCAGTTAAAGATGCAGCGATAAAAAGCTCTGAAAACTTGCTAGCACACGATGCATTAAAAATCCTTCTAAAAACAGGAGTTTCATCAGTAAAAGAAGGCTGGGATAAAACCATGGAGAATAAAACCAGTTTGTGATCTGACACACAGATATCCTTAGTTAAAAACTCCCCAGGACTAAGTCCAGTAAATAAAACCAAATCTAAGCAATGTCCCTTTACATGAGTTGGTTCCTGTACTGCCTGGGTAAGATTAAAGGAGTCCAGAGTTTCAATAAAATCAACAGTTAAGGGTTGTGAGGGACAGCAAACATGTACATCACCCAAAATAAGAATTTGGTCGTATTTACAAATAAAAAGGGATAGAAACTCTGAAAACTCCTGAATAAAAACAGCGTTGTGTTTAGGTGGTCGATAAATGATTATGATTAAAACAAGATCTTTCAATTTAACAATAAAAGCAAGGTGCTCAAATGAACTAAAAGTGCTGAAGGTGATGGGGATGCATTTAAAATCCTTCTTGTATATGACAGCCACCCCCCCTCCCCGGCCTGACTGCCGGGGCTGATGGAGGTGAGTAAAATCAGGGGGGGGTGGCTTCTATAAGAGAAATACAATTGTCTGGAGTCAGCCAGGTTTCAGTCAGAATAAAAAAGTCCAGGTTTTGTGAAATAAAATCATGGCATAAAAATGTTTTGTTGTTGAGGGATCTGATGTTTAAAAGTCCAAAGTTTGCAGTAAGGCTGCACGATATTGGAAAAAACTAACATTGCGGTTTTTTTCAACCCTACGATATATATATTGCGATGTTAAAAAATACAGGAATTTTCACCAGATGACCTGAATAGCACTTTATGTTATGCTGCACTGCTGAAGTCTAGAGGACAGTTAACCTGCACTGATCTTACCTCTTTTTGTGAATGTTAGTAGAATGGCTTCTGTCTGTCTCAGAGATATTTTTAGCTTTTATTGTTATGGGACGTTATTGTGGAAACAGATGAACACAGAACACTTGTTTTGGTCGACGTTATCCATCTTGTAACCGAAATAATTCCAGATAACTGACTTTCCTTTTCTTTTTGGCAACAAGTCTCCATCTTCTGTGGTTTTCTCTGTGTGTTGCTCAGTTTGCGATCGTTGTTGTTGTTGTTGTTAACGGGGTTGTGCTGAGAAACGCATGTCCTCCGAGAATTGCATGCACCTCACAAAACGCGCACTGCTTATAGTAGAGTGGTCCACGGAAATGTACAATTTAAAACCCATACAGTTCTTATTTGTTGGGCTAAACAGTGATGAAGAATGTTCCGAAAGTAATTCTCAGCGGACACGCGTTTCTCGGCTCAACTCCGGTAGCTGCAGCGACTCCCTCCATGTGCAGCACATGTGCAGGGGTGGGTTTCCTCCTCTCTGACTTTGATTGACAGCTGGCAGAGTAGTCTGATTGGCAACTGAGAACTGAGTCTGATTGGCAACTGAGTAAAGAATGAAGGTGATTGGTGGATCGCTGCACAGCACATGCAGAGTCACATGCAGTGTATCTAAGTCAGTTACCCTTGAAATTAACTGAGTTCATTCACTTTCGACATCGCAGGCTCTGCGATGTGACTATCGCACAAACGTACATCGCGATGATGATGCTCAAACGATATACCGTGCAGGCCTAGTTTTCAGGTTTGCTGTTAAAAGCAGGGGTAGCCAGGGGGGGCAGAGGAAGGTGGGGGTTGGCAGGTGAATGAGCGGGGATTGTGGGACTGTTTTGAGATGACCAGAGGTTATTGTGAGGAGGAGGGGGAGTGGCCTGAGTGTGGAAAGATGGGCTGCTGAGTGCAGACTGTCAGACAGGTGTGGAGTGGATCAAGTACTGGATGTTGTAAGAGAGCATTCGGCTACCCCGCCTGTTGGGGTGGATCCCATCATGACTGCCCGGGGGAGCCTCTCCGAGCGCTTGGAGACGGCCTCCTTCAGCAGCCTGCAGCGCAGTATCCCGGTCGAGGAGGGCCGCGATGCCAGGTCCGTGTTGGACATCTGCAGAGCCGCCTCTGCTGGAGCTGGGTCCGACGAGAGGTGGGGCTGGGTCAGCGGGAGCCTCATCTCTCAGGGCCAAGAAGTGGTTGGAGAGGGAGAGCTGTGGTGGTGAAGGGACTCTCCCCGCTGCAGTCGTCCTGCGTCTGCGTTGCGCCACCTCAAACCAGGTTTGCTGCCCCTGCAGCTTTGGGGTCGAGCTGTGGGTAGGGAGCTCTAGGAGCCCCACTACCATGCCAGTATCAGGATCGTCCAGCGGTCTCAGACCCTGACTGTGCCGATCCGCGGGAGGAGAGGTGGAAAGGCAGCCTGCCGGCTTTGCGCCGTGCAGCACGGGTGAGCAGGCTGGACCCCCGGCTGCAGGGCCCTCGGCCGGCCCGTTCGGCGAATGCAGGGAGGCCATCCAGGGCAGAGTGGTAGCGGAGGCTGAAACCAGCTGTGGTGCAAGAGCTGAGGGAGAAAGACCGGTGATCCTGGAGGCCTGACCCAGGGATATATGTTTAGCTTGAGCTGAAGCTACAGATATGAAGCCCTCCAGCAGCCTATCCTTCTCACGGAGATCGTTTTGCAGACGACAAAGCTTCTCTTCCAACTGAGTTTTTTGTTTTGCAGTCCGCACACACAGTCATTTAAAATTCCCACTCTTCTGGGTCCCGCGTAGAGTTCTGTGCGTAATGCAGCTTGGATCGTCTGGTCGTCTTAAAAAAAGCCAATAAAACCCATACACGGTAAAAATTCAACTTAAAAGCCAAAAAACTCTTGCGAATGCAGTCTAAAAAGTTGCTTAAAACGAGTTAAAGTTGGGTTAAAAGTCGCCCGGGACGGAGCGATTCGGCGGGATCTCATTAATCAGTGTCTCAGCTCTGGAAGTGTGCCTTCCTCCTACTATTCAAGCCATCTGGTTTTCCAGTATCATAATAGAGATTTTTTTCTTGCACTTATATTACTGTGTGTTTTTCTTTCTGTCCCATTGTGCTTCAGAATGACAGTCCAGCCATGAAGAAAGCTGTGTCCCTCCTGTCCCTCACCACCCCTAACAGTAATCGTAAGCGTCGGCGTCTCAGAGACACATTGGCTCAGCTCACCAAGGAGACAGAGATCTCCCCCTTCCCTCCGCCTCGCAAAAGGCCATCAGCAGAGCACTCCTTGTCCATGGGTTCTTTGCTGGACATCTCAAACACTCCTGAGACATGTAAAGCCTTGGCGGGTAAGAAAAAATGCAGACAAAGTGGAAAATATCAGTTTGACCCCTTCTGATTTCTGGTTGGCATTTATGTTCCCTTGTTTAATATGGCTGAGTCCCTCTTCACCACAAGAAAATAGTGACGAGGTGGACCATTTTTCATTCCAGAAGACAGAGTAGGGAACAGCTCAGAGAGCAAAAAGGACAATACTGTGGCAAGGAATAGGACAAGAAGAAAAACCAGGGAAAGGAGGATTAAGACATTCAGGGAAGAGAGAAGGAAAAGATTCAGCTTGAATACGCAAACCCTCCAACAGCAAGAGGAAGAGTGGCAGCAGTCAGGAACTTCTACAGGTCAGGATTCACTTCAATAGTGGGATTATGCTCTTATATTACCAAATAGAATGCCCTGATATGGCATGAAAGATTGAAATGAGTGAATTTATCACTAATTTATAAAGGCTTAACCTCTTTAGATTCTGTAAGCAGACTTTTGCAGAGACCTAAAGTCCAGTTTAAAATTATTCTGATTATAACTTCAAATAATATAAAAACTAACTATAATAACTTTAGTGTTTTTTGGATATATTGCTACAACAATACAAATGATATAGTATTTGATAACTGATACAGTATTTTAGTGAGGGCTATTGGCTGTAATTGCTTGTTGGAGATGCATAATCTTTGTGTCTGTGATCCCCTGCAGTAACAACACCTTGTCTGTACATCGTTTCTCCAGAGAGCTCAAAGCCCTCCAAGAGTTCAACTCCAGTTCTGTCCAAGCAGTCAGCCAGATGGCAGGTCTCCAAGGAGCTCTACCAGACTGAGAGCAACTATGTCGACATTTTAAACACCATCCTCCAGGTATCAGTGTGTGTCTGGGTTCCCGCTATGTGGAGCTTTCTAACACTCCCTCGTAGGCTTGCCAGTAGTTGCCCCTGACAACAGTTGCAGGTTAAGTTACAATCATTAAAGGTGTGTGTGAGTGTGTGTGAGTGTGTGTGTGTGTGTGTGTGTGTGTGTGTGTGTGTGTGTGTGTGTATTAGGGCTGAAACTATTACTCGAGTAACTCGATTAATAAAATTCCTCGAGGCAAATTATATGCCTCGAGGAATCGTTTAAATCCGGTACCATGTGCAGCGCACGGTGTTTGACACGGACGGTTATTTCTGTTGCGCAGCAGCGTGCTCTTTCCGCTCCTTCCGCTGCTGCGCGTTTCATAGACATAATAAAAGGGTAGACCCCGCTGGGGGTGCTGCGCAGCGAGAAATGCGGCCGCCATCTTGGTCAGGTCAAGCTTCCCATACGCTCCGGTCAATCATATTCATTCATTCAGCGATGCCGGAGCAGTGTGCGGCGTATTCCTGTGCCAACAGGCGGACAGCAGAGAACAGGGCTCAAGAAATAACTTTTCACAGTTATGATTAAACGTTTTTTCAACATTACACTTGACTGTAGAGTCATTTGTAGGCCAAAGAGGAAGACTATCGGTCAACTCCAAAAAGGAAACAGCATTTGCGAACAGCTAGCTTATTCACAATAATAGCAACTTTGGTCGATTATCAACAGATTTGCATTAGATTGAAAAACTTTTGTTTGAGAGAGGTTCTAAGAAACGTTAAGAAATAAAATAGAAAGAAAAAAGAAGAAAGTGAGCTCTGTTTTATTATCTGTTTTATTAAAGATTTCTTTGTGGTGATCTCCTGTTTCATTTTGAAGATTTCCTAAGGACAAAAACTTGAGGAAGAAGTGGGAGATTGCTGTTAGAGGGAGAGATTCGCAGCAGGTGATTCCTCTGTGCTGTGTAGCCAACAAGCAAATTGATATGTAGTTTAGATGCTGTCCTGTCATGCTGTTCTTGTGTTTAAATCTTTTTGATATGTAGGCTATATATTTGTGTGTATTTTCCAGTTATTAAAATAGTGCTTCTATATGACATTATTTGTGTGTGTCTACAAATGGATAAATAAAATTAAACTATATAAAAAATTATAATCAAATCAATATATATTGAATTGGCCTATTAATACCGCCAGTTATTAATAATTATTGAGACATAGCAGGAACCTAGCTCTAAACCTAAATATATCCTTGATTAATTGTTATACTATAATACAGCCACTGCTGCCATGTTCTAAAATATCATTTTATTCATTCTGAGTATTTGAAAACGCCAAAAAAAAATATGGCCTCTATCATGCCTCTTTGAATGGCGTTTGCAGAGAAGAAAATTACGTAGTATTGAGCGAACTATGATTCATTAATGCGCTCAGACTTCATTCCGCCGGTTAAACAGCGGTGCAGAGTGAGGCGGATGACCGGACCAAGATGGCGGCCGCATTTCTCGACAGCGCCCATTCGTGGTAGCGGCCAATGCGGGGTCTATCTTTTATTATGTCTATGGCGCGTTTGGTTCAATCATGGAGGGAAACGAGGACAGACAGAGAGAGGAAGAAAGAGATGACACGCAGAGGAAACGACAGAAAGTGTCTAAAGTGTGGGACCATTACACACTGAAAAGGAAAGAAAACGCCGTGCAGTGCGTTTACTGTAAGGCGGAGTTGGCGTTTCACAACAGCACGTCGTCAATGCTGCAGCACCTTAAAAGAAAACACCCGGTCCATGCATTAAGTCCGCTCTGAGGCAAACGTGATTCAATGCAAAGTATTACAGTGAGAGCAAAACATTTCTTATCCGATTACTCGATTAATCTGTCGATTAATCGATAGAGTACTCGATTACTAAAATAATCGATAGCTGCAGCCCTAGTGTGTATGTGTATGTGTGTGTGTGTGTGTGTGTGTGTGTCTATGTATTTGTATGCTTTTGCTTCAGTGTTGTTTTCGTCAGGCAGGACGAAAACTTAAATGACGACGTCAGACCCCTTTTTTCCTTGACGAAAATAAGACTAAGACGAACGTCACCAAAGCTCTGTAAAGACTAAAATGTGACGAAAATTGTATTCATTTTCGTCAGAGGAGAACGAGACGGGACTAAATTGTTATTAGGTGGACGAACAAGTTTCAAAACATGCTTTTTTTTGTCCTAACAGTCATGCCCCCATCACACACGCACCAAAAGCCTCGCTCGCGCACAGCTGCGCGCACACACTCATACACATACACAGAGCGGCAGGTGGACGAGGCGCGCGCACACACACACACCGTGGCGGCAGGCACAGCAGCGGTGCCCGGTGGCCGAAAAAAGAGGGATGATTTTGGTCCTACTTCAGATACAGTCCAAGTGACAATAAAACACAATGTCTTGTACGGGGACGGGGAGATGAGACAGACGACAGTTGTGGAGCCACAGCTTCCTCATGCTGCGGCTTCAAACTGTCGGGAAAGAACACCACGAACCTCAAAAGGCACCTTTTTGTCGACTAAAACTAGACTAAAACCGTTTGAGTTTTCGTCGGACTAAAACTAGACGAAAACTATCAAGGATAGAAATGACTAAAATGGGACTAAAACGTAGAAGCATTTCGTCAAAATGACTAAGACTAAAACTAAATCTAAAATGCCTGCCAAAAACAACACTGTTTTGCTTGGCCTGTCTTATCAGTCTGTCCCAGTGGAGAGTCAGACATCTGACCAGTGAGGTAGAAAATGACCTGCCTGACCATTTCTTGTTCTGTCTCCATATTCTTTAACTCTTTTTCTTCCTTTGCTTTTTCCTTAGCTTCCCCTTTTTCAGCTTCCTCCATGTTACATTCTTTTGTCACACCCTTTCTGTCAGATCTTTCTTTTCTGTCTCAAACACCTCTGCTCTAGGTTTGTCATTGCTATGCTGTTTAACTGTTTGTTGGCTGTGCAAAGAGTTTGTTGGTTTCAAGTAAATAATAGAGAAGCAGTCAGGCCCCTGTGATGTTGTGAATCAGTGTTAAAACTGACTTCTGACATCAAACCAACATACCCCACTGCTGTAGCATTTATCACAGAAAAAAGTCTCATTTGACACCATTCGCTGGTCATTTTTTAAGCACTTAATGCGATACACAAGGCATGCTGCTGATGATTACTACCGTGTCATAGTCAATAAATAGTCTTTTCAACTAGAGGGGAAAGCAGACTAGATCTGTACTTTATAGCCTGGGAGTTTCCTTTTTTGTTTTAGTTACATACTGGGATAACAGATATTTGAAGTTAGTGTATGCTCATCATTATAAAACAGTCTGATTCTGTCATTCCTCTGTCACTTTTGAAATCTTGAATCATTTACAATTGTCTGCCAGTATTTTGCAGTATTTTCCTTGTCCTATTGAAGGTATAGATGACATCTTTGTCCAAGGCTGTATAGTGGATTAAAACTAATCACTGCTAGAGAGCCTTGCAGAGCTAGGAATACAAGGATTCAAGCCACAATGGATGCCAGTCAGTGCTGCCCCTTTAATATAATTTAATGCGTAGCTAGGCTACAGTTTTCTGCAGACAGGCCCAAGTCTGCCATGTTGAGAGACCCCTACTGAAGCACTCATCTTGGTGACGATAGGCAGAGGTCAGAGCTCCAGATATTTATGATGAAGCTGGGCTGTAATGTCGTTGAACTCTGAACACAGATAGTTTCTCTTTTTTTCTAACCAGACTGTACAAGAAAGAATACAAACATGCATCAACAATGTGTTTAACCAAGCAGTAGAATACTTTGAACTGAATGAGCTGCAGGCCTTTCTCATCCAGCACAATGAATTTAACAACCATATTTTTTGCCTCTTTGCAAGATAGCCAAAACATTAACTCCTTGGTTTCAGCTTCCATGTTTTTTTTCTTTATTTCCAGGCTTTTTGCCTTCATCTTGAAAAAAAGATTAATTTTGCCTTAAAAGGGCAGACCTATTTTACTCGAGAATTGCAGTGTATTACCTTGTTTTCATTGTGTTTCCACTCAGTCTTCAATATGAGTCAGGCTTGATGTAGTGGGAGTCTCAACTTTTTAATTGTTTAGATGCCTTACATGGCAGCTCAAGATGCTCAGTCTTTTCACATTAAATCTAATTTTTCCACAGATGGCAACTGGCAAAACTATTCTTTGAATAAGTTAGTAAGTTAGGATCCACGGTTTTACACTGACAACCCTCAATCTTTTCTTCAGTTAGTCAGAAAGGAGCTGACGGCCATCAGTTGGCCAGCAGTTCAAAATGAACCTAAAATATTTAACTCTTGTTTGCTGGCTAAAAGGAAAATTAAACAAGAATTTAAAGAAGTGCTGTCTGACGTTTGATCGTTTGGAACATTAATTTGTGTTAGTGTCTTCATTTTTATATTTGTTTTTATTTGCAGCTTTTCAAGCTTCCTTTGGAAAAAGAGGGGCAGTTAGGCGGGCCCATATTAGCGCAAGAGGAAATTAAGACAATATTTGGAAGCATTCCAGACATCTACGAGGTTCACACTAGAATAAAGGTAAGTTATTTCCATCAAAATGAAGTGTTAACAAACAGTATAATTTTTAAAAAGGAGTTTTCGACCTGTGACTATGTGTGGGTTTGTTCATCAGAGTGATCTTGAGGAACTCCTGACAGACTGGTCAGAGGACAGAAGTGTAGGAGACGTCATCCTTAAATATGTGAGCACATATCATCCGTACTAGTATGCATTTGTTTAATGTTCCCCTGCATTGCCTATTCACATTGTCAAAGTAAAAAGTACATTTACTTAATTGGTCACTGTAACACACTTGTCAGTTGTGCAGCTGTTGTTGAAAGTGTAGAAAGTGGACTCAATACTATACTTCTAACGTGTCCAATCTTCTCTACCATCAGTCTAAAGAGTTGGTGAGGGCTTACCCACCCTTTGTCAACTTCTTTGAAATGAGCAAGGACACTATTGTTTGCTGTGAGAAACAAAAGCCACGCTTCCATGCTTTTCTTAAGGTAGGTCCTTTGTATTTGTTCTTTTCGTGTTTGGTTAACTTGTGGTTGGGTCATTAAGTTGTATCAAAAATAAAAACAGGAGAACCTTGTGATATATGACTTCTTCACCACAGTACAGCAACATTAGTCAATAAGTGTCCAGATAATGTACTTCATCTGTCTGACACAGTCCAAACAACAGAGCCCCATGATTTGAACTTGATGGAACCAAGATGGAAACACAGATTTGGCTCATAAAAAAGGACCTACTGTCCTAAGTGGAATATCACACACATACACACATACATACACACACACACACACACACATATACACATATATATACACACACACATATATATATATATATATATATATATATATATATATATATACTGTATATACACTCACCGGCCACTTTATTAGGTACACCATGCTAGTAACGGGTTGGACCCCCTTTTGCCTTCAGAACTGCCTCAATTCTTCGTGGCATAGATTCAACACGTAGTCCTTGAGCCAAGAACGAAAATTTCACATATCGGTACCACCTGGGTGGGCAAATTCTAGTTGTGTTTTTTTTTTTGCTATACATCCCTACAATAAGTTTTTATATAATAGACCTTGGTAACTGGTAGCTTTATTGTAGTTATCACTCGTTGAAGTAATACAGTGCAGCTGTTCAAAAATGAAAAATCGCCTTCCTTCAAAATTAGCTTTCTTTCATTTTAACCTCTCATTTAGGTGTGTTTGAACTATTGGCTAGCCAAGGAGACTTGTAATAACCCCCTAAGTAGTATTTCAAGTAATTTATCTAATACAAGTGTGTATATATAAGCTTCAATTAGCCAACTGTCAGGTCTAAATCAAGGTCTAAATTAAGGATATTTTTTTACTTAGAAGTAGAAGTAAAGTAAATGCAGACTAATAGCATTATAATAACACAACTTTAATATGACACTGACATATTTTCAATGCAGGAACTCAATATACAATCATCCTGGCTGGTGCAGGGCAAGAAGACATTAGCAACAAAATAAGGTCTACTGATGTATACACTCTATACAATCATCTGAGAAAAACTCAAATTCCTATTCAAAGTCCTATTCTTTCCATAAGGAACAGTGACAGCAAATATGACTGTCAAGTTTTGGCTTAGTACATAATACTGTCACTGAGTCACAGTGGGTCTGTTAACATAGCTCCTTTTGGTCATCACTTATTAATCAACATCAGAAATCGACAGTATCAGTATCTGTATCTTCTTCTACATCTGAGTCTGCCGGGTGTGCAAGGGGCTCTTCCTCACTGTATTGGTTGGCACAAGTTTGTAATTTGCACAGGTTTGTGCACTTTAGCCCATTGCTGAGACAGGTGCAGTCTGGTGGTTTGCATGTCCTCACGCTCTTGCAGGATAGCAACTGCAAGACCGCATCTGGTGCTGGGGAACCACGCATCCACTGTATTTCCAGCTGCCCTTCATCATTTATGGTCCACCCATGGTCCTTGGGGCTTGGTACAGATGGCTTGGTATGAAGAGACCGTCTCCAGATAGCAGCCTGGTAGTTGGCATGAATCGAATGCATTAATACGCAATCCTGACATGGTGTAAGCTGGCTGGACTCAACTTTAGCCAAGGTCCTGCATGAAGGTGGTGATAGTGAAAAGATTGATGTTGTCTTTGACGTTTACAAGGACATGTCAATCAAAAATTCAGAAAGACTAAACAGAGGTGCAGACATGGGGATCCAGTTCAGAAACATTGTTTCTGGCCACAATATTCAGCAGTGGAGGAAACTTCTCTGCAACCCTGCCAACAAAGCCAGTCTCATCAAGTTCTTGGTGGAGGAATGGAGTTTTTCTCAGATGACTGTATATAGTACTTGAGCCAAGAACGAAAATTTCACATATCGGTACCACCTGGGTGGGCAATTTCTAGTTGTGATTTTTTTATTGCTATACATCCCTACAATAAGTTTTTATATGATAGACCTTGGTAACTGGTAGCTTTATTGTAGTTATCACTCATTGAAGTAATAGAGTGCAGCTGTTCAAAAATGAAAAATCGCCTTCCTTCAAAATTAGCTTTCTTTCATTTTAACCTCTCATTTAGGTGTCTTTGAACTATTGGCTGGCCATAGAGACTTGTAATAACCCCCTAAGTAGTATTTCAAGTAATTTATCTAATACAGGTGTGTATATATAAGCTTCAATTAGCCAATTGTCAGGTCTAAATCAAGGTCTAAATTAAGGTTATTTTTTTACTTAGAAGTAGAAGTAAAGTAAATGCAGACTAATAGCATTATAATAACACAACTTTAATATGACACTGACATATTTTCAATGCAGGAACTCAATATACAATCATCCTGGCTGGTGCAGGGCAAGAAGACATTAGCAACAAAATAAGATCTACTGATGTATACACTCTATACAATCATCTGAGAAAAACTCAAATTCCTATTCAAAGTCCTATTCTTTCCATAAGGAACAGTGACAGCAAATATGACTGTCAAGTTTCAGCTTAGAACATAATACTGTCACTGAGTCACAGTGGGTCTGTTAACATAGCTCCTTTTGGTCATCACTTATTAATCAACATCAGAAATCGACAGTATCAGTATCTGTATCTTCTTCTACATCTGAGTCTGCCGGGTGTGCAAGGGGCTCTTCCTCACTGTATTGGTTGGCACAAGTTTGTAATTTGCAATTTGCACAGGTTTGTGCACTTCAGCCCATTGCTGAGACAGGTGCAGTCTGGTGGTTTGCATGTCCTCACACTCTTGAAGGATAGCAACTGCAAGACCGCATCTGGTGCTGGGGAACCACGCATCCACTGTATTTCCAGCTGCCCTTCGTCATTTATGATCCACCCATGGTCCTTGGGGCTTGGTACAGATGGCTTGGTATGAAGAGACCGTCTCCAGATAGCAGCCTGGTAGTTGGCACGAATCGGTTGCATTAATACGCAATCCTGACATGGTGTAAGCTGGCTGGACTCAACTTTAGCCAAGGTCCTGCATGAAAGTGGTGAAAGTGAAAAGATTGATGTTGTCTTTGACGTTTACAAGGACATGTCAATCAAAAATTCAGAAAGACTTAACAGAGGTGCAGACATGGGGATCCAGTTCAGAAACATTGTTTCTGGCCACAATATTCAGCAGTGGAGGAAACTTCTCTGCAGCCCTGCCAACAAAGCCAGTCTCATCAAGTTCTTGGTGGAGGAATGGAGTTTTTCTCAGATGATTGTATAGAGTGTATACATCAGTAGATCTTATTTTGTTGCTAATGTAATCTTGCCCTGCACCAGCCAGGATGACTGTATGAGTGCCTGCATTTAAAATATGTCGGTGTCATATTAAAGTTGTGTTATTATAATGCTATTAGTCAGCATTTACTTTACTTCTACTTCTAAGTAAAAAAATATCCTTAATTTAGACCTTGATTTAGACCTGACAATTGGCTAATTGAAGCTTATATATACACACCTGTATTAGATAAATTACTTGAAATACTACTTAGGGGGTTATTACAAGTCTCTATGGCTAGCCAATAGAAAGCTAATTTTGAAGGAAGGCGATTTTTCATTTTTGAACAGCTGCACTGTATTACTTCAACGAGTGATAACTACAATAAAGCTACCAGTTACCAAGGTCTATCATATAAAAACTTATTGTAGGGATGTATAGCAATAAAAAAATCACAACTAGAATTTGCCCACCCAAGTGGTACTGATATGTGAAATTTTGGTTCTTGGCTCAAGTGCTATGATACCTGAAAGAACTGCTCCACCATCAAATTGGGCCACTCCCACCTCATCAACTCATTTAATTAGACACAGGTTTGATTCATTTATAGAAAAGAGCAGTGTGACCCAAATAGAGTATGACTTTTAATGTGCTTTTGACTTTCTGTGTTGCTTTTGGAGTTAACAAAAATTCGCCTATTGAGGAAAATAACAAAATGAGAAAAAATATAAAAAGCTACCCCTATGAAAAGTCTATCATATTTCAATTTACTTAAATTGACCCTTAAAACAATTTAGTATATGTAAGGTTTTGCCCACCCAAGTGGTACCGACATCTGGTCCGGCTCAAGGACTAAAGGTGCTGGAAGCGTTCCTCAGAGAGCTTGGTCCATATTGACATGATGGCATCACACAGTTGCCGCAGATTTGTCGGCTGCACATCCATGATGCGAATCTCCCGTTCCACCACATCCCAAAGATGCTCTATTGGATTGAGATCTGGTGACTGTGGAGGCCATTTGAGTACAGTGAACTCATTGTCATGTTCAAGAAACCAGTCTGCGATGATTCCAGCTTTATGACATGGCGCATTATCCTGCTGAAAGTAGCCATCAGAAGTTGGGTACATTGTGGTCATAAAGGGATGGACATGGTCAGCAACAATACTCAGGTAGGCTGTGGCGTTGCAACAATGCTCAATTGGTACCAAGGGGCCCAAAGAGTGCCAAGAAAATATTCCCCACACCATGACACCACCACCACCAGCCTGAACCGTTGATACAAGGCAGGATGGATCCATGCTTTCATGTTGTTGACGCCAAATTCTGACCCTACCATCCGAATGTCGCAGCAGAAATCGAGACTCATCAGACCAGGCAACGTTTTTCCAACCTTCTATTGTCCAATTTCGATGAGCTTGTGCAAATTGTAGCCTCAGTTTCCTGTTCTTAGCTGAAAGGAGTGGCACCCGGTGTGGTCTTCTGCTGCTGTAGCCCATCTGCCTCAAAGTTCGACGTACTGTGCTCTTCTGCCTACCTTGGTTGTAACGGGTGGTTATTTGAGTCACTGTTGCCTTTCTATCAGCTCGAACCAGTCTGGCCATTCTCCTCTGACCTCTGGCATCAACAAGGCATTTCCGCCCACAGAACTGCCGCTCACTGGATATTTTTTCTTTTTCGGACCATTCTCTGTAAACCCTAGAGATGGTTGTGCGTGAAAATCCCAGTAGATCAGCAGTTTCTGAAATACTCAGACCAGCCCTTCTGGCACCAACAACCATGCCACGTTCAAAGTCACTCAAATCACCTTTCTTCCCCATACTGATGCTCGGTTTGAACTGCAGGAGATTGTCTTGACCATGTCTACATGCCTAAATGCACTAAGTTGCCGCCATGTGATTGGCTGATTAGAAATTAAGTGTTAACGAGCAGTTGGACAGGTGTACCTAATAAAGTGGCCGGTGAGTGTATATATATATATATATATATATATATATATATATATATATATATATATATATATATATATATATATACACACATATATACACACACACACATTACAGGCCTGACTGTCCACCAGGATCTACAGCAGTAACATCAGAATGTCGTTCATACTGGAGGAGTGTGGCCGAATTGTGACGAAAAGAGGAAAGGTAATCCATACAGACAATACCGGAAAGGGAGGAAGATAACAACGCACAATGGCTTACCAATCTAAGAGCAGACCACATCAATCCTTGTCCCTGACTGTCCACCAGGATCTACAGCAGTAGCATCAGAATGTCATTTGGACTGGAGAAGTGTGGCCAAATGGTGCTGAAAAGAGGAAAGGTAATCCTTACAAAGGGCACTATGCTCTCAGAGGGGAGAATAGTGGATGTGGAGGAGAGCTACAAATACCTTGGCATACCACAGGCAAATGGCAACCACGAAGAGGCCAAAAGGAATGCAGCAACGGCTAAGTACCTAAAGCGAGAAAGCAGGTCCTAAAGAGTCAGTGATCAGATACTCAGCTGGAATAATAAGCTGGCCAAAGGAGGAAATTCAGGCCACAGATGTTAAACCTCAGGAGTTGCTCACCATGCACGGGGGTTTCCACCCTAAGTCCAGTATCCAGAGGCTATACACTAAGCGCACAGAAGGAGGCAGAGGATTAGTGAGCATCAGAGCCACTATCCAAGATGAAACATCCAAGCTCCATGACTATGTCAGGAAGATGGCCCACAGAGATGGAGCGCTTAGTAAGTGCCTCAGACAATGGAAACTGACAGGTAAGGAGGAACCGGCGGAACCGTCATGGGAGGAAAAACCCCTGCATGGGATAGCTGAAGTGGCTGATATGAGCAAATCCTACCAATGGCAGAAGAGGGCTGGACTGAAGGACAGCACAGAGGCACTCATCATGGCGGCACAAGAATAGGCCTTGAGCACCAGAGCAATAGAGGCCCAGATCTACCATACCAGGCAAGATCCCAGGTGCAGGCTGTGCAAAGAGGGCCCTGAAACACCTAACAGCAGGATGTAAGATGCTGGCAGGAAAAGCATACATGGAACACCATAACCAAGTAGCCAGTATAGTGTACAGGAAAATCTGTGCAGAATATGGACTGGAAACTCCAAGGTCAAAATGGGAAGCATCTCTCAAGGTTAATGGAGAACGAGCCAAGATCCTGTGAGACTTCCAGATACAGACCGACAAAATGGTAATGGCCAACCAACCGGACATTGTTATCATAGACAAACAGCAGAGTAAAGCCGTTGTGGTAGATGTAGCCATCCCAAGCGATACCAGCATCAGAAAGAAGGAACATGAGAAACTAGAGAAGTACCGAGGGCTCAAAGAAGAGAGAGAGAAAGCCTACACACATATATATTTATATATATATATGTGTGTGTGTATATTGGTGGCCTGGCTTAATTCTGCAGTTGACTTTGCAAAGTTGGCAGAAATCATTTATATCCGCAGAAGAAGACGTAAAAGACATTGTTTGCTCACACACTCTGAAATATTACCAAACCTTTACTTGATGCTTGAGAGCCCAGCAGGGAACACAGTTGTGCACTGTGATGACGTCAGGTTACGTGTTTGGTTACGGTGATTAGTTACAGTAGTCTGTCCATCAAGGAAAGTATTCCCGCCCACTTTTAGGGCTCCCAATTGGCCAAAGTCCAGACTGTTGTGGGAAGGAACGGCAAGTGATTCACGCAACTGGATGGCCCAGCCAGGCTACCTTCATGGGAGAGATCGGACATCCCTGCCCTGCAGGAGAAGGAGAGGATGCAGAGCCGGAGTTCAGTATCTGGCAAAACGGAGACGTTTTAAGCCAACTGTCCGGTCCATCATTATGGGAAACGTGAGGTCTCTCCCTAACAAGATGGAAGAGCTCACAGCGCTGACTTGGCTGCAGTGGGAGTACCAGGAGTGCAGCCTCATGATGTTCACAGAGTCATGGCTGAACGAACTCACTCCGGACCCGCTCGTAACTTTGGACGGCTTTCATCTCGTCAGAGCGGACCGGAATGTTAGGGAGAGTGGTAAGAAGAAAGGAGGCCGGATAGCAGCGTATGTGAATGAGAGATGGTGTAATGCTGGGCACGTCACTATTAAAGAGCAGCGCAGCTCTAAGGACATTGAGCTGCTGGCTGTGGGTTTGCGGCCATTGGTCTGAGGAGGCCACTGAGGCGCTGCAGGACTGTTTTGAGACCACAGACTGGGATGTACTGGAGGGAGGTCTGGAGAGGCCTGAAATCCCAGCCACAGCAGGGGCCACGAGAGGGGACCTGAAGCAGGAGACAGGGAGTGGGCCAACGAGCTGAATCTGTTCTTCAATAGATTTGACTCTGCTCCCACTCCTCCCCTGACTTATCAAACCAACGACCCGTCTGCTTCTTCTTTACACCACCTCAGTTCCATGGCACTGGCATCATCACCACCTCCACCACCCCCTTCAGCACCACCCCCAGCCTCTCTATAACAGCTGACCAGGTGAGAAGTGAGCTTAGGAAGATGAAGCCAAGGAAGGCCATGGGTCCTGACAGCATCAGCTCCAGACTACTGATGGACTGTGCAGACCAGCTCTGTGAGGTGCTACTGCACATCTTCAGCTTGAGCCTGAGTCTGGAGAGGGTCCCAACACTGTCGAAGACTTCCTGTGTGATTCCTGTCCCCAAGACAGCACACCCCAGGGAGCCCAACCACTTCAGACCTGTAGCCCTCACTTCTCACCTGATGAAGACTCTGAAGAGGATCGTGCTGAGGAGCCTCCGCCTCCTGGTGAGCTCTCATCTGGATCCTCTGCATTTTGCGTACCAGCCGAACATCGGGGTGGACGACGCAGTCATCTACCTGCTGCAGAGGTCCATGGCTTACTTGGAGAACACCGGCAGCACTGTGAGGGTCATGTTTTTTGACTTCTCCAGTGCTTTCAACACCATCCAGCCTTCACTGCTCAGGGGGAAGCTTGAGAGGGCGGGAGTGGACTGTCACCTAGCTGGGTGGACCATGGACTACCTCACTGACAGACCACAGTTTGTGAGGTTTCAGAACTGTGTATCGGACATGGTGGTCTGCACCACGGGGGCTCTGCAGGGGACAGTGCTCTCCCCCTTCCTCTTCACCTTGTAATAATAATAATAATAATAATACATTTTATTGGTAAAGTGCTTTTCAAAAACACAAAGACGCTGTACAGAGTTAAGCAATAACAATAAAACACACATCAATAAGCAATAAAATTTACGGCAATATCAATAAAAACATGTAGAATCAGGTAAAATCCAAATAACAATAAAACACACATCAATAAGTAATAAAATTTACTACAATATCAATAAAAACATGTAGAATCAGGTAAAATCCAATGGGGGGGGGGCTAAGAAGGATGAAAGGCAGTGCAGAAGAGGTGGGTTTTGAGAAGGGTCTTGAATCTCTAGAGGTCAGTGCAGTGGAGGTGGTGCCATAAAGGAGACTGTTACAGTAATCTAGACGAAATGAAATGAATGCATGTATAAGGGTTTCAGCTGCAGGGTAGGAGAGGGAGGGGCGGAGGCGGGCAATGTTTTTGAGGTGGAAGTAGGCTGTTATAGTGATTTGCTTTATGTGGTGGGTGAAGGAGAGGTTACTGTCGAAGAGAATGCCAAGGTTGCGACAGTGGGAGGAGGGGGAGAGGGTGGAGTTGTCGATGGAGAGATGAAAGTTTGTGACTGTGGAGGTGAGGGAGTTTGGGCCAATGATGATGAGATCTGTTTTGTCATAATTGAGCTTGAGAAGATTGCTGTCCATCCAGTGTTTGATGTCAGAGAGGCAGTTTGAGAGGGAGCGTTGGGTCTGGGGGGTGATGGAGTTGGAAGAGATATATAATTGAATGTCATCAGCGTAGCAGTGGAAGTGGAGGTTGTGTTGACGAAGGATGTGGCCAAGAGGGAGGAGGTAGATGATGACACACCTCGGACTTCAGCTACAACTCTGGGAGCTGTCACCTCCAGAAGTTCTCTGATGACACAGCCATCGTCGGATGTGTATCGTCAGGGGATGAGCGGGAATACAGGACTATCATCACTGACTCTGTCAACTGGTGTGGCACAAACCACCTCCAGCTCAACGCCAGTAGGATGGTCATGGACTCAGACTGTTCCAGTGAACATCCAGCGTCTGGACATTCAAATGGAGTCCTACAGATTCCTGGGTGTCCACCTCAACAATAAACTGGACTGGTCAACAAACACAGACGTGCTGTACAAGAAGGGCCAAAGTCGTCTCCACCTGCTGAGGAGACTGAGGTCCTTTGGAGTGTGCAGGACTCTGCTCAGGACTTTCTATGACTCTGTGGTAGCATCTGCACTTTTCTATGCAGTGGTCTGCTGGGGGGCAGGGAGCAAAGCTTGTATCCATCATGGACAAGCCCTCTCACCCACTGCACCAGACTCTGGGGGCTTTAAGCAGCTCCTTCAGCAGCAGACTTAGACTCCCACCTTGCAAGGCGGAGCACCACCGCAGGTCATTCCTCCCTTTACAACAAACTGCAATAAAACTGGACTCACACCACCACTTTTTTTTCTGGTACTTAAGTTGTGTATATTGTATATAGTTTTATTTTCTTCTCCCTTTTTCCTTTTCTAGATTTTTAGAACATTTATTTAAGTTCTTAATGTACGATCTTTATTTTTATAACTGCATTTTTGCACTTTGTGATGCTGCTGTGACACAAAAATTTCCCCCATGGGGGATTAATGAAGGAATATTCTATTCTTTCCTTATATATATATGTATATGTATGTATATATATATGTGTATGTGTGTACATACATATACATGTATACATACATATACATGTATATATATATATATATATGTGTGTGTGTGTGTGTGTGTGTGTGTGTGTATGTGTATAAATATATTTGCATATATATGAAACAATATTTCCATTCAATAGATCAACCAATCCAAGCCAGAGTGTGGCAGGCAGACACTTGTAGAGCTGCTCATCAGACCAGTGCAGAGGTTGCCCAGTGTAGCCCTTCTTCTAAACGGTAACATACACACTTGCTAACAGGCTCTTTAAAAAAAAAAAAGAAAATTTTCTTGTGCTAATTGCATCTTCTCTGATCCTTCCCTCCTTATCTTTGTCCTTTCATACCACCTTCTCCTTTCCTTATCTTCTGTTGATACCTGTCTGCAATTTCTATTCCCCTGTTTCCCACTATGCTCACTTTTTTTCTGTTCTGTCCTCATCTCACTAAAGTTTCCCTTTCTCCCACCATTGTAGACATAAGGAAGCATACATCAGATGACAACCCAGACAAGATAACATTGGAAAAAGCAATTGAGTCTTTGAGGGAAGTCATGACGTGAGTTGAAATAACCTCTTCTTTCCTTTTGTTATGATCACACAGCCAGCATTGTTTAATTTTTTAGGTGGATTAGTTACTGCACAGAGAAACTTGTACCAGGTTGTCAGAAACACACTCAATAAGTACCATATGTAAAGAATTAGATAAGAAAGAGTAAACAGGAGAAAAACAGTAGTTGCGTAATCATTGCACAAAATGATCATGTGGTGTTTAACATGTAGAGTATCTGTTTGGCTACATTTCAATATGTGGTAATATAAATGAGCCAAGAAAATAAAATACTTGTATAATCACCAAACTGATAGACTTGGGTATGTGTGCACAAACCTAAAAAAGGGATCTCAACTTTTCTTGACTTGATACAAGGCAAGGTAGGTTAATTGATGGAGCACTATCAATTCAAAGACCAATTTAAAGTGCTTAATGTAGTAAAACCATATACGGAAACAACAGCATTAAAAAAGATATATGAAATTAAGCAAATGTGAGAATCAAAACAAAATATTTTTAATGATGATACCATAAAAAGAGAGAGGAAATATGAAGCGCTCCAAAACATTTGTGAACACCACTGAATAATTCACTCTGTGTGCCCCACAGTGCACAGTGCTTTGCAGTCCTCCACAGAGGACTTTTTTGCAGCTTGCAGGAGAAAATACAGGGACTTGTCTATAGTCATAAATGTTGCAATCATCAGTGCAGCACACATTTGGCATTAGGTCATATATGTACTGTGGATATAAAATGTCTACACACCCCTGTTCAACTGCCAGGTTTTAGTGATGTAAGGAAATGACAGCAAGATAAATATTTTTACAACTTTTTCCATCTTTAATGTGACCAATAACCTGCACAATGCAATTGAAAAACAAAAAATAGAAAAGTTAAAATAGCCTGGTTGCATAAATATGCACACCCTTAAACTAATACTTTGTTGCAGCACCTTTGACTTTTATTACAGCACTCAGTCTTTTTGGGTAGGAGTCTCTCAGCGTGGCACATCTTGATGTGGCAGTATTTGCCTGCTGTTCTTTGCAAAACCGCTCCAAATCTGACAGACTGCGAGGGCATCTCCTATGCACAGCCCTCTTCAGATCACCCCACAAATGTTCGATGGGATTCAGGTCTGGACTCTTGCTGGGCCATTCCAAAGTCTCAATCTTATTCCAGTGAAGCCATTCTTTTGTTGATTTAGATGTGTGCTTTTGGTCATTATCATGCTGAAAGATGAAGTTCCTCTTCATCTTTAGCTTTCTAGCAGAAGGCCGATTTGTGCCAACACTGACTGGTATTTGGAACTGTTCATAATTCCCTCCACCCTGACTAAGGCTCCAGCTCCAGCTGAAGAAAAACAGCCCCAAAGCATGATTCTGCCACGACCATGCTTCACTGTGGGTATGGTGTTCTTTTGGTGATGAGCAGTGTTGATTTTGCGCCAAATATACCTTTTGCAATGATGCCCAAATAGTTAAACTTTGGTTTCATCAGACCATAACACATTTTCCCACACGCGTTTGGGAGATTTCAGATGTCTTTTGCAAAATTAAGCCGGGCTTTGATGTTTTTCTTTGTAAGATAAGGCTTCCATCTTGCCACCCTACCCCATAGCCCAGACATATGAAGACAGTGGGAGATAGTTGTCACATGTACTACACAGCCAGTACTTGCCAGAAATTCCTGCAGCTCCGTCAGTGTTGCTTTTGGCCTCTTGGTAGCCTCCCTGACCAGTTTTGTTCTCATCTTATCATCAATTTTGGACGGATGTCCTGTTCTTGATAATGTCATCGTTGTGCCATTTTTTCTCCACTTGATGATGACGGTCTTTACTGTGTTCCATGGTATATTTAATTCCTTAGAAATTCTTTTATAGTCCTCACCTGACTGATATCTTTGAATAATGAGATCCCTCTGATGCTTTGGAAGCTCTCTGCGGACCATGACTTGTGCTGGAAGATGTGGCTACAAAAATATCAGGAAAAGCCTACTAGAACAGCTGAACTTTATTTGGGGTTGATCAGACGCACTTTAATTGGTGACAGGTGTGTGCTGACTCTAATTTAACCTGAGTTTGAATGTTATTGTGTGGAGCAGGTGTCAGACTTCCGTTCCTTGGGTGTTCAGATCGAGGAGGGCCTGACCTGGACTGTAAACACTACGAAGGTGATTAAAAAGGCCCAACAGCATCTCCACTTTCTGAGGGTCCTCAGGAAAAATAGCATCACACAGACACTGATGGTGTCCTTTTACAGGTGCTCCATAGAAGCCATTCTTACGTATTGTATATGTGTATGGTTTAGCAGCTGCACTGTGGCCCAGAAAAAGGCTCTCCAAATGGTTGTCAACACAGCCCAGAGGATAGTTGGTTGCCCCCTTCCCTCACTGGACGACCTTCACAGTGCTCGCTGTGCTAGAAAAGCTCAGAGCATTGTTAAAGACACTTTCCATCCTGGTTACTCCTTGTTTGAATTTTTGCCATCAGGCAGACATTACAGGACAATCAAATCAAGAACAAACAGACTTACAAACAGTTTTTATCCGACAGCAATAACTACCCTCAAGGTTATGTGTGCCTGAGTATGTATTTATTTATTTATTTATTTATCTAGTTATGCTGTTATTTATTACTGTAGTTGTTTTTAATGATGCACTGACTGTTTGGCACATTTATTTATTTCGTTGTACTGCTTACAATGATAATAAAGGACTATTCTATTCTTATTGGTTAAATCTGGACACAGCCACATCCCCAGTTCTTAAAGGGTGTGCACACTTATGTAACCACATGATCTCAGTTGTTTATTTTTACTTCACCTCCCTGAAAGATTTCTGTTTGTTTTTCAATTGTGTTGTACAGGTTATAAGTCACATTAAAGGTGGAAGAAGTTGTGAAATTATTTATCTTGATTCAATTTTTTTATATGACAAAAACCTGGCATTTGAACAGGGGTGTGTAGACTTTTTATATCCACTGTATATGTTAACCAAAACAGTTTAACACAATATACATTAACACAGATTTAAAATCACTAACATCATCACACCCAGTCCCTTACTATAACTTCTAAAAAAAATTACCTCCCATGTGACTCAATGATGTGAATTCCAGTGTGCATTGATACAGTAATTGACATCATCTCATAACCAGTGTGGTACATAGAAACATGGCAAGAACCAAAAAGTTTTTTGGGAGGCAGATAGCCTTCTGTTTTTATTTATTACTATTATTTTTATTGTTGTTGTTCATCGCCATTATTGTCAAATTCCTCTCTTATATTCCAGACTTGAGGCACTGTTATGAGGAGTCAGATGCAAACCATATATCTGTGCTTTTGCTCAGAGAACCTGAGTCATTAGATGTCTTCAAACTCTAAAATGTTGTGCCTTTCTGATTCATAAATAAAATTCCTTAGGATTAACAGTCAGACACATCACATAAAGTTTTTCTTTTTGCTTTATATGCCCATTTTGCCATTATGTGTCTGGTGAACATGGTCGACAAGTTTAGCTATACACACAATTCAGATAAGTTTTCATCAAAACTGTTTCATTTTTACTGTCAGTCAGATAATTGGTTCGTTGCTTAATGGTATCAGAACTACTGAGAACACCATATTAAATCTATTTCCTTAATTCCTCAGCATTTCTTCCTCTTTTTTCTTCTAGCCACATAAATGAAGACAAGAGGAAAACTGAAGGCCAGAAGCAGATCTTTGATGTTGTGTATGAAGTTGATGGTTGTCCTGTAAGTTTAGTAACTGTTTTGTTTTTAGACCATGTGCTGCTCAGGCAGTGACGTATGATAATTGACTTGAGATTCCAGATGAATATTACCTGTTGTTTGTGGAAACTTTGACATTGTTTTCATATTTACAAAAAAAAAATACTGTTATACCCCCATTCTCTTTTTCTTCTCCTTTTCTCTCACTGTTCTAGTCAGCATTTGTAACACCTTTTTAATACTTTGTGATCTGCACAGGCCAACCTGCTGTCCTCCCATCGCAGCCTGGTTCACAGAGTAGAAACAATTGCCCTAGGAGACCAGCCATGTGACCGTGGGGAACATGTTACACTCTTCCTCTTTAATGACTGCCTTGAGGTGAGAATGCATTCAAGACTATTGCCAACCTTGATTTACAGCTTTTGTGAAACTACAGAAGAAAGTTTTGGGGTGTTAGGACTGTTCTGGTTTATGTTCGTACCTTACAATGTAACCACCTGTGTCTTTCAGTCGGGATATTTGGATTTAACCAGGCTAAGTTGTTAAAGCTACTCTACTACATACAGTACAGAGAACTGGTTCCAGCATCACCTGAAAGCGTCATCTCTTTCCAAATCCCTAAATCATTTAAACAAGTCTTTTTATTCCTGAACCATGTTTGTTGGGGGGAAACAGCATGAATCTCAGCATGTTGCTAAACACACACTGTGATCCATGTGTGCATTCAGTGCTAGGGAGGAAAGAGGCATTTTGCAGAGTAGCAAGATTGAATAGGTGATCAATTCATGTGTGGATAGTCTATCACTGCTGACACAGGCTGTGTGTGTTAATTAGCAAAGGGGCAGCTGAAGAACAGGGCAGGCAATTATGAAAGAGAGGAGGTGGGTGGCTGCGCTGAATCAGGGGTGTCAGCGACACCTCCTAATTAGCCTGTGTGTGTGTGTGTGTGTGTGTGTGTGTGTGTGTGTGTGTGTGTGTGTGTGTGTGTGTGTGTGTGTGTGTGTGTGTGTGTGTTAAACAAGCTGTCTGACAATTTCCATGTAGTCCTGAATGTGTTTTTATTGAGTGAATATTATGTAAAAGTGGGTGGCCTTGCTCTAACTCCCCTCCATCATCACTTATTATTGATTAACTTTTGCAATCACATAATCACTCTCGCCTTCCTCACTTAAACTGTCAAAATAACAATGACCTACTATGAAGTGTCCTGTTTTATCCTCTCTGCCATCTCTCTGTTTCTCTGTCCTCCCCCTTCCCTGTTTTGTCTCCCTCAGCATCTAATTAATGTGGCATTAATGAGTTGCATCGTTAAACTCTATGGAGGCCTCATTGATTTATTGCCAAGTAACCGATAGCTTCACCCACACACTGCAAAATGCACCCACACTCAGTCTTTTAGCATCAAGGACACACACACACACACACACACACACACATTGAATACTATGTAAGTTTTCTTTCTTCCCATTCAACAACGTTTCTGTCTAATTTTGTGTGTATGTGTGTGTATGTGTCTGTCTATAGATTGCCAGGAAGCGACACAAGGTTATCAATACATTTAAGAGTCCACTGGGACAGACGAGACCACCTCCCCCTCTTAAGCACATTGCATTGATGCCTCTGTCTCAGATTCGGAGAGTGCTGGACCTGCAGGACACAGATGGTAAGAAAGTGATTTCATGCTTACTCTGAAAACTGCAGCTTCCAGGTTGAATCACTGCATTTACATCTAATTTAAGTGTACTTTAACCTCTCTACCTGAACTTTTTGTAACTTCCCTGAAATGAAACTATTGTTGCTGTCGGACTGAAACCTTGTATTTACAAAACCACTACTTTCCACAAAGAACAATAACTCTGTTTTTGACAACATAACATTACCTGACAATCAATTTCATTTTTTTTATTTGTGCACCTTTAAATGTTTGAAAGCCTGATGACGGGTATAAAAGGAGATCAGAAACATTGATTTATGCTGAAAAAAAGGAGAATGATGAAAAATGGAGATGTAAGGTTTCCGCCCAACTAGTGTCTGAGTAAAGTCGATCTGATTAGTGAGTCCAGATGTCTTTTTTTTTTTCATATAAAGTGATCCAATTAAGTTGGCCACTAAAAGTTATTCAACTTGTGGAACAGTTAGAAATATTTTACTTAGTATATAAACCACTTAAGTCTTGCAGGGTTGTCAGCAATTTTCAAATGTGTTTTCTCCTGATAGGGAGATTGGGAATCTTTAGCGTTGCTCAGTTAAATAAAAGCACATACAAAGGGAGAATCTGACAGCTAGAATGAACACTAGAATATACTACCGAAGCTTGTAAATTATTGGAACAAATAGTTTAGAAAGGGAAAGAAAGTTAATCTTTTTATTGATTTGATACTGAAATCAGTGGCTTTTTACAGCAAATTTATTCAAGAGGATTAAAAGAAGGTTGGTCATCACACAGCATTGATCAAATCTCTAATTTGGCGGCGAATGAAATTCAAATTCCAGCAGCATCAGTTTGTACAGGGAAACAAAAACACAAAACAAAAAGGCCAAATAAGTAAGAAATACAAATGTATTATATATATATATATATATATATATATATATGTATATATGTATATATATATATATATATATATATATATATGTATATATGTATATATATATATATATATATGTATATATATATATATATATATGTATATATATATATATGTATATATATATATGTATATATTATATATATATATATATATATATATATATATATGTATATATATATGTATGTATATATATATATATATGTATATATATATGTATGTATATATGTGTATGTATATATATGTGTGTGTGTATATATATATATATATATGTATATATGTATATATATAAATGTGTATGTATATATATGTGTGTGTGTATATATATATATATATATATAAAAATAAAGGTATAATAAAACATAGTCATAAAGTCAGATATAAAGGTATGGACATTTGGACTTTATTTTTGACTGTCTGAATTTTTTAAAAGACACTTTAAAGGACAAGAGCGTCATGTTTGAATTCCAGACACCTGAAATAAAAGCACAGTAAAGTGCAATGCCATGTAAACTTGACATTTTTTTTAGATGTTTCAGAACATAGAGACAGAGGATCTCTCATGCCCTCTCTCTGTTTTTTATTTATTTATTTCTGTATAGCTCCATTCATTTACAAGGCAATTCAAAGTGCTTTTCAGATGCTAGAAAATACATTGGAAATTAAAAAAGATTAAAAAATGTTAAAAAGACAAAACGATTTAAAATCAATATGACAAACAGATACATTTTTTCGTCTGTTCAGTGTTAGCCCTGATTATTTATGAAAACCACAATTTCCCAGTAAAACAAAATAAATCGCAAGCTTTCAGACCTGGAGTTCCCCAGATGGTAATTAGTTTTCTCTTTGTCTATCTCAGATAGTGCTAGTTTTCCGTCTGTCCTGTACGTGTAGGCAAGAGTGTTTTGATGAAAGGACCTGATGAGTGATCTATAACTGAAATCACCCACAGTGACACTCTGCACCTACTAACAGAGCTTTGGTGTTTTGGTATTTGTGTTTCTATTAAACAGCCAACTTGTAACTTTAAGATTAGTACTTCTATCACAACATTTAACTACAACAGAATTGTCTAATCAGGGAAATGGAAATTAGAAACACTTGATAACTGCAAGTATCTTAGAATAAGCAATAAGATATATTGGTTTCATTTAATAGTGCATGGATAGGAGGTGCTGTATGAAGGCACAGGCACTGCATAGAAAAATATCATATAGCAAAACATCATATTCAGTGCTGTGCTTTAGCCCCTGAAATGGTCAATAATCAATTTGGAAGAACTAAGGCTTTGTGTATTTCCTTTTTTTTTAGGCCCTGTTGTTATTATTATTATTATTATTATTATTATTATTATTATTATTAATAATAATTTATTTATTTATTATTATTTTTTTAACCAGTGTCCTGCTTTTGCTTTAAGTTTGTGTACAGAGGAGAAAAGATGTGGGGTCTGTCACAACACAGAAAAAAATATATTTGTTGACATCTCCTTTAAAAAAATGTCAAATAAATAAATAAATAATTTTCCAAGTTCATAAAATCTTGTGTCAAAATCATGAAAAGGCAAGCCGATGCAGCCTCAACATTTGGGAAACAGTGTAAACAGTATGTAGGGTATCTGAGAGCCAACATTTCAGTGTTTCCTGCATTGATTGACTAGTTTGACATGAGAGTGCATTGTTTAGAGACAGTTGTGTGGGTTTGGTGATGACTGACGTAAAGAATCTGGATCAAGACTAAAGTTTGTGTTTCACGTTTTTTTTTTGTTTGTTTGTTTTTTTCTCATTACTTGTGTGTGCTCGTATCTCTCCATCTGTTTCTCCTACTGTTCTCACTGTCCAACACCCTTCCTTTGATTCCACCTCATTCTTTTCATCTCAATCTCTATGTTGGCTGAATTTCCCCCTCCATTTTTTTGTGTCACTCTGTCACCCTGCCTCCTCCTTTCAGAGTGTGTAAATGCGTTTGCCTTGGTGGTTCACCCTCCGACCGAACAGGAGAACTTGTTGTTCAGTTTTCAATTGTCTGGAGAGGACACTGTTAAAAGCATCTGGCTGCGGACACTTTGCCGCCATGTCGCCAACACCATCTGCAGGGCTGATGTGGTGAGTAGCCAAACACTCAAATGACAGCAGGATAAAAATGACAAAAGTTCATTAATTTTGAAAGAAAAACAAATCTTCAGGCATCAACAGAAGTATACAGTGCAAGAATTATTAGATTACAGGTAATAGTTCTGATATGTCAGAAATGTGGACATTTATTAATCATTTTAAGTATAAAATCCAAAACTGAACTGTAAAATAAAGAAGAAAAATAAAAGTGAAAGACTGTTTTAAATGTAATTTTCTTTATACTCAGCTTTTTCTATTGCAGTGATCTGTGTGAGTAAAAATATAACAAAGTTAAAGTTGCTGCATATCATGTTTTTTTGGCTTTTCAGGGTGTCTTGCAAAAGGTCCTACCATCATGGAGGTTTTAATTTTGATATGTGCTGCAGCTATGCTAAATAGAAATGAATTATTTTTTTTATCCCTCTGGACCATTGTAGAGTTTTTTCAGAAAATATACTCATTTGAAATATTAGTTTACATTACTTTAGAATATTGATCCTTTTGGGAAGGTTTCTCTAAGGAATTTAAAATTCCAGCAGCATCAGTATGTACAGAAAAAAAGAATAAAGATACACTAAAACTTCTGATGAATGAAGTATTTATATTACTGCTGCTGCTCCTTGCCATCCTCTGTCCTCCTGTTACCCTTCCTGAGGAGTTGTACAGTCTGATGGCATGAGGGACAAAAGAGTTCTTCAGTCTGTTGGTCTTGCACTTACGAAGGACCAGTGTGTCACTGAATGTAATAAAAGACATATTGTAAAAGTGAAAGCAGTTTTTAGCAAACTGTGGGATGTTTACCTTTATAAGCTTTTCTCAAAGAAAACACTTTTTTATGGAGTATTTCAGGTAGCAGCATATGTGGTTAAGTTGAACTGCAGTATGATCATAAGGAGATGTTACCCAGTGTGCCCATCAGTAAGTTTCTAATAGTTTTAGGACAACAAAAAAACTCCACGAGAAACACCAGCTCCAGCTATAACACAGCAGTCCTCAGAACAACAATTCCTAAATGGTTTTAGTCTCATTTGTGGATTTATTTATAAGATGGAGTGAAATTATTCAGTCTTCCTGGTGCATTTAGCACAGCATGCAGCAGGGGGCGATGTTGGCCTCTGGTCTGCCTGCCACTTCACAGCTGCATTCCTTTTTCACTGGGTCAGCGCTGCACTGTGAATACCAACAAGATAGAGCTTTGCTTGTTAACAAGCCCACTGCAGGGTGCGGTTGAGAGAGAAATAAAGACTGTGTGTCTGTCTGTGAACTGCTCTTCACATCCCCTCCTTCAACTGTTTTTGTAGCAAAGCAAAATGAATCTGTTGGTATTGATTACATGAATAGCACAATCCAAGTAATTTAATTACGTTATTCAAGCCTGTTTTGTTTTTTGTCTTACGACCAGGAGGACATGATTCAGTGCACAGACCCAGACTCTCTTCAAGTCAGCACCAAGGATATGGACAGCACCTTGAGCAAAGCATCCAGAGCCATCAAGAAGACCTCTAAGAAGGTAAAGGTAGAGGGATCTGTTCTGGTTTTGTTATGATCAACATTTGAAACTGTACCTTTACTAGTGATGCTTCATCATCAGATGAACTTACTGAGCAATCAAGCATTGTACATACAGACTGCAGTTACCCAGTACATACTCTGACTTCTAATGTCAGTTAAGTGGTCAATGTTCTCTCAGTAAAATCATGGCTTTTTCAGTGTGATACAGTCTTCCCAATCAGAATAACAGAGTTTATAGCTATTTCTTTCAACAAACCCTGTTAGAAAGCAACTACAAAGGCGGTTAGCATCATAATGCAGATACAGAATATCAAGACTTTGTCAAAAGCAACACTTCTGTTGTAAAAACAACCAAGGATGCTTTCCACATTGTGGTGTATACAAAACAGAGTTGCAAGCTACAGTGGATATAAAATGTCTACACACCCCTGTTCAACTGCCAGGTTTTAGTGATGTAAAGAAATGACAGCAAGATAAATATTTTTACAACTTTTTCCATCTTTAATGTGACCAGTAACCTGCACAATGCAATTGAAAAACAAACTGAAACTTTTAAGGGGGAAAAATAAAAAATAGAAAAGTTAAAATAGCCTGGTTGCATAAATATGCACACCCTTAAACTAATACTTTGTTGCAGCACCTTTGGCTTTTATTACATCACTCAGTCTTTTTGGGTAGGAGCCTATCAGCGTGGCATATCTTGATGTGGCAATATTTGCCCACTCTTATTCGCAAAACCGCTCCAAATCTGACAGATTGCGATATGCACAGCCCTCTTCAGATCACCCCACAAATGTTCGATGGGATTCAGGTCTGGACTCTGGCTGGGCCATTCCAAAGTCTCAATCTTATTCCATTGAAGCCATTCTTTTGTTGATTTAGATGTGTGCTTTGGGTCATTGTCATGCTGAAAGATGAAGTGCCTCTTCATCTTTAGCTTTCTAGCAGAAGGCCGATTTGTGCCAACACTGACTGGTATTTGGAACTGTTCATAATTCCCTCCACCCTGACTAAGGCTCCAGCTCCAGCTGAAGAAAAACAGCCCCAAAGCATGATTCTGCCACGACCATGCTTCACTGTGGGTATGGTGTTCTTTTGGTGATGAGCAGTGTTGATTTTGCGCCAAATATACCTTTTGCAATGATGCCCAAATAGTTAAACTTTGGTTTCATCAGACCATAACACATTTTCCCACACGCGTTTGGGAGATTTCAGATGTCTTTTTGCAAAATTAAGCCGGGCTTTGATGTTTTTCTTTGTAAGATAAGGCTTCCATCTTGCTACCCTACCCCATAGCGCAGACATATGAAGACAGCGGGAGATTGTTGTCACATGTACTACACAGCCAGTACTTGCCAGAAATTCCTGCAGCTCCTTCAGTGTTGCTTTTGGCCTCTTGGTAGCCTCCCTGACCAGTTTTGTTCTCGTCTTATCATCAATTTTGGACAGAATGTCATTGTTGTGCCATATTTTCTCCACTTGATGTTGACGGTCTTCACTCTGTTCCATGGTATATGTAATTCCTTGGAAATTCTTTTATAGCCCTCACCTGACTGATATCTTTGAATAATGAGATCCCTCTGATGCTTTGGAAGCTCTCTGCGGACCATGGCTTGTGCTGGAAGATGTGGCTACAAAAACGCCAGGAAAAGCCTACTAGAACAGCTGAACAGGTTATAGGTCACATTAAAGGAAGAAAAAATTGTGAATTTATTTATCTTGATTCAAGTTTTTTACATGATAAAAACCTGGCAGTTGAACAGGGGTGTGTAGACTTTTTATATCCACTGTAGCTGATTCACACTCTGATAAAACCTCCTTTACTTTTGTCCAATATGTTTTTCATCTGACAAAGCTGTCAGCAGATCTGCAGGAGAGACACACTGACTTGCAGTGCTGTGTCTGAGCCAACCAAGCAATGGGACAGGGCACTTCTTTCTGTTGGTAGCACTTTGTATTAGAGGTGCACAAATATTTGAAGTGAACCCTTTAAGTACTGCACCTATGGTTTGTGCAGGTGCGTATATATTGGAGATAGGGCTGAAATACAGGAGAGTACCAGGTAAAACGTGAGTGCTGGCAGGTATGGACATATGTTTGGTTGACCATATTCTGAAGCCCCCTAAAGAGGACTCGACTATGGGGGCCGAAAATTTTAAGGGTTTTTTGTGTCAGGTCGAGTGTTTTTATGTACTTTTAACTCGGTTAAATGCATATTCTGAATTCTCAAAGACAGTACATGCATGCATCGTGTCAGAGGCTTTGCTTAGAAGTGAGCAGATGGGCAGAGCTGCAGAGAGCACTGATGCTCTGCCCTGTTTTATAATGAATGAATTCATGTTCTGGACATGTAAATGATTTTATAAACTTCCCCCGGACAGCCCCCTAAAAGAAGACATGTTCAGGTAAAAGAGGACATATGGTCACGCTATTATATTTACCTTCCATGCTGTGCTGAGATAAAGCAGCAGTGGCTGACAAATGGTGGAGAGCATCGAATACATGTGACCCCTTATATTTGATGCCGTGCCCCGTTGACAAATGTTTAAGCATGTTGCTTGCGTTTCCACCTTTGCATGTTATCACTGCTCAACAGACGTTGCACTGTTTTCTGTCTTTCTTTGTAAAATTAAGCTACGCTTTAGATCGTTTCTGCCTACTTTTTGTCCCGTCCGTCATGTCTTTTTCTCTGTCTCTGTTCCCGTTCGTGTAGACTGGCACTTGCGAGACCATTGTTCAAGGCACCTGGAAGAAAAGAATCATTAAGAGAATCGTTGAGATAAAATGTAAATGATGTAGATGGATTGAACCATTTGGAACCCGTTCTCCACAAGAACTGGCTCTCGATTCCCATCCCTACCCTACATTATAAATTGTACTGTGAGAAAAGGACTATGAATATTTCAGGCTCGAGTACGCAGAAACATGGATGAGCACAAGAGATTGTTGAGACAATTCCCTGAGCAGCTACAAAATTTTGGACTTGAACTGAAACTGGTGGTGATTCATACTTTTTAAAGCATGATACTGTCTGAAACAGTTAATATATGTGAAACTGTAAAACATGGTTCTCAAATGTTTGTTATATCAGATTTTTGAGGCTGCTTATGGAATCAATTGAGGGAACACTGGCGAGCAGAGAAAGCTTTAAGGTTTAATAAGTGCTATAGGCAGTCTTTCCACCAATTTCTCATTTACCTGTTTTTTTTCAAGTTCTCTGCTTTTCTTTATTGCTTATTTTAACATTAAAGGTCACGTCAATAAAGGAGGTCATCAGCTGTTAATTTTTTCAAAAATAAGTTCGCTTATTTTTATTGTGTATGTGAATACTACTTAACAGTTCAAACAGATACAAGTGTTATTGTTATTGCATATGATAGCAATAGGAGCAGCTAGGGCTGCAACTAACGATTATTTTCATAACAGACGAATCGGTCAGTTATTTTTTCGATTAATCGATGAATCGGATACAAAAATATTCTTAATTTCCACCTTTTTATTTCAAAAAGGAACAACAGAGCAAATGATTGCACAAAAAACGGGTTGCTGCTTGAATGTTCTGTTACAGTAATATTACATAATGGTGATTTAAAAAAAAAAAAAGTAAAATAGCTTTCAGTCAAGACAGCTGCTTGCTGTGGTGTGCAAAATGTCTTTCCCACCATGAATTCTGTTATTGTTTTTTTGTGGAATGAGCTGGACAGTACAGTATAAGTATGTATTATAGCACAATTTACAGCAACTCAATAAATTCCCTGTTTTCTTTGCAGAATTAGGTTAGGGCAAGCAAGTAGCCCAATGAGCAATTAAACACAGCACACACACATGTATCGCATATGTGTGTTTATATGAAAACAAAAAATTGAAGCTTAATCATTAAATTATTACCACTGCAGGTTATATTTATAAAGCACATTTAAACACTGCATAATATAATTAAACTGAAATAAAAAATAGCACACTCACATATGTGTGTACTCTATTACTGTCGATAACCAGCTGACAAGCCAACAGCAGCATCAGATAAGCTACGTTAAGGTATGTTACCTCACTTCGAAACGGAAGAAATGTAGGATATTGTACCCTGCTGATGAGCGCCCTTCACCCTCATCGATGACTCCAACATGTTTGTGTTTCAGGGTATTGCACGTTATCATCGTGGTGCTCCTGTGCCGTTTGAAACGCTTTTACAAAGCTTGCATGTTGCGCTTCTTTAACTTTGGTAAAGCGTAAAGTGCTCCCACACTTTTGAGGACTGGAGACGAACCATTTCCACTGCGTCCGCCATTTGTAGAATTTTCTTAATTTCTGTTAATACTGCCTCTGCCTCGCTGCGTTCAACTTGTGGTTGAGATCTTTGGCTCCGTGTCATGCCGAGTGATGCATAAATCGCGTGACACAACGAATCAATAATGAAATTCGTTGCTGACACTTTTAATAATCAATTTTTATCGATTTTATCGATCCGTTGTTGCAGCTCTTCTAGCAGCAAAATGTTTGGCCTCTGAAAAAACATGGCTCTTCAGATGCTGGTCCCTCTCAGAAGCGGTCACAGAGGCTAATGACATTGTTTGGAGAGTAGAGAGTAGGGGTACTAATGTCTTCTACCTTTTGAGGCATAAATTAGAAATTAGTGTATTTATTTATTGATTTCCAGTGCTTGTCTTTTTTTTTTTTTTTCTGTCCGTTTTTTTTTTTTAAAAATTGTCCTTCCCACTTATGCTCTCTTTACATAGCTTTATGTCTAAGTGTGGCAGTGATTGCTCTCATTTAATTCAGAACTTCAGGTGTTAGTTGAGTAGTCCAAATAATCATTTCAGTGCTAATTCAAAACCTTGTGATCAAACTGATGTAATTTGTGCTTACTTGATTGACCTGTGGGAACATTTCTTATTCTATTCAAATAACAAATAACCACTCCTAAACACTGAATCTTGGGGGAATGTTTTGTTAAGTCAGGAAAGCTTTGGGTACTTTCTGTCTATTTTGGATATGACCCATATGTCAGCAAGTGAGTTATGGGGATTTTAGTAGAAAAGGCTGTTTCTCCTTGTTATTTAGGAATCCTTCAAGTCCCACTCTGATCGTATTTTTTATATTTTTTTACTACTTCAGAGTGTTCTCAGTGGTTTTTAAATTGTGATTATGAAGTTTTTACCAAAAATCGCATTACCTGTGTCATTTTCAAGGGCTTTTCTTCTGCAGAACTCCAGTAGCTTATTAGCAATTCGCCTCTTGAGTCGTGGGCGAAGACAGCGCTGCTCTGCACACTTGTCCTTACGTTAGCTTGCAGCTTAACATTGCTTGTGCAGCAGAAGTGGAATGTAACATAGGAGCTATTCAGCTCTCAAACCTGAAAGCCTTATATGATAATGAGCTTTCTTACAAGCATTGCAACCCACTAACGCACACACTTGCTCCACGATCGTCCTCTATATGCACAGTGTGGCCTGCATAGCGGGGCTCCGGGGATGGAGCTTGGATTGGATTACGTATGAACTCTCACTGTTTCTGAATCTGCTGTTTGGGCCTGCCAGAGATTTACAGTGATTTGAATGCAGAAATACACAGAAATGCAATTTCGCATTTAGTTTTCTCATGGTATGTCCTGTAGCATCAGAAAAATGCCATATGAACATCTAAAAAACAAGAAAAACATGATTTTCATTGGAGTGGTTCTTTGAGTGAGTTTTCGTTCAGTTGGAAATGCTGTCTCTTAATATGGAAAGATAAAATAAGTATCATATGGTGTTTCATATTGTATTATTTGTATTGAATTGACCTGTGTTATAAATTGACTACATTTTTACTAAATTAAAAAAAAAAGCTTTTGTAATTGTTGTTACTGCTACTTGATGCCAGGCATATAAGGTTCTCTGTCCAAAAGACAAAACAAGAACACTTACTGGTATACTATTGCATTTAAAACAAGATAAATGTGACATATTATGCAATGGGTATCGACAGTGACAGACAACAATCCAGAGAGAAAGTGCTATACACAGATATTTGAAATGAAGAGGTTGAAAATCCAAGCTGTCCTGGGCAAAAATAACACGGGCCACATAATCTATATGTTTTCCTAATATTCTGTGTGTCTGTGCCAGGTGACAAGGGCCTTCTCTTTCACAAAGACCCCAAAGCGTGTGATCCAGAGGGCGTTCATGGCCAACAGTACTCCAGATGAGAAGTGCCAGAGGCTGAGTTGTGAAAACCGCATTGGCAGCAGCTCAACACTGGCTGTAAGTGTTTGTTTTTAATGCATGTTTGAAAAAATCTTTTGTCTGTCAAACAACATGAGCTGCAAAAATTCAACTGACTCACAGAATTTGCCTTTTTTTAACCTGAAAATCACTCATGTATAAGCCAAACAATTCTGTAATTAAGCCTTATCTAAATTAATTCTAGTGTGTAATGATTTATCTCAAGTCCAGGAACATTGTTTGGATCATATCACAAACATTCACTAATCATCAAGCAGAGTTCTTGTATGAAATTAAATCGGCAGCCAACAAGTTTGTAAAGAAGGGTCCTGGTGATCCTGCAAGAATGGCTGAACATGCAAACATATATGAAGTTTGGCAACATATTACCAAAGCGAAATATAAAGAGGAAGACAAATGCCGTTTATGTTCAAAAATCCTTTCTTGGCTGGGGGTGCCTCCATGGCCGAGCACAGCAGTGCACATAAAAGTAAAACAAATACATTACTTTGAGCGTCTTAGAGCTGGGAAAACATCAGCAACTCTAACTGTTGCCAGTGCAGGTTGATCATCCTCCACCTCCAGTCAGGCAGTCATACCCAAATGTAGTACTAAGTCTTGTTCGTTAAAGACACTGGTGCAGTGTTGGAATTGGCTGGACAAAAGCATGTCAGCAAAAATTGGGTTAAGTATTAGGCAAAGGTAAATAACTCATAACCAAACAAAGCAGTACCAGTTCTTTCAAGAGTCCTTCAAATAATATGAAAGTATCAATAACGCAACCAGTAAAGACTCAGAACATTGAAAAGGGGTATGAAAAAGAGTTATCCCTGTCCCTTTATTTGACCTTAGTGTTCCACAAATGTAGGTATTTAAAAAAGAATATAGTGTTCAGCTTAAAACTCACTGTTGCTGGTTTGAAGGAAGGAGAACATGAGATTCTGAAACTTGTAATGGCTGATTTATTTGACCCCAAAATAACTTGTGTTTATTTGTATGGATAATAGTGCTGGGCGATATGGAAAAAAATGTATATCACGATATGGATCATTTTATATCACGATAACGATATATATCACGATATAGCTATGGTATGCTTTCAGTTCTATGAAAAATTTAAGTGTATACAGCTGCACTAGTTCAGTACCAGTACAAGACCAGCACTTAAAACTAGAAAAATGAATAAACAAATACGTGGCTGAAGTGCGTTCATGTCTGTGCTCACCCAAAGTTATGTAACACTTACAGAAAACGCTGATAGTGTGAGCCGAAGCACTCCATAATAATAATAATAATAATAATAAATTTAATTTGTAATGCACTTTACATTTACAAAAAAATCTCAAAGTGCTACAGTACACAGTAAAAAAAGAGCAGCAACAATAAAAAAAGCAATAGAATGACAGTCACAGATTAGCATAAAAAAGAATTAAAAAAAAAATATATATATAGAGTTGCAATGTAAGAGGCAAGGTAGTAAAAGCATAAAGCATAGAGGAAAACTAACCAAAGGCTTTATTAAAAAGGTAGGTCTTTAGGGCTCTTTTGAAGAGGTTGTTCACACTGCTAGATGTTTCTCCTCCAAAGCTGCTCTCTGCCTCCATCATTGTTTACTTTACTCTTGAAGCACGTAGCAAGACCCGAGCATGAATCCGAGCGTTTTATTCGCCTATCAGGGGCAGACAGGTAAGGTGATTTGATTCGCCACGACTCCAGAAATGATTGAAAAACTACAGAATGTCACAAAATTACGTTTCCTCGCTGCTGGCTTGAAGGGTACAAATGCGCAGCCGCGCTCCCAGCTGACAGGAAGTCAAACCGCTGTTGTAGTTCTTTTGTGTTGCTAGCGCGGTCAAGAGTGTTTACTCTCACTGAGAGATGACTGCAAAAATGGACGCACCTGTTCATCTGGTTGTTAAACACGGCTGAAAAAGATCATCTTTTCATGTTGTTCCCGCTCCTGCCCACTCCCGTTGCTTTTTTTCCTGTCCCGTCCCGATCAAGAGATTAATAAAAAAATGACTCCCATCCCGCGGGAATCACGTGACCCACGGGAATTCCCGAAAAAAGTCATCCTCCACAGGGAAGGTCCTGGAGCAGATGAAACAGGTGCCGGAGCGGCTGAAATAGGTCCCAGATCCGATCAAAAGAGGTCCCGGATCGCGCTCCGACTTGCTCCGGCACAAATTAAGCACTGCTTACAATGATCCCCTCACGTGTGTAACCCAGGTAACCCGCAACGGCGGGAGGCGCTGGACATAAAGAGGGCACGTAAAGCGGCGTCATGTCGCAAAATCGAAAGAGAAATGCAAGCCTACATGTCAACGCATCCTTTTCTTTGTAAGAAAATATTGTTTTCTTTCCCGTTCGACACCAAATACACTTACTGAATGTGCAATTATTGTTGTTGTTACTATGAATCATCTGATGGCACAAGCTCTATGGATTAAATACAACCTATCGCCCGAAACGATAAGAATAAAAATGGCACGATAGACATTTTCTATCGTGCCAACGATATATATCGTCCAATCGCCCAGCACTAATGGATAATACTACCCACATTAATCCAGATGATTGCTCACTTCATTTCCCCTCATCATCAACATTTGTTGGATGTTACTTGTTTCTTTGTTTATCCATCTAACCATTTATTGTTTATTCCCCTTCTGTTCTCTCCATCTTGCTCTACTTTAATAGTGAGCCAGGCTATTGATTTTTTCTTAAAAGTGTGATGGGGTGACTTTCAGTTGGATTTTTTTTTCTTTTGATCAGACTTTATTTGGAACCAACAAAGAGTTTCATTTATTTGCTGGAGAGTTATTTTAGCTCTCTTTTTGCAGTTATTTTTCTTAACCTGAAGAAAATAACTGCAAATCTCATTCTAATTGTTTTTTCTTCCACTTAAAGTGTTATCAGTGGTCTTCAAATTGTGATTATGAAGTTTTTATCCAAAACTGCATTACCGGTGTCATTTTTTTTAAGGGCTTTTCTTCTTCAGAGCTCCAGTTGCCTATAGCATATTCGCCTCTGAGTTGTGGGTGGAGACAGGGCTGCTCTGCGCCCTCCTCTTCATGCAGTCAAACATTGCCGACATAGTAGAAGTAGCAAGTAACAAGTTAGCCACTCAGCTCTCAAACACTAATGTTTTAGGGGGCATGATAAAAGTTAATATGATAATTTGCTTTCTAACAAGCATTGCAATCTGCTAATGCACACACTAGTTCTGATATCGTTCTCTTCACTTCTCCGAGTCTGGCCTGCAGAGTGGGGGACCGGGGATGGAGCATAGATTTGCTATGTAGAAAATCACACTGGCCCTCATTTATCAAGCTTGCGTACATTAGTTGTGACATGAGGATTTGCATTTATCAATCTGCACGTGAGTGTGCGCTACAACCAAATCTCACGACAGGTCTGACATTGTGTATGCAAGTTTGAGTCAGTGTGGATCTGCGTTGCAGCAAATGTTTGTCTCAAAATGATTGATATACCGTATTTTCCGCACTATAAGGCGCACCGGATTATAAGGCGCACCTTCAATGAATGGCCTATTTTAAAACTTTGTTCATATATAAGGCACACCGCATAGAATAGACGCTACAGTAGAGGCTGGGGTTACGTTATGCATCCATTAGATGGAGCTACGCTAAAAGGAATTATTCGTTAATGTTAAATTCTCTCGCTGCTGCTCTATTCCCGTGTTCTACTGCGTGACTGATTGCCTTGAGTTTAAACTCTGCGTCGTAAGCGTGTCTCTTAATAGGAGCCATTTGGGGTCTTTACATAAACACACAAATGGAAATGAAACGGCATGCCTCGCGCAGTCATATATCCCAGCATGCACCGCGCGCTTCTTCTTCTACGGGGAAAAATGAAGTCGGCGGCTGCTTACCGTAGTTGCGAGACCTGTTGTGGCTCAATATTGGTCCATATATAAGGCGCACCGGATTATAAGGTGCACTTTCAGCTTTTGAGAAAATTGGAGGTTTTTAGGTGCGCCTTATAGTGCGGAAAATACGGTACACTACAGGCCAAAAGTTTGAAAGCAAGGCCATTACAGGCCAAACAGTTGGGAGTAACTTCAAGTTTTTGTTCACAATGCTTTTTTTAAAATCCAGCATGAGTTTTATGTATATTTAGGTCAATAGTTTATGTAAACTATTGACTTGTTTTTGATAAACTACCAACTTTTTGTCTAATAATGAAAAAATATGTTGAGAGCAATAACTGTTGAAGAAAGTCATTGATAAATATTGTCAGCAGATTGGGTTTTGAAGTCGCATTTATCTAGAAGCATCAGTGTCTTATTTCAGCCCTGTTGCTGCATGTTTTTGATACTTCCTAATAGTGCTGGGCGATATGGAAAAAAATGTATATCACGATATGGATCATTTTATATCGCGATAACGATATACCACGATATAGCTATGGTATGCTTTCAGTTCTATGAAAAATTAAAGTGTATACAGCTGCCCTAGTACAGTGCCAGTACAAGACCAGCACTTAAAACCAGAAAAATGAATAAATAAATACGTGGCTGAAGTGCGTTCATATCTGTGCTCACCAAAAGTTATGCAACACTCACAGAAAACGCTGATAGTGTGAGCCAAAGCACTCCATAATAATAATAATAAATTTAATTTGTAATGCACTTTACATTTACAAAAAATCTCAAAGTGCTACAGTACACAGTAAAAAAAGAGCAGCAACAATAAAAAAAGCAATAGAATGACAGTCACAGATTGGCATAAAAAAGCATAAAAGAATAAAAAAAATAAAGAATATAGAGTTGCAATGTAAGAGGCAAGGTAGTAAAAGCATAGCGGAAAGCTAACCAAAGGCTTTATTAAAAAGGTAGGTCTTTAGGGCTCTTTTGAAGAGGTTGTTCACACTGCTGGATGTTTCTCCTCCAAAGCTGCTCTCCGCCTCCGTTGCTGTTTACTTTACTCTTGAAGCACGTAGCAAGACCTGAGCATGAATCCAAGCGCTTTATTCGCCTATCAGGGGCAGACAGGTAAGGTGATTTGATTCGCCACGACTCCAGAAATGATTGAAAAACTACAGAATGTCACAAAATTACGTTTCCTTGCTCCTGGCTTCAAGGGTAGATATGAGCAGCCGCGCTCCCAGCTGACAGGAAGTCAAACCACTGTTGTAGTTCTTTTGTGTTGCTAGCACGGTCAAGAGTGTTGGCTCTCACTGAGATGACTACAAAAATGGACGCACCTGTTCATCTGGTTGTTTAACACGGCTGAAAATGATCATCTATTAATGTTGTTCCCGCTCCTGCCCATAAAGGAAAGGCGTATTACAGTTTTCTATTTTAAGCCCGATATCAATATTTCACATCATAATAAAGACGTTATGTCAATACTTGTATATAAGCTGCAAACAAGAATGACCTTACAAAACTTCGCTGAGTGTGTTTTTGTTTCGCCAGCATCTTAGACCGCTGACCCCTGAAGCTTTTTTATTATTCCTCCCCGATGGTGAAACAAGTTAGTCGTTGGGCTGCCATTAAAAACAACAACTCTCCAGCTCTTTATGGAGATTGGTTACTTCCATCTTTTCAGAGCCAGACCACCTCCATGTGAAGAAAGATGTTCCCCGTAAATCTATCTGTGTTAATTCTGAGGCTGGTGGTGTTTGTCCTCCCATTGCTTTTTTTCCCGTCCCGTCCCGATCAAGGGATTAATTAAAAAATGACTCCCATCCCGTGGGATTCCCGCGGGAATCACGTGACCCACGGGAATTCCCGAAAAATGTCATCCTCTACAGGGAAGGTCCCGGAGCAGATGAAACAGGTGCCGGAGCAGCTGAAATAGGTCCCGGATCCGATCAAAAGAGGTCCTGGAGCGCGCTCCAGCTTGCTCCGGCACAAATTAAGCACTGCTTACAATGATCCCCTCACGTGTGTAACCCAGGTAACGGTAACCCGCAACGGCGAGAGACGCTGGACACGAAGAAGGCACGTAAAGCGGCGTCATGTAGCAAAATCGAAAGAGAAATGCGAGCCTATTGTTTTCTTTCCCGTTTGACACCAAATACACTTACTGAATGTGCAATTATTGTTGTTGTTACTATGAATCATCTGATGGCACAAGCCCTATGGATAAAATACAGCCTATCGCTCGAAACGATAAAAATAGAAATGGCACGATAGACATTTTCTATCGTGCCCACGATATCTATCGTCCTATCGCCCAGCACTACTTCCTTATACAAAACAGTAAGTAAAATCACAAATTTTGAATTGACATCACAGATCAGGGAGCAGTTGTTCTTTATGCATATTACTCATGTTGTTACATATAAGGCCTGGTGATTTGAAGCCTTTTGTTTTACCCCCGAAAATGTTCCCTACTTTTGAATTTCATCAAAACATGTCTGCTCTCTCTGTCTTGCCTTGCTTTGTATTTTATGATGCATATTTGTGTCCTCTCTGTTATGTGCTCTAGATGTCTCGCTCTGCCTCAACATTCAGTTTGAATGATTCTGCCAAGTCTAGTGCCATGGTGCAGCGATCCAACTCTTTGGACCATCCTCCCATCAGAGCCAGGGTTCCTGTCTGTGTGCGAACTCCCTGCAACCCAGACCAAAAACCCCCTCATAGCCCCGTCCCGAACATTCACCCTGAGTTTAACCAAGGCCGTAGCCCAAGTTACTACCCTAACTACCAAGAACGCAAGTCTATCCTTCATGCTCCACTGTCAACCAAAGCAGTCCAACCTCAAGCAGTCCTCTACAATTCCCAACAGCCAGCTTCTTCTCCCTGTCCATCTGCCACTTCTATCCCAGCTGTCCCAAACCCCATTCAGATCAACACCCAAACCTCCCAGCCAAAACCTAGCCAGAATGTGTCCAGACCTTCTGTAGGGTACCAGACAAGGTTCCAAGCTCTACAGCCTCTTAGTAACAAAGACAGAACCTTTTCTGACTCATCTAAGGATCCTCAAGTCTCCTTGGATCCACACAAGGCTGTCCTGACCAGTCCTCGTAGGGAGACCCTGCTTTAAACCATCTTTCAGTTCAGTCCAGGAGTCTGATGTGAGCAAACATTTTCGTTTTCTCATTTCATCTTGGGTAGAAAAAAATACTATTTCTATTTCTTTGAATTAATTCCTCATTACATATTCTCTCTTCGACTTTTAACACCCAAATACCACTGGTGCATTTCCAATCCCAAATCAACTCCTTAGAAGCTGAGACCCTAAGATAATGATCATAATGTCATTATCAGTTAAATAATGATTTACGTAACAGCTGCACTCTGAACCTCTCTGATTTGATTCAGTACATTTATACAGCAGTGTACGTGTAAAAGTTCTCTGTAGTAATGTTGGTATGAGTGTAAGGGCAGAGTTTTAAGGGTTGATTTGGCAAAGCTTTGTTCCTGAAAATCACCTGGGTTACTAACTGGTGTTGGTGGTGGCTGGTATTGATGAACATTATACAGATGTATATAAAAGATTATGATTAAGCTTGGCCAGTGTGAAACTGAAATAATGTTTTTTTTTGTTTTTTTTCCTTTCCCCATTGGAAGCCTTTTTTTTCCAGTGGGAGCAAACTGTGCCTTCAGAGAAATGCAGTTACATTCAAAAAGTTTTTTTTTTTTTTTTTTTCTTTTTAAAAGTTTGCTGGGTTAATCCCTGGTAGTAATAGAGCTGTAAAAAGTCTGTAAAAGGACTTTTCAAATGTGCAAGTACCTTTTGTTTAAAAAGACCATCTGGTATTATTACATTCACAGCTTTCCAACTTTTTCAGTGTACTGAAACTTTTTAAAACACAGTCAAATACAAGATCTGATTTCCTCGCTTCATTTTGACTGTTCCTTTTAAAATAAACTTTAAGAACCATTGACAATTTCAGGAGAGGAAAATATCAAGTATAAATTGAGATGTCATAGCATACCTTTATTTTGGATGCCATGCTCTTTGTGTTTTGGCTTATTTACAAAATAACTCTCTCTAAAATTAAAATGTCAGTGTATTCATGGGAGTAAGACTGACTTCTCATCTGAGGTTTAACCTGTTGTGGCAGATCACCTGCTTTGTGTCTTACATTGAACTCTTTGTGACAGCACAGTCAGTGGGCACTTTGTGTCCAAGGTTTACTGGAAATATAAAACAAACTTCCCCTCCCAAGAAACTGAGTTTCACAAATCACAAAAGGAATGTGTATAACTGTCCTACCAGTTCACAAACTGTGTGAAAAACAAGACCATGGATCTGCTGTATGCCATCGTCAAAGAAGCCTACAGAGCCACTTCCTTACCACCACTGGGCAAGTCAGATCATAACTTGGTCTATCTGCAAACCTGTTACAGACCTTGTGTGCTGAGGCAGCCTGTGACCAAAGTCAAAATCAGAAGATGGACACCTCAAGCAAGTGAAGCTCTAAGAGACTGTTTTAAATCAACAGACTGGAATATGCTGCTGGAAACAGATGTGGATAGTATGAACATTGACAGACAGGTTGATTGCTTTACTAAACGTATCAACTTCTGTAGAGACACAGTTATACCCACAAAAACTGTTCGCTGTTTCCCCAACAACAAACCCTGGATCACAAGTGACATAAAAGCAATCCATAACCAGAAAAAGAAAGCTGTTAAAGGTGGTGACAAAGAATGACTCAAACAAGAGTTGAAGAGGAAACTGAAGATGGCAAAGCTGGAATACAAAAAGAAGTTAGAGAGCAATAAAAAGAAAAGACAGCCAGTGGTGGGTGATACGGAAAGAGCTGATGAACTCAACCTGTTCTTTAACAGATTTGACACTGCTGCCACACCCACTTCCACTGCTACTCCACCTTCCTCTCTGCAACAAATCTCCACTACAATTTCTCCCCTTCCTCCGCCATCTCGTTCAAATGTCTCAACCACTTCAACTGCCTCCCTCCTAGAACACCAGTCCTTGTCTGTCACAGAAACAAGGGTGCTTAGAGACTGTGCTGCAGAACTGTGTCAACCTCTCCACATGATCTTCAACCTGAGTCTAGAGCTGGTGCAGGTACCTGCTCTGTGGAAAACATCCTGCATATTCCTGTACCAAAAACAAAATGTCCTGCTGAACTCAGTGACGACAGACCAGTGGCCCTCACTTCACAGATCATGAAAACCCTGGAGCGGCTAATTCTATGCCTTCTGAGGTCTGAGGTCAAAGACAAACTGGACTCCCTGCAGTTTGCATACAAAGAACACATCGGAGTGGATGATGCTGTCCTCTACATGCTTCACCCTGTCCTGTCTCATCTGGAGGAACCTGGGGCTTATGTGAGGATCATGTTCTTTGACTTTTCAAGTGCATTCAACACCATCCAACCTACCATACTCAAAGACAAGCTCACAGAGATGGGAGTGGATCTTGCCTGTGTTTCCTGGATCACAGATTACCTGACAGGAAGGCCACAGTTTGTCAGGTTGGGGAACTGTGTTTCTGGGACATTAATGAGCAGTACGGGGGCTCCACAAGGGACAGTGCTGGCGCCATTTTTTTCACACTGTATACATCAGACTTCAAATACAGCACTGAGACCTGCCACATCCAGAAATACTCAGATGACACTGCTGTCGTGGTGTGTATCAGAAATGGACAAGAAGCTGAATACAGAGATCTGATAAGAGCCTTCAGTGACTGGAGTCACAAAAACTGCCTCCTCCTCAACACCTCAAAGACAAAGGAGATGATCATAGACTCCACTCCCCTCTTCAGCCTGTGAGCACCTGTGGAGTTGACATCAAAGTGGTGACATCATATAAATATCTACATGTACATCTGGATAATAAGTTGGACTGGTCTAAGAATGTAGACTTCATCTACAGAAAGGGGCAGAGCCGCCTCTTTTGCCTGAGAAGACTCCGATCAATAGACATTTGTAGTAACATGCTGCAGATATTTTATCAGTCTGTGGTGTCTAAAGTGTTCTGTTCTACACTGCAGTCTGCTGGGAAGGAAGTATTAAACACAAAGATGGAAGACGTCTGAACCAACTGGTGAAAAAGGCTGGCTCTGTGGTTGGATTCAAGCTGGACTCGATGGAGGATGTGGAGGAGAGATCTACACTGAGGAAGGTGGAGACTGTTCTCAAGAACATGGATCACCCACTTCACAACACCTTAACGGACCAAAGGGCCAATGGTGGTGGACGGCTCCTCTCTCTCACACTTTACAACTGTTCTGTAAATAGTAGTAGCAGTATGACAAATAAGACGACAGACAATTGAATTTCCCTTCGGGGATTAATAAAGTTCTTATCTTATTGACACTGGCAGAATTCTCTGGGATAAACTGTTGATGTTTGTGCACTGACTCAATCTCAAACAGACATAGTTTCATGTACTGGCACATAAGTGTTCAATGGCAGTGTTTCCCCACACAGTGACAAGGCTTTCAGTGGCCACACTAGTGTGTTTTTGGCTCCACACAAATAATGCCCGCTGTTTTTAAATAGTGGATTAAGGTTCAGATCTAACATACAATGATGCATCATCATCATTATTACAATATGTGGGGAGCATACTAAAGGACAACCCTCTCGCTCTCTGATCCTCTGGAGGGTATGTGAAGATCATCAGAAGCAAGGGGAAGAGAGTTTTTAAGAGATTAATTCATTGATCATGAATGGTAGTCAAATGTAGATAGAAGAAAATATAAAAAGTTATATACACTGTGTGCACAATTATTAGGCAAGTTGTATTTTTGAGGATAAATTTTATTTTTGAACAACTACAGTGCTCTCGGTCAATCCAAAATGTTAATAAACCTCAAACCTTAATATTTAAGGGAGTAAAAGTGAGATTTTGACTTCCTTAGGAGAATATCTATGTGTGCACAATTATTGGGGGCAGCTATTAGTGTGCAGAATTATTATGCAACTAAATTAAAAATGAAAATTTTTCCATCTCACTTGTTTATTTTCACTTGTTCAAGTGAGAATGATAAACAAACAACTCAATTTACAAAAAAAAATTGTTGAAATTTAAAAAAAAAAATCAGTGACCAATATAGCCACCCTTCTTTTCATTAACAGTCATAAGCCTTCCATTCATGGAGTCTTTCAGTTTCTTGATCTGTTGACGATCAACTTTTTGTGTTGCAGTAACCAAAGCCTTCCAGACACTGTTCAGAGAGGTGTACTGTCTTCCTTCACTGTAAATTTCCTGTTTAAGAAGGGCTCACAAGTTCTCAACAGGGTTTAGGTCAGGTGAAGAAGGATGCCACGTCATTATTCTTTCGTTTTTAAGGCCTTTACTGGCGAGCCATATAGTGGAGTACTTTGTTGCATGCAATGGAGCATTGTCCTGCATAAAAATCATGGTTTTTTGAAAGATGCAGACTTTTGCCTGTACCACTGCTTGAAGAAAGTGTCTTCTCAAAACTGGCATTGGATTTGGGAGTTGATTTTAAGTCCATCTTTAACCCAAAAGGTCCAGCTAGCTCATCTTTAATAATACCAGCCCATACCAGTACCCCGCCTCCACCTTGCTGGTGTCTGATTCGAAGTGGAGCTCTGTGCCCATTACTGATCCAGCCACGGGCCCATCCATCTGGTCCGTCAAGAGTCACTCTCATCCCATCAGTCCATAAAACCTTTGAAAAATCTCTCTTCAGATATTTCTTGGCTCAGTCTTGACGTTTCAACTTGTGTCTTGTTCAGTGGTGGTCAGATTTCAGCCTTCCTTACCTTGGCCATGTCTCTGAGCACTGAACACCTTGTTCTTCTGGGCACTCCAGGTAGGTTGCAGTTCTGGAATATGACAGCACCGGAGGATAAGCGGTTCCTGATACCTTTACGTTTGAGTCTTCTCAAATCTTTGGCAGTTAATTTGCGTCTTTTTTTCTTAACACATTTCTTGCGGCCCTGTTGACTACTTGCATCAAAATGTTTGCTGGTTCTGTGATCACGCCCAAATATCTAAGCAATTTCAAGAGTGCTGCATCCCTCTGAAAGACTTTTTACATTTTTTGACTTTGCAGAGTCACTTAAATCTCTTTTTTGGCCCATTTTACCTAAGGAAAAGAAGTTGCCTAATAATTATGCACACCTTGATATAGGGTTTTGATCTCCTTAGGCCCCAGCCTCCCTCATTACACTAATACACATTACCTGATATGCTTATATCCAATAAGCATTCAAGTTTATACAGCTTGGAGTTGGAAAATATGCATAAAAATGATGATATGATCAAAATACTCACTTGCCTAATAATTGTGCACACAGTGTACAGTCAGTTTCTGATGGTGTGCTGATCTGTCCTAGTTCTAGATTATGGCACAATGTGTTTACAAGTCTTGTCCACATGCAGATCACCTGTTATGACTATGTTGTATTACTTTACTTCATACTTGTTTTCGTGAAAAAGAAGTATGTTGCCATGGTCAGGTATTGGCCAGGAGTGCAGCTGGGTCACTTTCAGTCTGAGTTCAGAAAACACACTGAGGATGTGGTAATGTTACTGATATGCAGATAAGTTCCGGCTTTGCTGGTCTGGTAAACCTCTGCTTTTCACGAGCCAAAGATGGGGTAATGTCCTGGTAAAAAGTTACAAAGTGTTTGTCTGTAGTGGCAACTTTCTTGAATTGCTACCCAAACCAATCTAAAGAAGACCTTGCAAAAGTATGTATTCTACCTTCTCTGCTGTGTCCACACTCTCAGACATGTTGGTTAGTGTGGGACATGTTTTAAACATAGACCATATGTTGTTTATCTGTGCCTGATGGAAAGTGCAACAAAAAAGGCTTATTTGAGTACTTTGCTAACAGTCAATTAACTGATTCCTAATTGATTGTCGACATCACATGCACCTCCCTTAGTTTAGCTTCAGTGTTTTGGCTGAGAGGGTAGTGTAACAGTGTTCGTCTTGTATATTCAGTATTTTAAACAACAAAGGAGGACCAGAACTAACCTTGTCTGCTCACACACAAATACACACCAACACTTGTAATTATTCTTGACTGCTGGCTAGAATGCTAATATGACTTTATTTGTGCTGCTCAATCTAAAAAGCAAACACTAACTGTAAATGCAATCATACTTGCAACACTGGCACATTTGAGAAAGAGGTCTGATGGGGCAAATACACTACCAGCCTGAGGGTATCAAATTCCATAGTTACTTAAAGTACAGCAAATCTGTGCACTCGACTCTTAGATGTCTATTTGAGAATGTATGTTTTCTAGAAGTAAGTTAGTAGCGCTGAATGTGATACAGACATGTTAACATCTTATTAATTTTAAGACTGATCATGTTTGTAACTCATTAAATGAACTTTATTGATCCCCAAAGGTAAAATACATTAAATCATGAAGACTTAGCTTTATGAATGTGGTCATGATGCTGTGTCTTAGTTATAAACAGGGTGCACTGAGTTTTTAAAACCAAAAGTTGTAAAAAAAAGACAAATTTGTAAGAATAACAGCCATGTTCTGAAATAGCACCATTGATCCTTTAACAATATTATTGTTATTGCCCGTCAGGTTTCTCTCCTCTTCTCTACACACAACATTGCCTTTTAATTTATTTATCTTTTTTGTTTTGTTTACAGGCACATCATTCCCCCTCAATGGTGAATCTGCCCTCCATGTTTGAGAGGAAATACCACACATTCAGTCGTTCAACCACCCACCTCCTTTGAGACTGGTGCACCAGCAGGAGTTGTCCAGTCTTTTCACTTCCTTTGCTTTGACTGCAGCCTGTAGCTAGACTACACTGGATAGGTGTATGTGGTTTTTCAATTGAAGCTACCTGTTCATAAAAGACTTACCCATACTGGAGCTGTACACCAGCTACACTTAATCTCATGTTGCCATGCTTTAAAAAATGAAACTAAGGACAAACTTTGTCTGATATTAGCGTCAGAATTGTCCAGCTTAGCACTTCTCAGCTGAAACTCGGGCCAGAACAGGAACCACTCTGATGCCCATCATGTGATTTAGTTATATAAATATATATTAATGCTCTTGCAAGAAAAATATAGGTTTTTATTTGACTAAAGAGGGTTTTGTGCATGTCCTCCACCATATGAGCAATGCTCACAATAAGAATGGTTTACCAGGATCTGGAACGGTACTTCACCATGCTTGGGGTTCTTGTGCAATTAGCACTGGTTCTAGGAGGGTTGGCCTTACCCTTTAAAAGTGAAGGATGCTCTGCTTTTTGATCTCATTTGCAAACTGATTATCATACCATAATTGGTTTTTGGTTCATGATATAAACTAAATTTTGTGATTTCATGTCTCTGTTAAAGCCTTTTGGATTGGTGTCATTATTGCCCTTGTTCAGTAAAACACTAACTATAAACTAAATAAATACAAACTCCGTCTTCTGTATTGAACAGAGACTTCAGCCAGTCCTTAATTATCTTTGGTGCCAGTTTTATTTCCCTCTGTTTTGGGATGGAACATTAAATCTCAGTAATAGGAATGTGTTCTTTTCTATTTAACAAATGCAGGTTGAAAAGCTCATTGTGTTATATATTTTATGTATGAATTTACAAGTTGATTTTGCATGCCCTTCATTGTGTTGTGGCTTCTTTGATTAACTAACTGGGTGGAAACGCCTTATGTAAACTGACATTTAGCGCATTGTTATTGTGGAGTAGGCCTAATCTCACGTTATTTTAAAATATTTTTTTATAAACCAGCTTAAGGATTTAAACTTGGGATAGCTTCCAGTTTTTATAAAGCTTTCATTCAAACATTTAAGAGATTTACATGAGAGGAATAAAAACATGCTTTCTCCTCATCCATGTCTCTCCACATTTTAAAATGTCTTTTTATAGTGTCTTCAACTGTCTGTCTCTGTTTGTTCAAGGAGAGATGCTGCGTCAGTGTAAATATTTATTCTGGATCAATATGTTTTAATACCTTTTTCTTGCTATTTATTTCTTTTTTTACTTTAATGTCTGTCGTTTCTCTCTTTCAAACATATTCTTTTAGTTAAATCTTTGGTATTAAATGCACTCAAACATGCACATGAAGATGTATCCTTTTTCCTTATGTCTTTTGGAGACCGTGACACCCCTTTTATTTTTTGTGGCATGCTGAGCTAATATGACAAATGTGAAAACAGATTCTTCTCATTTCCTCTTCTCCCAATTTTTCAATTGGGTGCATATCTTTTAAATAAAAGGGAAATGGTAAATTTGTTGGGATATTGGGAAATACAGATTTGAAAAGCTGATCTTAATTCACTTCAGTGTCCCTTGTTTGCAATATAAGGTGAATCAAAATTGAACTAATCAAGCTTCTTTATTTCACCTTGAGATGTTAGATTTACCAAATACCTTTGATGCTTCCACTTAAGTTTGGGATCTTTAAATGTCTGTGATTTTCAGGCTTGTGTCTGATTTGCATATTGCTTTGAAGCGAGCTCATGATTACTCAGTACTCTTCTGTTTTTCATGCTTATTTGATGTAGGAGTTGGTTCAGAAGTTTCTGCCTTCCCCTGAGTGGGGAGTATACTTTATCAGTTTTCCTTTTTTTCATGAATAGGAGCTGCTATTTTAGATTCAAATGGCAAATAGGCAAAAGTGGGCAGAAATTATTTACTCCTGCTAATAAAGGTATTTGAAAGCATATCAATTTCAGCTTCTGGGAACACAATAAGTTCATACACTGTAAAATCCAATTAGTTATCATTACTTAGAAAAAGCATGCAAACCGGTTGCACTTAAAAAAATAAGTTAAGAGAGCTAGGTATTTTAAGTTGTACTAACTAGTGTTTCCTTATTAGAGTACACTTATAAATTAGTTAAAACAACTAACACATTAAAGTAGAGTGTACTTGATAACTTACTACAGGTGTACTTTTGACTTAATAAAGACTACTAAGAATTACTATTTTAATCTACTTAGTCATTGCATGTGAGATTTACTCTTTGTTTAGTGAATATAACACACTTATCTAAGTTAAACTAACTTAACATTTCTAAGTTATATTTACTTGAACAGCTATCTGACTTACTTGCTAAAAGCAAGTAAGTTTTACTTCATCAATATAAGAGGCTAAAATATCTATACAGGAATGAAAACAGGTTCCAATCTTCTAAAATAATCTGAATCACAATTAAACAGTAAATCAAGGTAATAACACAGTTGAAAGTGCAATTAAAGTTCAACAATTGCTTTATTTTTCTTCTATTTATATCAACTTTTTAAAGATTGCTTTGAATGACATCTGTAAACACAGCTTTATATCAATAATACAGTAAACAGCTTTAAACCTGTACCACCCTTGGTAAAAAAAAAAAGACAGCAACATGCTGACAAGTGCACTTTTGCATTCCTGAGTAATGTTACTCAAAAATCAGTAAATAAAATGTATAGAAAAACATGCCGTCAAGTGCAAAGTGGCTTCAATGAGCTCAAAAACCTGAAAGGGTAATAACTAGCATTGGAGCTCACGCATGTGAATGGATACAAACAGATATACAGCCTCTAGTAACTTGCTGATGAACCCATAATTTCAGTGGAGTGTCTTATTTTAGTGAACAATAAAAAAACAGCTGAATCCACTCCTACATTTGCATACATGTTCTAAGTCAACAACTGATTTTTGAGACTTTGCAATTTTGGTGGGAGTTTGTTCTCTCCCAAGCCAAGCAACACTCTTTGAATGAATCCGAAAGTGTTTTTCATGGCTCTAGGGTAGTCCAAATGTAAAGTATATGACAGCCCAAACAAAAGGCAAAGTGCCTCAGGTAGGTTCTGGAGATCATCCATTACAATACCTCCCTCAACAATGATGGCAGTAGACACTGGGTGAAGGTGGAGTATGTTTGGAATGAGTATCTCATTTTCGTTGACAACAGTCAGCAGCCCGACAGACACTTGTGCCCAGGTCTCATCAGTGTCACAATCCTGTGATGAAACCAAACAAAAACCATCACATTACAACAAGGACATTTTTTAAATCCTCAATTCAAAATTGTCACCATTTCAAGTGTCCTGTCGACACTTTCTTCCAGCCTTGTGCGTTAAAGGAATACTCAAATGATCTGGGAGTTGACAGTTTCTCATTTTCATAGGGAGACAACATGATCAATACCTTTTTTTGTGTCTGTACGTCAGGACACAGAATAAACAGAGTGCAGGTTTGCTTCATGTGAAATTGTTAAATAGGTTAAAAACACAGACAAAGCTCTGTTACTGTTTATATTCGATCAGCGTTATTACAGCCACATGTGCAGGCACACAAACATTTGTCAGAGCTGAAGGACAGTGATGATCTGATGACGCTGTCATCACTAAAAAGCATCACTTCACATGACGCTCTGGAGGAAAGGACATCTAATTTCTCTAAAAACAAATCTCCTCTATGCTCTGTTCATTTTCTCCATGCATCTCTGGTGGGAGGGACGAAGACGCAAGTGAACGACACATGTGGAGGAAGGATGAGACTTAATTGTTTTAGGATAGCAAGCAGCCCGTGCCAATGTTTGGACTGAACTCATGGATATATTCAGTATTACTTTTTTCTTATCTATGTCTCATTGAGACACTGGTAGATACAAATCAAATTTCCCTACAACTATGTGTGCTTCTTAAAGATGTTCCTATGAGAACTTACGAAGCAGGTGTTGTAGAAGTCCGTGGTGTCATCACCAAGTAGAACAGGGAGGCCTTGGAGTACTATGGTGCGCATTGCTGTCACATCTGGTTTCTAGAAGTGGATGATGAATAAATTAAGATCTAGTTAATGCAGTACTCAAAAGCTACAGCACAAAAATTCCTTTAAAAGTCAATATGAAACAAGTGTCACAACTGACTTACTGATTTTACTGAGAATTAATTTTTAAGAAACACTCAATCCACAACTGTAAAAGAAAGTACCAACATAAGTTTGATGGTGGTTGTAATTTGTGCTTATATTGTACCATATGCACTGTATATTTCTTGCAATAATTCCTCTGAGTTCATAAGTGGAGGCAAGTTGGACACCTGTGCTGTGATCAGACACAGCTCTTTCATATATCAGTATCAAACACATCAATACTACTCTTGCCCTTCTAGCCATTTCTTCCCATCTTCTACCCCCTATGAATTGTTACAAAAAAGTATAAGCAGCAAAACTGCAATCACTATTTAAAGTCAACTTGCAATGAGAAATAAAGACAGAAGAAGCCTTTCATAGACTCACCCCTGCATCAATTTGTTCCACCAACTGTGTCAGGGTCTGTCCCATACTTCCTTTCTTTGCCTTGAAGATCTCGACAAGGCGTGGAGTGTGGCGGTCCAGGGCCTCAAAGAAGTTGTAATGAGACAACTGCTTTCTGCTATCCACCTTGAATTCACCCCTCAAAGGAATGCAGGCTCCCCTGGTTTGGACAGGAAATGGGGGAGTAACGGTTTGCACACCAAGTTCCATTTACGACCCAATAAACCATTGGGGAGGTGATAGTGAATCTTTAATGCTTCCCAAAAGGACAAGTTGCTTATCAACCACACAGACCCATAAACACGGAGCCTTTCTCCCTGGCTGGGAAAGATCAGAATTGACACTTCAGGATTAACCATTGACCTAAAAGGAAAACAAAGCATTTGGCGCCAAGTCTGAAAAACCAGATACCTGCCATAAAATCTCCATGGCTTTCTTTACTGAGTAGAAGGAAGAGGATGCCTGAGAATTGTTTAACTTCATGTTTAATGGACATGTCACCAGAATTTTCTGTCTGCACACCACATTCTTAATGAAATGGTCTTTTTCCCAATTTTGTAGCATATCCACAAGCCAAACTGTTAACTTCACAAATTTATTCCAGGTTTTCCATGGATCAAGAGCTCCTCCTAGTGGTGATGCCTGAATATGGTTTGATCAGAGCCAAATGGCAGGAATCTAATCACGTGTATTTCTTTCCTTTTGTTATACACTTCGTAGCTTAGTAAATGGTATTCCCAAGATAGGCTAGTAGTTTAGAAGTAGTAACGTGAAACTCGTTTAGACTCAAGTTAAGAGTTTCTGAATGTATCCATACTATGCTTTTGTCTACCTCACACAAAAATATATATTAATCATCTATGAAGCTTGATTGACAAGGTTATAGTGTTGTCAAATATTATTACGGATGTGTTTCTTATGCTGGATGGTGTTTCTGTTCGAATAGATAATTTGTTTTCTGTCCCTCTCTAACTTTTAAAAGTCGTTAATCCTCTGTTTTGTTTTGTCAAGAAGACGGCTGATCAAAGTTTACTGTTTTCAATGTCATGCTTTAATGCATCGGCTCATAAGAAACAATGAAGTGAAATGTGATCGTATGTGATGTTACAAACAGTTTAATCATAGTGAGTGAGTAAATTAGATCTAGCTCGCTTTTAATATCAAGTTGAGTTAATTCGCTGCCAGTCGATGTGCTGCATCGGGTTACAGCATTGGCTGTAACTTTCCTCTTGGCTCACGCCCACACGGGATTGTTTAAAAAGAGCCCGGGAGTCTTTGCTCTTCACTTTTAGTTTTCTTCTCTTCAGTTTTTCTTCTCTTCAGTCTTGTTTTAGTTTACTCTTGTGTTTTCGTTTCTTCTTCGTTTTACCTCTTCGTTAGTTTTCTCTTCTAGTTTTCTTTTGTTTTCGTCTATCGTTCGCAATTTTCCCCGCGTTTTATTAATTGCCTTAAGCTCAGATTTTTCTTCTAAACTTGGATGAAACATTCCCAAGTCCCTTTAAAGCCTCAGTAACAAGCTGCGCGCATAAGATAACCTCAGTCTAAGTCTTTTTATTTATTTTTGTTCGCTAAAGTGACTCCTGAAGATAATATCGGCTGGCCAGCGAAATTATTTTCTTAAGTTATTGGCGCGAATTAATCTGCAACCAAGCAAGTCCTGAACGCCGACCAGCATCATCTGCCAAGCTGCTTTGCCACCTGGTTCCGAGAGGCCCAGAGATCCGAAGTATCTAACGGCGCTGACACGGTCCTGAAGCTGAGATCCAGACACAGCGGAAGAACTCCCCGCCGAACCTTCAGTATCCGGTCCGGTAGCCACAGAACTTCAGCTGATCCATTCCAAGGGTGCCGCTGAGAACCGACGTCCAAAGTAGGCTAAATCCTCTAAACTGCTGTGATGAGAACTGGGTGATGCCGTCAACCGTTCAGTAGCTTACTCTTATAAGTTATAGTTTAGTTCTCCAAATTCCTTTTATTTACCCTCGTAACTCCGTTAACGTAGGTTAAATTTCCCCTTATTCACTCACTATTATTAACCTCCAGTCTTAGGTTTAACTTAAACTATTCCTTCGTTTATTCATTAGATGTGCTTTGATTTGCTCATTATTTGATCATCATTTATTGACGTTTTGTTATCATATAGCTTGTTAATAAATTGTCCATTTGATTTTAAGTTGTCGTCTTAGTGGTCTTTCAGAAAGTAGTCCCTGAATGAAGAATTCCGGCCTCAGATGAGAGACTGATTTAAATCTGTTTAAGACTGATCCAACGTTTAATTACTCAATTGAACTTTGTTTCGTCCTTTTTCCCACCAGAAAGGTGGGTGGTGCCCCTTCAACGAGTGCATAAATGTCATAATTTAATTTGATTAATTCTCGACATTTATTTTGAATTTGAAATCGCTACAGTATTTGGTGCCCCGTGTGAGGCCATTCAAACGACTTCTGTAAGGCACTAACAGACAACTTTAAGATTATTTTAGATTCCCAAACTAGTGAGAAACCCAATTTCCCAACTTAGACTCCTTAAAATCTATGCTATGCTTGCTGAAATTACTGGATTGGTTTGCTTAATGTATGTCTGATGCTTTTTGAAATTGCTGAACTGGGCGTTTGATGTATTTTCTGTTTCATGTTCTGATGATATTGAGCTCTGTGTTAAAGCGCTGATTTTTTTTGCTGCTGCATACGTTTGTGTGTGAGCCTAGACCACGTGGATCATTGTTTTGGATTGCAGCGAGGCTGCGCTTTCTGCTCTGCGCGCCGCCGCCGCACGTACCCAGATTGTTAACTTTTGAGTGCACGATTTTCAGCGTCGCCGTACGCTTGTATTAGAAGGCCTTGGGCCGGACCCGGTGTTCGCGAAGCTCCGAGCCGTGGTTCCGAGTCCCTGAACCCTGTATAGTCTGCTACGAAGTTCTAGTAACTGTAAAGGATTCAGTTTATCCCTCATTCCCCCGGCAGATTAGCTACCTGTCGCGGGAGATCACTGTTTCCAGTGAGAGGTTGTTAGAGTGATTTCAGACACGATTCTTTTTCACAAATCGCCGCATTTCGTGAATTTAAGTCCGCAGTTTTGTCTGCTGTTGTAAGATCTGTCTGTGTAAACTCTTGTTACTCCCAGAGGAGTCTGGTGAAGCAATCCGCTGTTAGAGACGCAGCGTTGAATTTTCCCATTGCCACTGCGCGCGCAGCCGCAGTGAGGTGTTAACCCTTTGGTGTCCATTGGAGAGACTACTCGGCCAGTGTTGAATAGGCAGGCCACCCCGAGAGGTGGAGCCAATAGCTACGTCATAACGTCGCGTCGCGACGTACGGAGCGGTTGAACCGCCCCCTAGAACATCGCCCTCATGTGGTGAGCGGCAAGCACTGCAAGCCGGCTCACAGCCACGTGGCCTTTGTTTTGCTTGGACCTCATTGTAAACAGACTGCAGTCTAGCCGACTGCCACGCCTCCCTGTTGTCAAACAGATGCCATGCAGACATAGTCAGATTGAGTTGGTTGATTGAGTCTTTATTTTCTGTACTACAAATAAACGTTGATTTACTTGATAAACAACTTTTATTTTTACTTTATACAGATAGATCACCTGCCTTATCAAGGAGAATAGCTGAATCAAATCTTTGTCATCCTGTAATCATTGTTCATTGCCTCCATCTTTCTGTGACCCTTTATAAAACACTTAAATGTGATCACAGACTTAGGGCAATAGTTAATTCATTAATGTAACATTAATCAATTAATTCAATAATTCCCTAATCAACCTATGATCTGAATTTTTGTTTTATTCCTTTAGGTCAATTGAATTTGGACAATTTTACTTTGATTATCTTGTGAAGACTTGAAAGATTTAATTGCATCTACAACTGCATTGTTGATCCTGATTACTTTCAGCTTTTACCTTCCTTCCACGCTTAGCTGACAATCCGCTATTTACTTTAAAGGTTTCTCTGTACTCCTTTCTGTAAATTTTATTTGACCAAATCCGGTTTGGACTATGAGATTTGGCTGTGATTAGGTTTGATTTTTGTACGTAATTCTTTTTCAGCTAAAATCCAAATTCTGTTTTAGCTTCCTTTGTTTGTTTCATTCCGGAAATAAACATCCAGCTATTTTAGCGTGAACCAGACTTTGCTTAAAGCGCTTATCTTCTGGTCCTAAATTCACAGCTTTTCTCAATTTGCTTTATAGGCACGGCTACTTTGTTAAACTCATTAACCTACCAACCTTACTAAACTTGAAGCAACATGGCAGAACGTCAGGAGACAGGTTGGCAACTATTCAGTGAGGAGCTAAAGCATGCGCTGACAACTCTGACTCAGCCGCTGCTCCCAGGCTATGTAGACGAAGCGAATCGCACTGATAACAATGGGCTTCAAACTGTGTTGAATGAGGTGATCGATTGGGTCACACGACACCCACCTAAAGAAAAAGAGATCCCCAAAGCTTTAGCACGCTTGGCTTGTGTGATGTCTGTCCAAATTAAGAGACAAGACGAAGCCATGGGGAGGGCCCAAGAACAGATACGGGCACAAATGAAGGAAATTGATGATCTCAAAGAGGAGCTGGGAGGCACTGAAAGGGCTCTACAGCAAGCTCAAGACCGTTTGGATGAGATGCAAGCAGAGGCTCCATCCAAACATGATCAAAACCCTTCCTTAGTAACCCAAATCTCAGACTTGCATGACACCATTGAGGAAAAGGAAGCTCAGCTTTCGGACGCTAGGTCCACCATTCATGAACAATTACAGGAATTGTCAAGGGTGAAAAGCAACCTAGATCAGTCCTCAACTGATGCAAGGGACTGGAAGGCTCAGTTTGAAAGCAAAAGGGTGGCCCTTGAAGCAGAAGAGAGACCTTCTGCTAATCTAAAGCAAATGCTCCTCGAGACTCAGAGGAAACTTAGTCTGGGTCAACCCCAGCAAGATCAGAGCGGGCGAAGCTCGCCAAGCAGTCAACAGACGCTTCCATTCCCTACCTTTCGACCGAGTCGTGTCCCCAGAGGACATTCAGGTCGATCAAGTCCGGATGACACCGGACAGAACTCGGGTCATACTTTGTCGCCCCTTCACCAACCAACACCTTCCGGGTATCGTTCCCTGAGCTACCAACCTCAGTCCACGCCTGCTGCTCGTCAAGCGGCATATCCCACAGACAGGGATCTGGACAAGATGGCTCGTAACATCACACGATTTGAACCCGGTCGAAAAGGTTCTGAAGACCCAAGCACCTACTTGAAAGACATCGACGTCTACTTGAGGAAGTTTCCAGGTGCTCTTGTGGATGACAAAATCTACTTGATCAAAGCTACCTCCAATCGAGAGGTTAGCAGCTTCATTGAACGACAACCGCGTCGGGTCAAGAACGACTATGACCTGCTGTGTCAGGCATTAATTGACGAGTTCTCTGACTCCCTTACACCCACTGGTTTAGCTGCTGCACTGTTAGTCAAACAGGAGAGACAGGAATCTCCCCAGTCGTACTACGGTCGCCTTCGCCAGGCTTACTTTGGTTGTAAAAATTAACCTGAAATGGAGGAAGATCTAAACTTTAAGACTTTGTTTGTTCAAAACCTCCATCCGTCATCATCTTGGTGTTGCTGCTTGTCCCCGAACCTTAAACAGCAGACAGCTCCGCGAACTGGCCGTAAAAGGCTTCGCTAAACAGCGACACACCCAATCTCTGTCGAAATGTCAGTGGTGCAGGACCAAGGTGAACTACGTCGGTTTGCTTGTTGGTCCAACGGGGGTCGAACCACAGCTGTGTCGAATTCAAGGACTGTCAAACCTTAAAGCTCCCACGAACGTCTCAGAGCTTCGCAGCTTTTTGGGAGTATGCAACTACTCCCGACAGTTCATTGAGGACTATGCAGACTTAGCAAAACCCCTCACCAACTTACTGAAAAAGGATGTGCCATTCACTTGGGGACCATCCCAACAACACGCCATGCAAGCTTTAAAACACAGACTCTGTGCAGCTCCTTGTCTTGCCTACCCAGACTGCAACAGACCATTCTATCTGGAGGTCGGTTTCTCTTGTCACTGCCTCAGTGCAGGATTATACCAGATCCATGACTCAGATAAACGAGTCGTCGCGTACGCTAGCAAAACCTTGTTGGCTCCTGAACTGAAGTTCTCGGACTGCGAAAAAGCGCTTCTCGCCACTGTGTGGGCTGTGAAGCATTTTTCCAATTATCTTGGAGGCCAAAAAGTGATTGTGGAAACCAATCATCAACCAGTGACCTTCCTTAACAGCCAAAGAATCAGAGACGGCGTGGTAACCAACGCTCGTGTAGCATCTTGGCTTATGGCTCTTCAGAGCTTCGACATCGAGGTCCATTACGCCCAAAATCGCAAAACACCTCTCGGGATGGAACTCGCAGCGTGCCAAAGCTGCTTGACAGACAGCGCGGACACAGGGTCCCCAACCTGCGACCCCGAGCCACCTGAATTATCTTGCCACCGATACTTCGACGACAATGTCTGCAAAGACATGATTACAGCTTACGTTGATGGTTGCTCATACCATCACGACACTGTTCTCAGAGCAGGCGTGGGTGTTGTCTGGGTCAACGACGAACCGTGTGAACCACTCAGCTTCAACCTAGGGGCCCAAACGTCCCAGTATGCTGAAGTGGCAGGCATTCTGATTGTTTTGCAACTTGCGGTGGAACACAAAATCCACGCCTTGACAATCTGTACAGATTCCAACTATGCGCGACTCAGCTTCTCATGCCATCTGCCTTTGTGGAAACGCAACGGTTTCTTGACCTCGAACAGAAAGCCGGTCAAACACAAAGATCTGTTCCTGGCGTGCGACTTCTTGACCTCTAACCATGATCTCCAGATCTATTGGAAGAAAGTCAGGGGGCACTCTCGTATCCCTGGCCCAGACAAGATGTTTAATGACCAGGCTGACTCCTTAGCCAAGCAGGGAGCCTTAACTGGCTCAAACTGGCACTTTGAGCCCTCTGTTTTTCCCCTCCCACCCGTGCCCCTGGTTTGTGCTGTCACCAGAGCCCAGTCTCGAGCTCCACCTCGCCCGGCTCCCTCGGGCCCGGTCTCCGCCACTGTGGCTCCGGCTTTTTCTGACTCTGACTTGCTGGTGCTCCAAGCTTCGGACCCAGCCATTGCTGCCATGACGCAGTTCCTTTCAGGGCCTCCTGACTCCTCCATGGCTCCTGCCTTACTTGACTCCATCCCTGACCTGCGCCATCTTTTCCACGTGCGCTCTTCGCTGCGGCTCGTCAAGGGCTTTCTGGTTTATGTCTCCGATGCACTCACTTCGCCTGCCCTGGTGGTGCCTCGCAGCCACAGGGGGGTGATGTTGACATACGCCCATGACACACCGTGCGCAGGACACAGAGGAAACAAAGCCACACTCCATGCTCTCCAACAGGTGGCCTATTGGCCACACATGCAGAAAGATGTAGCTGACTACATAAAAGGGTGCCTGGTTTGCTGCCAGTTTCAACCGGCAAACCCACTTCATCGAGCACCTCTACAGCGCAGAGGTATCTCCTTTCCTTGGTCAGACCTCCAGATCGATTGGGTGGGTCCTCTCACCAAGTCAGCAAGAGGAAACAAATACTTCCTCACAGTTGTCTGTGCGTTCACCAAATGGATAGAATGCCTACCAGCCCCAAACGATACGGCTCAGACCACAGCCTACCTCTTGATGAACCACATCTTCTCGCGGTTCGGACTCCCAACTCGTGTCGACTCTGACAGAGGGACACATTTCACCTCAGAGGTAATGCAACAACTGTGGCAACTGTTGGGCGTCAAAGCCAACTTTCACATCAGCCACCACCCCCAGTCGTCTGGACAGGTAGAACGGGCAAACCGAACAGTGGTAACCATACTGAAAAAGTATGTGTCAGCCAACCACAAGGACTGGGATGTTAAGCTTCCCTTGGTCCTGATGACCATCAGAGCGACTCCACATGGGTCAACTGGGTTCTCACCCTTCGAGCTGATGACGGGCAGACAGATGACCCTACCTCTGCACCTGCTGTATCAGCCAGGTGAGGCCAGTATAGCAACGGCCTACACGACCCATCAGTACATGACTGACTTACACCAGCACCTGAAGGCAACTTTTGCCTTCACCCAAGAGCATCTCAGCAAAAGTGCTGAAGGACGCAAGTCCTACTATGACCAAAAAGCCTCCCAACAGGAACTCCAAGTGGGTGACAAGGTGTGGTACTACCTGTTCACCCAGCCCACTGGAGATAAAGCCCCAAAGTCTGGGAGACTGGCACGAAAGTTCCTGCCCCACTGGGCAGGCCCGTACCTGATCACTGAAAAGCTCTCTTCTGTTGTGTACCAAATTAAGATCGCAAAGGGCAACAAAGAGCCGATCCTTAAATGGGTCCACCGCAACCAGATTAAACTTCACCACAACCCCATGGGACTTGTCGGGGCCTCCAGCGCCACCCTTGAGTCATAAACTAGAACAGTCCCAAGTTCTCCTGATTGACGTCAGGTCCCCCAGTCCTCATAGATATTGTCTACGTGAAGTTTATCCTATTTGTGCGTCTGTATTGGTGTTGAATTGTTGCCACTGAGTTGCCCTTGGGCACACTTTGGGTCACAAAGGGGGGAGGAGAAAATAAAGTGACAGGGAACATTTGAATTCTAGATTGTCCTATACCAACTCATCCTAACTATGTCCACCCTCTTCCTCAGGATGATTTGGCTGATAGCGCTCCTGATTGATGTCCGAGTTGGACATTACTTACATGTTAGAGCAACTTCAGAAATTCACTGTCTCTCAAACAGAGTTAAGTGGTACCAACAGGAGATCCAAGCGTTTTATTGGAGCACTGCTCACTGCAGCCTCGGTTGTTGGCTCTCTTTTTGGTGTTGGGCTCTCCTCTGTTAATGCAATTAGCTTAGCTGCCGTCAAACGCCATGTGGGTGAGCTAGAAGCCGAAATCCCAGACATCAGGGCTCAGATAAACAGACAGCAGACACAACTGCAGACTATTGGTCAAACAGTCAAGGGCACCGTCCTGGTGGTTAACACCCACACCGAAGTCCTGAATAAGACGCTGCGTGATGTAAATTCCTTGTTGTCAGTGGTCCAGGTCGACTATGCTCACACAATGCTGTTGAACATGCTCATGTCAGACATGTTGCAAGAAATATCATCCTCAATAGACAGCTTGGCTGCAGGCCGGATTCCTCCGTACTTGGTACCTCTCTCATTGGTTCAGGATTTACTATCAACTGCAACCAGAGAGGTCATCACTCCTTTGCAAGCCCACCTCGCGTATACCCTATCTAGCGCTGTGCCGATCTACATTAATCCCGAAGATCGAGAAATTGCTTTCCTTATTAACTTGCCGATTATAGCATCAAGAAGCATCTATAGGCTAAAGGATGTAGTCAATGTCGGGTTTTGGAAAGAGGACACACACCTCCAAATTCAGACCCCACCAGTGGTCGCTTACCACGACAGCAATCCTGACCTATACCTAGCTCCTAACCTGCGTATGTGCACACGAACCAAATGCCATTCTCCATATAGATGACATTGCCCTCTATTACCTCAACCCTGAGCAATTCGAAACAGAGATTGAAGTGCCAGCGTTTTTCAGCAAGCATATGCTGCAGTTAGATCCAAACACTATTTCTCAAATCCAATATGCAGGTACTCAGATCATTGACCTAACGCCTGTAGATGACGTCCTTACAGACATAAGGTCCCAAGAGAAGTCCCCGCTGCAACCTATAGTCTATGTTTGGTCCGCCCCAGACACCTTACTAGCAGCCGCCATAGTGTTAGGGTATCTCCTGACCTTCGGGTTAACCTTCATCTACGTCAAACGTGGTAAAGCCCTACAGTACAAAATAGACCAATGTGTAACTAGGTTACGACTCCGTAGACAACCGGAAACGGAACAGGGAGTTGAACAGCCAGAGGTGTAGTCAGCTTCCTGTAACCCCGCACCCATAGATTTAGTAGGCTTAACACATACAGTAGATCTAACGAAGTAGCTAGTTCTGAACGAGACGCATCACCCTCCTTGGACTAACTGCTGCTTCCACCTGGTCGTCTCATCTCGTCGTCCCAATGGCTCCTGGAGCTGCCATCGAGACGAAGGGGGGATATGTAATGAGACAACTGCTTTCTGCTATCCACCTTGAATTCACCCCTCAAAGGAATGCAGGCTCCCCTGGTTTGGACAGGAAATGGGGGAGTAACGGTTTGCACACCAAGTTCCCATTTACGACCCAAGAAACCATTGGGGAGGTGATAGTGAATCTTTAATGCTTCCCAAAAGGACAAGTTGCTTATCAACCACACAGACCCATAAACACGGAGCCTTTCTCCCTGGCTGGGAAAGATCAGAATTGACACTTCAGGATTAACCATTGACCTAAAAGGAAAACAAAGCATTTGGCGCCAAGTCTGAAAAACCAGATACCTGCCATAAAATCTCCATGGCTTTCTTTACTGAGCAGAAGGAAGAGGATGCCTGAGAATTGTTTAACTTCATGTTTAATGGACATGTCACCAGAATTTTCTGTCTGCACACCACATTCTTAATGAAATGGTCTTTTTCCCAATTTTGTAGCATAGCCACAAGCCAAACTGTTAACTTCACAATTTTATTCCAGGTTTTCCATGGATCAAGAGCTCCTCCTAGTGGTGATGCCTGAATATGGTTTGATCAGAGCCAAATGGCAGGAATCTAATCACGTGTATTTCTTTCCTTTTGTTATACACTTCGTAGCTTAGTAAATGGTATTCCCAAGATAGGCTAGTAGTTTAGAAGTAGTAACGTGAAACTCGTTTAGACTCAAGTTAAGAGTTTCTGAATGTATCCATACTATGCTTTTGTCTACCTCACACAAAAATATATATTAATCATCTATGAAGCTTGATTGACAAGGTTATAGTGTTGTCAAATATTATTACGGATGTGTTTCTTATGCTGGATGGTGTTTCTGTTCGAATAGATAATTTGTTTTCTGTCCCTCTCTAACTTTTAAAAGTCGTTAATCCTCTGTTTTGTTTTGTCAAGAAGACGGCTGATCAAAGTTTACTGTTTTCAATGTCATGCTTTAATGCATCGGCTCATAAGAAACAATGAAGTGAAATGTGATCGTATGTGATGTTACAAACAGTTTAATCATAGTGAGTGAGTAAATTAGATCTAGCTCGCTTTTAATATCAAGTTGAGTTAATTCGCTGCCAGTCGATGTGCTGCATCGGGTTACAGCATTGGCTGTAACTTTCCTCTTGGCTCACGCCCACACGGGATTGTTTAAAAAGAGCCCGGGAGTCTTTGCTCTTCACTTTTAGTTTTCTTCTCTTCAGTTTTTCTTCTCTTCAGTCTTGTTTTAGTTTACTCTTGTGTTTTCGTTTCTTCTTCGTTTTACCTCTTCGTTAGTTTTCTCTTCTAGTTTTCTTTTGTCTTCGTCTATTGTTCGCAATTTTCCCCGCGTTTTATTAATTGCCTTAAGCTCAGATTTTTCTTCTAAACTTGGATGAAACATTCCCAAGTCCCTTTAAACCCTCAGTAACAAGCTGCGCGCATAAGATAACCTCAGTCTAAGTCTTTTTATTTATTTTTGTTCGCTAAAGTGACTCCTGAAGATAATATCGGCTGGCCAGCGAAATTATTTTCTTAAGTTATTGGCGCGAATTAATCTGCAACCAAGCAAGTCCTGAACGCCGACCAGCATCATCTGCCAAGCTGCTTTGCCACCTGGTTCCGAGAGGCCCAGAGATCCGAAGTATCTAACGGCGCTGACACGGTCCTGAAGCTGAGATCCAGACACGGCGGAAGAACTCCCCGCCGAACCTTCAGTATCCGGTCCGGTAGCCACAGAACTTCAGCTGATCCATTCCAAGGGTGCCGCTGAGAACCGACGTCCAAAGTAGGCTAAATCCTCTAAACTGCTGTGATGAGAACTGGGTGATGCCGTCAACCGTTCAGTAGCTTACTCTTATAAGTTATAGTTTAGTTCTCCAAATTCCTTTTATTTACCCTCGTAACTCCGTTAACGTAGGTTAAATTTCCCCTTATTCACTCACTATTATTAACCTCCAGTCTTAGGTTTAACTTAAACCATTCCTTCGTTTATTCATTAGATGTGCTTTGATTTGCTCATTATTTGATCATCATTTATTGACGTTTTGTTATCATATAGCTTGTTAATAAATTGTCCATTTAATTTTAAGTTGTCGTCTTAGTGGTCTTTCAGAAAGTAGTCCCTGAATGAAGAATTCCGGCCTCAGATGAGAGACTGATTTAAATCTGTTTAAGACTGATCCAACGTTTAATTACTCAATTGAACTTTGTTTCGTCCTTTTTCCCACCAGAAAGGTGGGTGGTGCCCCTTCAACGAGTGCATAAATGTCATAATTTAATTTGATTAATTCTCGACATTTATTTTGAATTTGAAATCGCTACAAAGTCCACCTGTAGGTTCTTGGTGACTACCCTATTGAACTCCGCATACACCTGCAAAAAAGCAAAATACATGGTGACTAAATAGGATTGGGCTAGTGTAGAAAAATACATTCAGAGCTGTTGGTAGTTTAATTTTAAATACAAAAGTAATTCGCAGACTGACATGTAGTATATATATTTTTTTGTCTCAATACTTCTTCTGACAGAGTAGAGGGGTGGAATACTGCAAAAAAAGACTTAAGAAGGAAAAACAAATTTATTACATGATTATAATTTCTGAGCTTACTTGTCTCTCGGTAAACAGAGCTGGCCACCGCTCCTTTAAAGTTTTCACTGGAGGTTCTGCCTCCACAATCTCTCTTCTCCGCAATGGGAAGGTCTGGTCCATCTTTGAGGCAATGACAGCTCCACTTGGGTTCCTTTTTTTCATTTCTTCAACGATGAGTTTTCTCTCAGCCTCAAGGCTCTCTTCACTCTGTCCCTCAGGAATGTCCGGTAGGTAATTAACCTCATACCTTCTGGGTCTTTTGAGACCTTTCGAAGCCACTTGTGGTCGACCTCCTTTTCCAGCATTTATTGCAACCTCTATACATCCTGCTCTTTTCAGTTTACCGCGATAGTTCCCCATTTTGAATTTTAAGCTATGCTTCCAGCCAGAACACCCATCTGGTGAACCTGGTTCCCTCAAACAGGGATGTTTACTGATCAGTGCAAGTGCCACAGATTGGAGCCGCTCAACACTTGGGTAGGTGTCAAATTTGTAAATTGTTTCAGCAAGCTTTTCCAGAATACAATGCTTCACATCTTTTGGAGGATTCCAGTACGTTTTATCCCGTAGACATGCAAGATCAGCCTGTCGCAGTCTAAATGCCACATCCACTGGGAAGTTTGGGATGTCAAAAAACTCTGGCCATGGCTCTTGTCTCATTAATGAAGTTGGGCTGTGGGACAGAATCTCTGTATCATCTGAGGCACATGAGGCATCAGATGTGCTAGTGGTGGCGGCAGTCACAATCAGTGG